CATCAGTGAGACATCTGTCTACTGAATAATAGTCTCGGGATTGACTATTGAAGGAGGCAAGGATAAGGTCATTATTAAAGTCCACGGATCTGTTAGTAGGGGCAAGCATTAATCTTGTAAGAAGTTGACTACTATTAATAGTAAACCCTTGATCAAAGACGAAAGATATTAACTCATCACGAGTCTCTACCATCATTGATTTAGGGAGGGCAATTTTTTCCCGGGAGGTATCAGTACCCAAATTATAAAGCCACTGTTTAAATTGGATTTCAGTAGGAAGGAGGCGCATATTTTGGAGTAGACGGGTTTTAAGAAACATTTTATAAAGGTGGGAACTTTGTATACAAACAGGTACAGCCATTTCTGGAATGGAGCAATTTTTAACAACTGGGAGTGACTGTTTCCAATCCCCGGAAAGGATTACCACTTTACCAGCAAAGGGAATATCCCTTTTGGAAGGAACCATGGTCCGGCATAAGAGGTCGACATTTTCTAACATTGTCATCTCCAGCAATGTTATTTCATCAATGATCACAACATCGCTTTCGATTATTCGGCGGCCAAAATAGCTTCCGAATTGGATTTGTGGGATTTGACCTGGACGATGGTTGATTCCAAAACGGAAGGCGGAGTGCAAAGTCATGCCACCGGCATAAAACTTTGTAGCGGCGATCCCAGTCGATGCGGTTGCAAGGACTTTGTGACCTAACCGCCTTAAATGGAAGAGCAAGTAATTTAATAAGAAAGTTTTCCCGGTTCCCCCATCCCCAGATAAGAAATAAAGTTTTTGGGAATTAGGATCTCTTATGGAATTAATAATTAAATCAAAGAAATTAGTTTGTTCGGGGTTAAGGGTGGCACTGACTAATGATGATGTATCGGCAGTTGCGTCGGTATCATCATCATTTATATGTTGGGGGAAGAAAAACTGATCAACAGCTGTATCAGGGTCGTCAGTGAGGGAATTATGTGGAAGTGGGAGACCATAATCAGACATTGACTTGCCATTAGCAAGTAAATATCTTTCAATTATAGCCAGGGCCCGGTCAATACGAATAGGACGTTGATCTTCGGTACAACGTCGGTCAAAGAAATGGTCAATGAACGTGTTCCACAGATGCAGAGCATCTATGACGCAATCATCTGTGGAACTGAAGACAAGGATATTTACGAAAAGTTGGCGCATTTGGGAAGGAGTTAAGGAATAAGAACCCTCTCTTAAAGTTCGCTCCCATACGGAACTATCTTCAAAGAGGCCGCGTTGTCGGGCTGCTTCGGCAAAAGTGGTGTACTTTATACCGTTCACAGTTAATAATTGGTCGGGGTCCCCAGGGAAATGTTTAGTAAGAATATAAAGGGCAAATTTTTCCGGGTCTTCGCGGGGGGAAACAGTATAAATACGTCCTAAAACAGGCTGACCTTTAACAGTGGACCTTTTACGGGGTTCCCAAGTTTTAGTATCATCATGGAAGGCATAAGTTTCGGGGAGATTTTCAAATAAAATATTTTTAACATTATCATCCTTAGCCCAAAGTTTCCAATAAGCGGTTAATTTGGATTCTGGGTATTTGCCCTGGCCAACATCAGCTATTATTTCATTACGGGAAGCGGGGGTCATGAAAACGGGTTGGTGACCAGGTAAATGAATAGACAATGGGATTACTGCATGAGAAAGGTCAGCATATTTATAGGATTGGATACGAGAAAATGCCTCAGCTGGACTCCGATAAAGCATCTTGGCATATTGGGCGGGTTCATCGATATTAATGGTGCCTGCAGTACTTTTAATATATGAAAAACTCGCTCCTTTGAAGGGGTACTTAAGGGCATATTTAAGGTTGTCGGTTTGACCGTAGGCAAGTTCCAAATTGTGGTGGCATTCGAACATAACCATTATGAAAGGATTATAGGGGACTATACGAGAGTTATCGTATTTGATGATGGCTTGTCCACGTGGGACACTAAGGACTTCACCACCATCTTCAGGACTGGGACGAAAATATTCCGCTGGCCTATTTTCGTGAATAATGGTCTGCCTGGAGAAGGCTTTTGGGAAATATTTCATACATTTCCCATCATGCCCTCTGCAGTGAGAACCACAGTCGTGGACTTGGAATTTTGGGATAAGGTCACGAACTTTTCTAAGAAAGTTCGCCCAATCAGAAGTATCTGAATCGGGTGGGTTGGGAGGAATGTGGGCCCAGATTATATTAGAAATATTTTCGGGGGTTGCTAGCATGTCTGTTGTGTAGACTCTATGAAGATGGGGGCCGCCGATCCTTTTTTGAAATTCACGGCTTTGGGCAGAACCGAGAATTTTCCCCAAAATATTTTTATTATTAATAAGGTCAGTTAATTTTCGTTTTTTATCTTCATAGACTCTACACATTACATCAAAACGGTCAACTAATTTTTGGTTTTTATGGAGGAAATTACGTTTAATTTCGGGCCAATTGGGATTGGAGGTGAAGGTCAACATGAACGATGCACAACCCTTACGTCTTGTGCGAGACATAATGGTTGTTGCATCATAGAACATGTCTTGGAAGTAGGGCCGGGTCCCAGGATGATATTTACGGAAAAATACTACACTTGTAATGTCGTCGACTGATTTCAGTCTTCCGTCATTAGCCAAGTGTTTAAGGATTGTTGGGGGAATGGTTTTAAGAAGGTTAAATCGGGGTTGGCGTAAGAAACTTGCTACTTGAGCATCAATTCGTGCCGCATAGTCAAGAGTAAATTTTTGTGAGAGGCCACCACCTGCACTCCAAATGTTGTGCAGGGGCTCGTTCTTGCGAATAGCAAGACGATAGCGAATATAATCGCGGAAGGAGATGTAATTTTTGGAATTGGGGCTTTCTTCAAGCTCATCATCGGATCCTGAATCCTCCGAGTGGTCCTTAACTGACTTTGGGGGAATTTTATTAGTATTAAAGGGGTATTTTTCATAGAAACCATCATCTCCATTGGGAAATAATAGGGGATAAGTAAGAGTGTCGACAATTGGATTATAAGGTTTAATTTCAAATAAAGATCCTTGGAGATCAGTAATATAAACACCTTTTAATAAGGGGGGATCAGTGGACTCTGTCCAGATAGAAAACATCGCCTTCTCGTCAGGTAAATTTACTTGACGAGGATGCGCTGTACGATCTCTAATAGGGGCAGGGACATTTCGTTCCTCCAAAAGAGTAAACCGAAATTTGCTTACAGCATCGGGGCCATCCTGTTGCAGGATCCTTTCATACTGAGTATGAAAGTTAATATAATTTCTGGCAAAGGGGTGGGTGGTCCTAAGGAGGGTGTCTAAGTCGTGGAGAGTTTTCTTGTTTACACGGTCACCCCCATATTGAGTATTTTTGGTGCGTATATCCAGAGCTTCATTAGCATCCAGAATATACAATTGGGAAAAGGAAGGAGTTAAAGGGCCCGGGAACATTGAACTAATACGTCTAGAAAACTCTCCATTTAACATCAAACAAACACTACCATGGAGGGAAGAATCTTGGTGGCCAACGGAAATGGATGCAAAGGCTAATAAACTATTATAAATATTTTGATTGCTAAGAAATTCCTTGGATTCTGGAGTATTCCCTGTTAATAATTTTTTTAATAATGGGGGATGTTCAGTATATGCAGGGAGGGTTACTTTACCACATTTACAACAGAAGGAGGAGGTATCCCGTTTAAATTGTCTCTTATGATCCTTATTAACTTCCGAATTAAATAATAATGCCCAACAATAATAACAAACGGAGTCTCCCAGGTTTCCCGAGTCATAATATTTAGTAGTATGCTGTGATCGAACATCAGCACAGGGCCATAAGGGGTGATTACCAGTACAACGACTTGTAATTGGATTGGAAGGTGATGGGGAATTAAGGGCAGAAGTTGCTGGTGTAGCATCCTTCTTTGACTTAATACGCTCTGATCGGCGCAAATTTTTGGAGGGAGGGTCGGGTTCTAAGAACACGAAGGGGTAGTTGGGTACAACCACCCCTTCGTCGGGAATTACATGTTCGATGACATGTTGAGGGGGGTCTACATGTTCGATGACATGTTGAAGGCGAGGGTGGTACTCAAAATTATCCCCATTAAAAAGGTTATTAACGTGCCAAAGTATTCTACGTTTTTCGGTATTAATATTAAGATTATTAAAAATAAGATTACGATTGTTAAAAAGCCATGCTTCGGCATATAAACAGGTAAAGTACCCACAACTGTTCCCATCAGTTTGGCGGGTATATAAATTAGTGGGATAGTCGTTAATATGAATATTATTAATAGGAATATTAGTCATACGATTAATATAAGAATGAATAATAGGAATCCTTTGATCACCATGCAATCGTGATTGAAGGGGGAAAAAGAGGGAATCAATAAAAAATCCTCTATTATCAGAGGCATCCCAAACTACTAAGGTCCAGTGATGTGGGAAGGCAAGGGGGAAAAGGATTATCTCAGGCACTTGGCCTGGGATAAAACCATAGCACCGGTCTACGAAAGCTTCCTCTGGAATGTCTTGGACATTCTGATTCATAAGAAGCGGAATAATGACATTTGAGTCAACTACTACGGTGTATCTATGGCATTGTCGGGACAGATAGCAAAGAAATCCATAGATTTCAGAGCCATCGAACCACTCTGTTAAATTATTCCAGAGGGTTTCTATACGAAGGGGAGCCCTATCATTATCTTCATCACGAAGTTCCATGAAAGCCCTATTACAAATTGCCCCAGGATCATTAGTCTTTTGGGTCACAAAATTAAGTAAAGGTAAATTTTCAAAATTAATAGTGGGAACCATGGGAACCTGAGGTGGTTGAGGAGGTTGAGGAGGAGGCTGTTTTTTGGGTCTTCCCGTGGTTCCTCTCGTTTTCTTTTTAGGGCGACCACGTTTAGTGGCAATAGAATTATTAGGAGAGGATGCACGGGAAGAAAAAACAGATGAGGAATCAAAGGAAATTAAACTTTCGGTGTCAACAGATGACTCTCTAGTTTTCATCTGTTTCCTTGGCGCATCGGCCTCGGATGTAAGGGAAAAAGGGGTTAAGGGAGTTGTTGGTGTATGAGGGGGACCCGGGTCATCAGATGGATCACAAATATTAACATTTTCAAAATTAAAGTGAAGAGAATGATGATGAGAAGAAGAAGGAAGAGAAGAAATAAAAGAAGAATCACCACCCTGAGTCGGGTTGAAAGATATATTGCTCTGAAGAGAGCAGTTTTGGTTTCCCAGATAAGAATTCTGATCAGAATGCTCTGGTTGGACATCCTGATCAGTGCTCTGAAGAGAGCAGTTTGGGTTAGAGTCCGCCGAACGGCGTTTTTGATCTTTTTTGCGCTTTAAATAATTTTTAGAAGGCATAATTGTTAAAATATATTAATATTTAATTATTAAACCCAAATTATCGAAAAATATTTATTCAAACTCGCAAAAAAGAGGTAATAGAGGGGAAGATGAAGAAAGAGAGGAAGATGAAAAAGAGGAAGAAAAAAAGATGAAGAAGAAAAAGATAAATAAGAGGAATAGAGATAGATGAAAGAAAAGAAAAATTAATCTACTGCCCCAAAAATAAAATAAATCTACTGCCCAAAATATAAAAATAAATCTACTGCCCAAAAAATAAAATAAAGCTACAGCCCCAAAAAATATATCTACTGCCCCAAAAATATGAATATACTGCCCAAAAATAAAAATAAATCTACTTCCCCAAAAAAAATTACGCAAAAAATAAACAGAGGGTGAAAGGGACAAGTTTCGCTACACATCTACGCAGGAAAAAATATATTGAAGAACAAAAATAAAAGTTCTATAAATTACTTCTGCGTAGAATAGTAGCGGAACCGACATAGTATGAAATATAAATCAGTTCTGCCGAATCTATGACCATCATTCTACCAAACATGATTGTGTTTAGGTTTTTAATAATTTAGTTTCAATTTTACAAAAAAGGTTTAAAATATAATTTATTTTAAATTTCTTTTATTTATAAATTTAAAAGTTTAATCATGTTTGATAGAACTCTGAACAAAGATTGGAGTGAGGGAAAAGGTTCTGACCAAGGCTTATGCCGTACGCATTGGACGATGTGACTTCAGGGAGGAAAAAAATAAAATGAAAAAATAAAAGAACCCAGGGAAATAGAGAGATATTAAGTAATTAATATAATTGAATGATTTCGAAGGTAAAATAGAAGGTTCCTAAGTCTTTTTAAAGTTAAATAGTGTAAATAATTGTATTATTATAAATTTAAAAATTATATTATTCAGTAAAGTCAAGTGAAAACTATTTTTAAAAAATGGGGAAAATATTTTAATTTTTTTAAAAATCAGAAAGGAAAGAAAAAATTCAAAAATGAGTAAAAATCCCTCGAATTAATTATTTTGGGGTGGGTAGAAGTCACATATCCACGTACAGCCCTTGGTAGAAGTCACCAGATGGCATCAACTGGGGGGTACCAGCTGACTGGAGTGCCAAAAGATGAAAATTTGGGTACAGAAGTTAGGAGCGGAGTCTACCTGGGCTTCCAACCGGTGTAGAGAAGGGAATGAGGCCCACCTTAGAGTTCAAAGCATGATGCATACCAGTATTGGCATCCGCGCAGTAGGCTAGTATGCATTAAAAGGGGAAAAATTAAATATATTTAGGATTTTTGAAGTTTTAAATAGTTTTTTCTAAGTATTTATATTGGGGGCATGCTTTTTACTCTTCGGTGATTTGACAACACCACATTCCCGACCCTAATTGGAAGGAGCCACTTGAGGTAGCTAAGAAATGATGCATTAAATGCATACATTAGTAAACGTGCAATGCTCCGAGGCGAAGTGCAATGCCCCGTATGAGCTGTTTAACTAATGTGTAATGAAAACCCACACATTATGCAGCACCAGACTCCACAGGTCTTCTGCGGGATTATATCCGAATGGTTGGCCTTTTTGAGGTACCTGTACTATAACCCGAAAATTTTTATTTTTTTTAATTTTTGAGTACAGGTACCAAAAAACCATAATGTCTACGAGTATTGGTAACTTAATACACAATAGTAGACATTATGATTTAGCCAACCAAACGGAAGCACGCATCCTGCTTCCTCCGGTTAACTACATAATGATTAGGGGAAAGCTCTCTTTATTATAAGAAACCCCAGAATGGGGAGGGAGGAAAGAGAAAGAGAAGAGAGAAAGAAGGGGGAATAGAAGAAGAAGAAAGGAGAGAGAGAGGAGAGAGAGAGAGGAGAGAGAGAGAGAGGAGAGAGAGAGAGGAGAGAGAGAGAGAGAGAGAGGAGAGAGAGAGAGAGAGAGGGGGGAATAAATATAATTAAATAATTTGGGTTTAATAATTAAATATTAATAATTTATTTTTTAGAGAGCATATTTTTTTAAATTTTTAAATGATTTTGAAAAATGACTGGAAATGAAAATTATGGGGTATATCCTCCTCCTTATATAGTCCCATACCCCCCATAGTACTCCCCTGCCCCAGAGTTACCATTTTGAGATTTTGACCATTTTGAGCCCTGACCATTTTGAAATTTACCATTTTGACATTTTTTGCCAAAATGACCTACTCGGGATTCTGAATCGATCCGTGAAGGTCTCGAGCTCGAGTCGAGCTCGAGACTCGAGCTCGAGGGCTCGAAAGGTACAAAGTTGCTCCAAGTATAGGCATGTGGGTACTCGTTCAAACGGGCTCGTCGAGCTGAGTCGGAATATGCAGGTCTCGAGGTCGAGACTCGAGGCTGGTTCTCAAACTCGAGACCTCGCCCCTATTTTTGGGGGGTTTCTCTCAGAATATCGGTCCTTTTTGACCATAACATGGTCAGACTTAATTGAATCAGCATAGGTTATTCCTATCCGAGATTGTAAATCAATCATTGAACGTTTCGAGCTCGAATCGAACTCGAGACTCGAGCTCGAGGGCTCGAAAAATAAAAAATTGCTCCAAGTATAGGCATGTGGGTACTCGTTCAAACGGGCTCGTCGAGCTGAGTCGGAATATGCAAGTCCCGAGGTCGAGACTCGAGACTGGTTTTTAAACTCGGCACCTCGCCATCATTTTTGGGGTTTTCACACACGCTGACTCCCATAATTTTGTCAGACTCAAGTTACCCCCAAACAGAGTATATATTTTTCGGTGGATTTTAGGACGCTCTACAATATGACCTGGCAATATATGCGAAATACCCCTTCTTTGGTACCCCAATGGGTATGGTACCGCCCAACCCAAAATTTCGACTCTCTATAACTTTGCCCAAGATGGTCAGAAAAATTCGGAAAAAATATTTTTAAACTCAGCTCGATAAGGGCTTTCGATTGATATAACATTTGGCCCATTTGTACCCATTCTCAGAAAAATATTTTTTTCGTCGAAAATTTTGGCTGAAAAAATCGACCAAATTTTAAAAAATTCATAACTTTCCCAAAGTTAACCTTTTTTTAAGATTTTAAAATCTTATTCTATGCAGAAAAATCTGCTCTATCCCGGAAAAATACCTAAGCCTCGAACCGCCGGCAAAAATCCCAAAATTTTTTCGAAAAAACGAAAATTTTTCGAATTTTCAAAATTCGACCCCCTCGGGCTCAATTTCGAATATTTTCAAAAATTTTTCGCCTTAAAAAATTTGTAATTTTTTATACTATTTTATAAAGCAAAGCTCATCCCAATCCGGCAATCCAAAAAAAAGTTATGCCAATTTAAAAATTCCCGAAATTTCAACAAAAGGGGTACCCCTTTTGGGATAGGGTCGGGAAAAAAATTTGTTATTTTTGGGTCAAAAATGGCCAATAAGGTGCATTCGTAGCCGCTGAGTCCATATCCGCTCTCAGAAAAATTAAAAAAAAATTCCCCGGGACGTTTGAGTCTCAAAAAGATTTGCGACATTTGCGAACAATCGCTGTAACTTTTTGAGACTCAAGTGGACCCCCGAGATATTATACTTTTTTCTGACCGGCAGAAGACGCTCTTTCGAATGTGCTATCTCAAACGGGTGAAACAACACTTTTTAAAAAATCCTCCCCAAACCCGAAAACTCTGACCGCCATAATAATGTCAGACACAAGTGACCACCGTTAGAAGTTTATATTATTTCGATGCATTTTAGGATGCTCTACAATATGACGTAAGTGTTTTTAATTTATTCCCACTCCTTAGGTACCCCACAAGCTAAATTACCCTCCAGACTCAAAAATTATAAAACCTCATAACTCTCCCAGACTCAAATGGAACCCCAAAAAAGTATATATTTTTCGGAGCCCTAAGAAATACTCTACAACATTACCGGACCATATTTGACTAATTGCCCCTCCTTTGGTACCCCACAGGCAAAAGTAGGCCCCCCAGACTCAAACGTTTGACCGACCATAACTTTGGTCAAAATGGTAACAAAATTTTACAAAAAATATTTTTATACTCGGGTCGATAAGGGCTTTCGAATGATATAACATTTAGCCTATTTATGGCCATTTTTAAAAATTTATTTTTTAGGCCGAAAATTTCGGCCTGAAAATTCACCCGAATTTTCAAAAATTCATAACTCCCCCAAAGTTAACCTTTTTTGAGAATTTTATTCGGCTATTCTATGCATAAAAATATGCTCTATCCAGTAAAAATAGCCTCGGCTCGAACTGCCGGCAAAAATCCCAAAAAATTTCGAAAAACCGAAAATTTTTCGGGTTTTCGAAATTCGACCCCTACACCCCCAATTTCGAATTTTTTCGAAATTTTCTTCACTCAAAAAATACCTAATTTTTAGTTCTATTTTATAAAAGAAACCCCATCCCAATCCGATAATCCCAAAAAAAGTTAAGGTCCCCTAAAAAATCCCGAATTTTCCCCAAAAGGGGTACCCCTTTGGAAATAGGGAGTGGAACAAAATTTTGGAATTTTGGGTCAAAAATAGGCCTATATAATACTCTGACATGCGCTGAGTACGAATCCGGTGACAGAAAAATTTTAAAAAATTTCCCCAGAACGTTAGAGTCTCAAAAAGATTTGCGACATTTTGCCAATTTGGCTATAACTTTTTGAGACTCAAGTGGACCCCCAACATATGATACCTTTTTCCGACCGCCAGGGGACGCTCTTTCGAATGAGCTATCGAAATCGAGTTTCAATTCACTTTTGCATAACTCGACTCGAGTCGAAGTCACTCAAAGGCTCATAACTCCCCAGGACTCGATCTGAGACTCAAACGTCCCTTAACATAAATGTTCCTAACACTCTCCCCTACAAATAACTTAACACCGCCAAAGTGATTCCCCAGCAAGCCTTTTTCACTATAACCATTTTCCCCCCTCAGACTCAAGTATCCCACCCTCAGACTCAAGTGACCCCCACCAAACAAACATCGTAAAATCCGCATTAAATTACTCTATAATACCCCCCAGGTCCCATCCGGCTACGTCTCTGCATAAAAAAGTTACACTCGAAAAACCATTTGAGTACGGGTCGGACATTTCAGTCGCACGGGGGTTTCGACCTTAAGACTTAACTTTTTCGACCCGAATTTTTTTCTATTATGATCCACTAACAGTGACACAGATTCCTACCAGCAAGACCTTCCCCCCTTTCTATTGAACTTTTTTGAGATACGAAAAACCCACTTTCAGTTTGAGACTCTTGCGACCCCCAAAAAATTTTTTTCGTATTTTTCCCAGATGCGCCGTAAAAAGTACCCCCCAAGATGTCAGGCTTCTGGCGAGCGGCCGGCCTTCGGCCGGCCGATAATAGTTTTTAAACGCTAAAATTGATGTTTTTATAAGTATATATAAATTAATAAAGATAATAATAATAAGCCCCACACTTTTTATCCCCCCCCCCTCCCCCTCTCCCTTATACAAAAATAAATGTGATACGCACAAAAGGACATGCCAACTTAATTTTATTTGAGTAAAGCACAAAAGGGCGCGCGGCCCCTCTTCAATAAATTGCTTCAAGATTTCCAAATCTTTCCAAATTTAGTATTAAACAATTACTCTCAACGAGCTAAAGAAATTGGTGCCAAAATTGATAAGGTCCAGAAACTTTCCAGCTAATTATGGCTTTGCGTCATTATAGCCGCGCGCCCTTTTGGGCATGTCACATTTTATTTTTGTATAAGGATAAACATTGATCTTATTTTGCCTCTTTTAGGCGGCATTAAAGTGCATTAATAATCATGATACAGAAAAAGGGCGCGCGGCACTTTTAAATATTGAAAAAGTGCAAAATTATTTTAAAATATTTTTTCTTTGATTTTTTTTAAATTTCTTTGAATTATTTTTATTTTTTAAAAGTTTCAAAAGAAGTTTTTTTTCAATTAAATTATTTTAAAATACATATGTACTAAATATTATTGATTTAATAACTTGTATAGAATAATAAATTTTAGTAAACCTATAAAATTATTTTTTTTCAGAAAAAATATTTTTAAAGGAAATGTCAGAAAATTCTGAATTACTTAAACGGCTCGATCCTTTTGATTATTTTAAAAAATTTCTCGTTGAAGGAATTTACCCTGAAGGAAGAACAATTAATTCGTTTCGAGATTCTTTAATTGAATGTAGAGGGAATGTAAGTGATTATCAGGTAAATTGAAGTTTTTCTGAAATTAAAAGTAAATTTAAAAAGTCTTCTGTAAATGTTCAACAAGGAGGGACTTATATTTCTTGCAATGTTAAATTGAGTTTGGGACCAGATTCTGATGATTCTGTGTTTAAATGGGAAATTGAAGCAATGGAGAGTGTTCCCAAGGTTTTTGTTATTTTTTTAATTTTTTAAAAATTTCTTCTCTTCAAAAAAACAAAAATTATTTTAAATATTTTTAAAATTTCGACTTCTAATTAAAAATTTTCTAGTGCATTTTTTCTTAGGATTTATTAGAGCATTCAAAAGCCCATTTACGTGTATTACTTGGAAGTGATTCTTGTCTTATTTCTCCAGAACAATTGATTGTTTTTACTCAAAATGAAGGGAAAAACACAAAAAAATTTCAACTCAGATGGACTTTACATTTAAAAATAATGGTTTTTTTAGTTTATTTTTTTGGGTAATTTTGTTTTTTATTACACTGGCATTTTTATAGGCAATTATTCCCTAAAAATACAGCAAAGTTTATTTTTTTGGCGATTTTTTTAGAAAACTTCCCCTCTGTTTTTCTGCCTTAAAATTTCTCTTTTTATTTTTTAGGTTCTCAGTTGGGATGGTTTTCTATTAGATGCAATATTAACGGCAATACAAGCTTCTCTTTTAAATACACGGTTTTTATTTTTTTTAATTTTAAAAAAATTCTTTTTTAGCCTTCCAACATTTATTGAATACAAAACTTCAATTTTATCTGAAACTTTATTTGCTGAGGATGATGATTTTTTACTTGGAGAGGAAGTTCCTTTAGAATTTAATATTGAAAAGGTTTTTTTATTTTGCAATTAAAATTTGGAATTTATTAATTTTTGGGGAATCACCTGAAGAATTTTCTTTTTTTTTGTTCCGATCTTTTAGATTTTTTAGGATTTTCCCGTTCTTTTAAATCCTTAACCCATTTTTTATTTTGGTAAAATATTTAAAAGCAAAAATTTGTTAATTCAAGAATTAAAAATATTTTTAAATTATTTTTTAAGGTTCGGATTGTTAAACCTGAATCTGAAAATAAACCGTTAAAGTTAGAAAAAATATTAGCTTATTTGCCTTTTTTGCTTTGCACAATTGAAAATCAAGAGAAAAAACAAGTAGGTATATTAATTTAAGCTAAAAAAGAAATTCCTTTTTTTTCAAAGCGTTTTCTTCTCTGTGATCCCCCAGCAGATTTATGCAAACTTTATAATAATGATTTTTGTGAAATTATTATTGGACCAAATGGAAATATTAATTTATTAAGTATGTGTTGTTCACCTTCATTTTCAAAGTCTTATCCAAATGATATTGATGGAGAATTGTTAAATGAGGTAACTATTGTTGAATAATTGTTTGGATTTGTTGGGGGAGGGGAGGGGGCAGGCTTTAGTACCAAAAATTTTCTCTCAAATATATTTCTACTTTTTGGACATTTATCGAAATTTCTCCCACATTTTAAAACCTGTCCCGATTCTCTCAAAAATTTGGGGCTTTGACATAATTTGGGTAGTCTTCAATTATTTTTTACATATAAAATTTATTTTTATTTTTTTTAGATTATTAATATTGCTATCAAAAGACATCTATTTGTTAATAATGCTTTAAACAAGTGTATCCTTTGAAGTTTTATTTAATAAATTTTTGTTGAAATTTTTTGAAAATATTTCATTTTATTCTTTCATTCTTCCTGCCTTTTTAATCTTTTCTGCATATTAGAAAAATACAAATAGTAATTTAAAGGGTGTTGAATTTAATGGAGAATCTAGTTTTTTTACTCTCTAAAATTATTTATTCACAACTTTCTGGGCAAGATGCTTTAAGTGAAAGATAAATAATTATTTGTAATTTCTCTCTAGCTTCTTTACATTTTCCCTTCACATTTCCAATATTCCCACATATAGGTTGATCTCTTAAAAATATTTTTTCTTTTAAATCAAGGTAAGAAAAAAACTTTTTCCTTAGACAACAAATTTTGCAGGTTTTGGCACATTTAAATGAATAAGTTTGCCAATCTTTAAATTCAAATTAAATTATTGAAAATAAAATTAAAAATTAGCGATTTAGATATTTCCGGGTTCGGAACCTATAGCCGGGTTATCTGGTGAGTTATAGATTCACAAAACATGGGAATTACTATTTTAAATCGCTCACTTTGATCGTTCTCGCATCGGTCCTCGTTAACAACCCCGTTAGTGTGAAATACAAGTTGACATTGAGAATCAGAATAAAATTCATTTTGGCAATTATCCGCACCTGGACCAACACAGAGCATACCAAAAGTTGATAAAAATAATTGAAAAATTAAAAATAAATAGAAATTAAACATTCTTATTTTTTAATACACAAGGATTAATCGAAAACTTATGGAAATGCTAGACTTAATAAACTTGGATTTTTTTTAAATAGGTAAATTAAACTTTGGCCTCTTCAAATATTAGTCCATTTTAAGCTTAAATTCAAAGATTATTTTCCTCTTCCAAATATTCTTATTTTAAATTACCAGAGTAATACACAAAACAAATATTCCTGAGTTTCTATATTAGGCTAATTAAAATTATAGGTGTGACAATATTTCACTTGGAAATTTTGATAGTTCTATGAATAAAGAATTTCAGTTCAAAAATCAAAATATTATAAAAAATTTTTTAATCTCCGTGGGTTCTAAAAATTATTCTAATTAGGCATTCTCTGCGCTCGTACTCGTTAAGAGTTTAACTATTTTCTATCTCGAATTTTGACTTTGTCACTTTTCAAGTACATAAATAACCTTCTTAATCCTTTCATTCAAACAAAAAATATCCATATCAAAAGCTTTTTTTAAACAATTTGGTAAATATATTGACAAGGGCTAAAATAAAACCGGTGGAACAAACAAAATAAATTTGTGGCAAAAATAGAGAGGGTAACACGCACATATTTTTGTGCAATCATTTGATGAGGTCGAAATAAAATATTTTCTTTGCAATCCCTCAGAAAACTGTCACAACAAAATTAACATGTCTAGCCACCCCTCAATTTTTATTGCTCATTATTACGTTTTGATCCGTGCCGGTCTTTCTATAAAAATTGTAACATGAAAATTAAATTTGGAGGATCTCATTCCATGTCTGGATTTGAGCCCTAATTTCTATTAATTCAGAATTAATGTAAGGTCAATACATTCTTCAAGTGAATGATTTTTTTACTTAAGCCATCATAAATCAAAATATTTATCTCAGGTTCTTAAGATAGATGGGTAAAAATCAAAAAAACTCAAAGAAATTTTTTTCCCCATTTCAAGCCTCATTTTCCCTTCAAATTATAAAAAAATTAAAATTAACATTGTGTTCAGGTCGATTTCCATGCCTAGGAGCATTCCCGATTGCCAGCTGATTGAATAACTCTAAATCAATATCTCCTCGGCTGTCAGTTCTTTCAACTTCTTGATGTTGAGTTTCACCTGAATCTTTTAAATTTTGTATTGAATTCCTAAATTAAAAAAAAATAAAAACACAACTACGTTTCCTGTGATGCAAATTCTGAACTTCAGCTTCCTGAGGTGGAGAAAGGCTTTGAACTCGAGATAGCAAACGCTTTTGACCACAAAGTGTGCATTTTGTTGCTTTTGGCCAATTGTCGAATGTACTGAAAAAATTTTTTAAGAGAAATTAATTTTTAAAGGATTTTTATGATTTTAGCTAAATCTATGGTCAAAACTTGTATATAGGAAAAAAATAAGGCCAGTTTTTGACTTAAAATTTAGTCCAAAGACAGATCAAATTTTAAAAAAATAACGGCATTTAAAATTAACTTTAAAAATTTTTTCAACTAACCAACTCTGACAAGTCCATTTATTAAGTGCACGAGAAATTGAATTATTATCCTTGTGCGGTTGAGTATGAATAATAGTCTGCTTAATTGGAATAACTTGGTTGTTGATAAATGGTGGAGTTGCATAACGAAGTGGTCTATCAGTATTACATTGAATGCAACGCTTTGTACGCTGACAATTCATATATGTACCTAAAAAACAAAACAAGATTTAAATTCCGTTTTAGTAAAGCTAATTGGAAATAAAAATAGAAAGAGAACACAGTAAGTGATCCCAACATATCCGCTAAATGGACTTATTGCCTAAAACAATTAATATCCGGGCCCAGGATTTTTCAAATTATTTAAATTTATTTGGTAATATTTAAATTTGACATAAAAATTATATGTAAAAATAAAAAAAATAAATATTTACATGTTGGACAAGGCCAACGGAGTTGTTCATCGTGAACGATTGAAGTTTTCACTGGAGACTCATTAGCAGGACAAAGTTCTAAAATTCACAATAAAAATTATTAAAAACAAAAAACCTTCAATAAGCATTGGTTTATTCCGAGGTTGATAACACAAAACACATTTAATGCTAGCATCCCAATTGAGAAAAGTGCAATAAGTGCAAGCCCACTTTTTTGGAACAGAGTCGCCTTTGGAGGAACTTTCAGCCATATTTTTTGTATTTAAAAAATAAAACAAATATATTTTATTTAAATAACAAAATAAAAGGTTTACTACTTAAAAAATAAACAATTAAAAATAAAATCGAGAAAATCATTTAGATACCGCGTGAACAACAAATTACCTAAATCCCTCTTTTTCTCTAGCTGTCTCTACTTATTTATAACACTATATCCACTTTGAGTTTTATTTAACTGGAAGAGTATTCCACGTTTTTGATAGGTTTATTAGCTGAAGATATTCTTCTTTTGTCAAAATCTAGATCAAAAAATTATGAACGGTGAACTACTATTGTACTCTAATGTTTTAACTCAATTTTACAGAAAGGTGAAAAATAATGGGAGCGGTTAGAGAAATAAAGAGAGACGAAATAGTAGGTAAAAATTTTCGCGTTCTGCAGCTGCGGTTAGACACGATTCCGTGCGCACGATTCCGTGCACACGTTTCCGTGCACACGATTCCGTGCAGGCACGTTTCCGTGTCCGTTATAAAAAACACGTTTCCGTGCCCAATTATTTAAATATTTTTATTTTTTTAAATTTTTATAAAATTTTAAATATTTTTTAAGTATTTTAATCCCCCTTGTAATCAACTTATCAACTTTGCTTCAGTATTTTTCTTTTCAATTCAAAAAATTTACGCGGAAAAAAGTTTTTGCCGCTGCGGAGGAAGCCGGGCATGTCGAGCGGAACGACGGCCGCCGCTTCGCTACGGTCGCCGCGAGCGAAGCGAGCACGACCGCAGCGAAGCACGGCCATCGTGTAGCGAAGACCATGCCCGGCCTACCCTCCGTAGCAGCACAAAAACGGTTTTTCCAGCGAAGATTCTGTTAGTCATAGGCTAGAAGCAGGGTTCTAATTTTTTCAAAATAAAAAATTTTTTTTAGATTTTTTCCTCCATATCCACCAATATCCCCTTGTTGATGTCTCGATGTCATGCACAAGTCCCTATATATTCAATGTACCCCTCAAAACCTTTTCTTATTGTTTATTATATTAAAAAGAAATTGGGCACTGGAACGTGTTTTTTATAACGGGCACGGAAACGTGTGCACGGAAACGTGTGCACGGAATCATACCCCACCGCTGCAGCTGAGTGAAAATTGCAATAAAATTTCGGCGTTGTTGCGTATTTCTGATTTACTAAACTTTTAATTGTTTAAATTCAAGAACTTTACTTTAATAGATCTTAATTTTTTCTACAAACATTTCTCAATATTCACGTTATGTTCGAACAATCACAACACAGTTCTTCTATAACTCCTTCATTGTCTGATAATAGCATTTCTGGGATGACTAATACTTCAATGTTAAATTCACAAACATTGGAAGAGTATTGTTGGTATTGGGGTGCAGCAACTAAAGAAGAAATTAGTGCTGCGATGGAAGTGAAATTTTAAATTTCAACTGGTTTATATCCTTTTTTATTTGACAGAATCAACAAAATGGTACCTTTGCTGTACGAGATGCTTCAACAAAAGGGCAATATACTTTAACTTTGCGTATTGATGGAACCAACAAACTTATCAAAATTCTTGTAAATTATTTCTATTTTATTAAATCAATTTTCTTTTAAGGTAGAAAATGGCAGATGTGGATTTACTCAAGATTCTATGGATTTTGATTCTATGGCCAGTCTTGTTCAATTTTATCAAACTTGCTCTTTACGAGATTTCAATGAAAAACTTGATACTTGTTTGCTCTATCCACTTAAATCGCCACAATCATTAACTTGTCAGAATTCATTGAAGGTTCATTGGTTTTCATTTATTCATAATTATTTTTTTATTTTTCAGTCAGATTCAACGATAGATCCCTCTTATCGTGTCAGTTTACTTAAATGTACATTTGAGGTCCTAAACTTTATTTAGCTGCAACAATGTTTTTCTTTCAATCTTTAGGCTATTCATGCTGAATATGATCGTGTTTCTAGACGTTATGATCAGTTATTTAATCAGCAATTAGCGTTAAATGAAGAGTACAATCGGAAACAACGTACAGAATCTGCCTACGCCGATGCTTTGAAAATATTTGAACGGAAAATTGCTGAATTGAAAACGTATGGAATTTTTTCGACTCGAAAAAATTGCTAGAAATTCTTATTTTAGCACAATATCTGGAGAAAAAGATCTCAATGACCGTGATCGTGAATCTCTTACAATAAATATTGAATTGCAGGAAGAGAGGTATTTTAATAAATTTTCCTGAATTATTAATTTTAGGATGGAAGAAATTGGAAAAGCCCAAAATTTAATGAGGGCAGCAATTCAAAATATAGGGCTTTCTCTTCAAAAAATTAATGAAGAACTTGGAAGATTAAAACCTTTACTGCTTAAATTACACAAGTTTACATTTATTTTTAGTTATTTTTATATTGTTTTTTTCAGAAAATGTGAAAAATATCGAGATAAACTTCTTGAAATGTCCAAACAGAAAGTTACACACGCCCAACTGGATAGAGTTGTCCAAAGTGTTTCTTTTGCGGTATATTTTATTTTTTAACATCTAATAAAGGACTGCTTTTTAAAAAATATATTCAAAATTTCTCTTTAGCTTGATTCAGAAACTTCCACTTTGAGCACATTTTTACTTAGAATTTCATTGCCAATGTCTAGCTGGTGTTGTGAATGTTGGTTATGGCATCAAGCAACTAAAGTTTGTTTGTTTTACTTCGCTAATCTTGTCATTTAATAGGATGAATCGATAGCACTTATTCGTTCTCTAATGAATGATTTTGACAATTCAAATGCTTCATCAGATGGCATTTTCCTCATTAGGCCAAGTAGTTCGCGTATTGGTTTTTACGCTTTAGAAATATCAAAAGACGGAAATGTGGTCTGTTTTCTTTTTTTCTTTTTCTAATTTTCATCACTTCAAGCATTCCTGTTTAATTGAGTATCGTGATCCTAGAACAACAATTGACCATTCTGGAGGTTATGGCTTTGCACAAACACAAATGCTTTTTGCTTCACTGATGGATTTTGTTCGATATTATTCTGCTGTTCCATTAAAAGAGCATAATTCTGTTTTAGACACTCCTCTTATAACGGTATAAAATTTAGGAAAAGTATTCGAATAATTTTTTTAGCCAGCTCTGAGTCAATTAAAACAAAGAAAAGAGAAGAACAATTCTAATACATCTAATACCGACCACCAACGTGATAAAGCAAAATTAAAAAGGATTGAAGCAATCGATGACGCGACAGAGTTGAGTACGAGTAGAGATGATGAGAGGAGTAATGAGAAAATACTTGGCACTTTGTAATTTTTACTGAAATTTTTGTATAAATTGTATATAATTTTTATTATTTTTAAAAAATTTTTCAGAAATTATTTTATATTTACTAAATATTTTTGTATTTTCTATTAAGTAATGTTTTAATTTCTTTTCCTATAGACTTAATTTTTGCGGATGCGCGAATTTCCTAAAAATTGGCCTGATTCTGCTAGTCGAAATAAATCGAGGTAGGTTAATTTTAAATATTTGGAAAGTTATAGTTAAAATTCAAAAAACCTTGATGCTATACATATTTGTATTAAGACCCTAATAATACCAAAATGGTCGAATATAAACGCATATCTCGACATTTAAGAATAACTCGAATTATCTAAATATTAATGTTCTAATAATTCTTTTTTAGTGCAAGATTTAAACAATTAAATTATTGTTTGAAAGACATTCGTGTTCGAGTTTCTTTGTTCGCTTATTTACTTCCAAATTGTTTTATTTCAATATTTGAACGATACAATTCAAATATATTTTTATCTTTTATTATTATTGCAATTTTGGGATTTATCTGTGTTGTTTTAATTAAAAATAGTCGTCAACGATGGATGGTATTATTTTAAATAATTTTTTATTAAGAATTTATTTTTTAATTTAGTATTCTTCTCAAGCATTTCTGCTTGGCACTGTTAATGCCTGGGCAGTCAAATTTATTATTGATGCATTCGAAAAGGGGCGTACTGATGTGATCACTTTTTGTTTATATGTTATATTGTTTGGCCTTTTTCATTTTAGCGAATTTCTCATGACAGGTTAATTTTTTTATAAATATTTTAATAATAAAATTCTAATTTTTTAAGCATATTCTAATCCTGATTCACTTCGGCCTGATTCTTTTCTTCTAAATCATTCTTGGGCTTATTGGACAGCAGCAATGTGCTCGTGGATTGAATTTTGGACTCGTTTATGGATACTTCCCAGTAATTTTTTAATTAGCATATTTTTGAGAAATTACATTTAAAAGCTTTAAATTTTCGAAAAATTTAAGGTTGATCAAAATTTATTTCAGTACATCATTTGCAGCATTCTACTCTCCGTTTGTTTCTCTTGCCGGGTTGACTCTTTGCATACTGGGTGAAATCTTTCGAAAATTGGCTATGTGTCATGCTTCTGTTGGCTTTACACATCAGGTGTCACTTCAAAATAAATTTTTTATTATTAAAATAATTTTTCTAGATATCATTTCGTCGGAGCAGGAATCATAGTCTTTGCACAGATGGTGTCTATGTATTAGTCCGGCACCCAGGTTTTATTTATTCTCTTTATTAAGAATTTTATTTTTAGGTTATATGGGTTGGATGATGTGGTCAATTGGTACTCAAGTAAATATTTAAATTATTTTAAAATTATTTTAAAATTTAAGTTAATCCTTTGTAATCCAATTTGTGTAATTTCTTATGCTATTGTGTCTTATCGATTCTTTGAAGAACGGATATATGAGGAAGAACGTTATCTTATTGGTATTTATTTCGTTAATTATTTTAGTATGTAGTCATAATTTTAAAGAGTTTTTTGCTGAGCGTTATATTGCCTATCAGCGTTTTGTGCCAACTGGAATTCCCGGTATTAGTGGATATGAGCCTACTCACTAATATTGTTTTATTGACTTTTGTATGGAAAATATTAATTTGAAATTAAATAAAAGAATTAATTTTTCAATTGATCTCTTTATAACATTTTTGTTATTAAAGATTTTTATAAAAATGCATTTATTAAAGGTTTTGAATTTTTTTTTGTTTATTTTCACATTTTTGTATTGAATCGATCTTTTACCATATTTTTCAAGTTATTTAATTTTTCTATTCTCTACATATAGTAGATACAGATTTAAAATTAATATTTTATTTAAAAATGAATGGAACAACATCCAATTCGACTGTGAATGGTGTCCCTACCTTCAAAGAAGAAAACGACTCAGATGAGGGCATCGGCAAATCTGAAGCTCATACAAATGCATTTAAACGTCACAAAATTCATTTATCGCCAAAAGATGATAAGGCTACTGGATTTTCGCAAACTCCGCCTTCAAATGGCACAAATTCAGTATTTGTCACGCCTGGCATTTATAAAAGAAAAATTTGTAAACCGCGAATAAAGGAATCGACTGAAGAGGTTTATTGTTAGCTTGAATAATCTTGATAAATTTATATTTAGGTCAAATTTACCTGGTCGGTTGATGAATTGGCTATTTTCCGACCTGTCAATTTTGATGATGCTGAATTTTCTTTGCCGCCGGATGATTGGTAAGAAATATCTAGTTTTATGTTTACGCCTATTTTGTCGTACCTAATAAAACAAATGTACGATCTCGTAGCAAGATTCATTTTATCGACTCAATCCTTATAAAATATTTACCATAAATATTCTTTTATTTTAAGGAATCCCAACCCTCACCACGATGTAGAAAAATTTTGGAGTCGAAATACACAAATATTTCCTTCGCCAGATATACAAAACGTTTTTCGACCTGTTGGTGAAAATTATACAAAATCTTCATCGAGCTCAAGTCCTAACTGTTACAGTTATTCGTCGGAGGATTTTTATGGACAAAATAGTACTGAAAGCAGCAGTAGTCGATCTACTTCAAATGTATTTCTTTTTAATTTTACTTATATTTTTAAATCTTTTAGAAACGATTTATTCACTCATCAGACAACTCGCCAGACGATGCTTTGCTCTTTAAGGTTGAATTTTTGGAATTTATATGGGTATTTTAAAATTGTTTTGAATTCTTTCTTAAATGATTAATAGACTATATTAACATCGTAAAAATTTCCACCAGGATTTTGTCTTCGAATTTGTAAAAACTTCCCTTACTCTCTAAATGTTATATTCAAAGAATCTTCAGTTGGATAATATAAAGGATGAAAAAGAAAACGAGCATGAATTTGAACAAATCGAACACTCATTGTCAATTGGAGATGATGCAGATCAAATCTTTGCAGATTTGGAACACGAAAGTGGAAGTTTTGTTATGCGACAACAAGTCAATAGTCCTTTAGAGAATGTAGAAAAGTTTTTATTTTTAGAGGTTAATTTTAGTTTTTTCCTTGAAACTTTAACTAACGTTTTCAATTTTAAGACAAGTCCAATAAAACCTAATAGCTAATATATGAAGGGAATTGGTGATAATTTTTGTAAATCTTAAAGACAATGAAAAATGGATAAGTAATAATTGATAATAATATTGAACATTTAAACTTGTTTATTTTAAAATTATTTGAAGGGTTAAGATAAAATTTGAAGTTTTCTTTTGTAATTTCTTAACAACAAGTTATTTTCCTTTCTTGTTTTTCTTCTTAAACTAAATCCAGAAAAAAATAAATATTTATTCTCAAAGTTGTAAATTTAAAAAAGTTGGTACTTTTATGCTATGTCACACCCACTGCTATCTAATTAAAGTCCTTTAATCTCCCAATTCTTGTATCAATCGACTACCATCCCAAGTAATCTGTGAGGTGTGAAATAACCGAAAAGAACCAAAAAAATTTCCTTAAAAATAAATAAGTGAAAACTTAAACGGTGGCAAGTCGTTTTGGAAGTTTTTTATTGTTGCGTCTCTTTTCTTCCATTTCAATAAAAAGTTTTTCCTTCATTAAGATCTTAATTTCGTCCTTCCCGCGAGCAAGTTCCAATGCCTTATCATAAAACTTGATTGCCTCTTGAATGTTCTGCCTAAAAATATTTTATTTTGCCATGAAATTTAATTAAACTGTTAAAAAAATTTCCTCACTTATTAAGTTGCATTTTAGCAAGCATCCTGTAAGGTTCCCAATTATTTGGATCAGCTTCTAATGCATTATTCATTGTCTTCTCCATATTTTGAAAATAAGCCTCAAAATTATTTTGACTCATTCTCTCACTCGGTTGAGGTTCCAAAACTCTAAATTTTTATAATTTATTAGAGAATATTTAAACAATTAAACCCAGAAAGATAAATAGCAGCAGAACAATTAGGCATTAATTCAAGTGCTTTTTTAATTGATTCAACAGCAATTTCGTTGTTTTGCAATAAAATGCCAATCTTATAAAGGAAGTGAAAGATATTTAAAAATCTATATTTAATACTTTGACATGCATCATTAGAGCAAATACTGGAGGATTATCGGAATCCTTGAAATTTTTTTCCATAGCAAGTACATGTCTATGAATATCTGCAGTATTTCCACTACGAAGTGCCGTTACGAAATTAATATAAGTCTCATAATATCTAAATGAAAATTAATGAATTTTTTATTTAAAATTTTGTTTTCTAATAAAATTTGTATACCAAAAATCTTCTTCTTTTCAAAAGCTTATTTTCAACATTAAATACAAACTTAATAAATTTATGATCCTTATCCAATTGTTTTGCCTTCTCCAAAGCATTTGTTGCTTCTTCTAGTTGTTCAGTTCTTAGAAAAGTAGAAACAAGAAATATCTAAATTAACGTAAATAAAATTTATAAATGTATATTATTAGGCGCGGACATAATTAGTGACACATTTTTTCAATCGCTGATAAAAATGTTAAACTCTTATATTTCTCTCTTAATTTATATATCATTTTAAAGCTTAAAAAGTCCGCTTTCATTTCATATATAACGCAAAGTTCGAACGCAAAACGAACGCAACGCAAAGTTCTACCCAAAGTTCGAAATTTTGAGTTTTTGGGGGTATCTCTACTCGTTTTTTCCTTTACTTGACATTAGGGTTTTTGTAAATTTAATTCTTAATTTAAAAATTTTATAAAATTTTGTTAATACTATCTTGTGTAACTCAGAAAGGGCTTTCGAATGGTATATTACAAGTCATATAAAATTCAGAAATTTTTCAAGAAAATTTGAAATTTGTAAAATATGCCTGATTCGACTTTTTCGACCATAACTTTTGAAATACTTAACCAAAAAATCTCAAATTTAATAATTTGATGGACAAACCCATGATGAACATATATAAAAAATTTCAAATGGATTGGTTAATTTCTGTTTATATTATAGAATTTTCCGCAAAAGCGTGCGAATTTCAGTTTGGGTTAGAGACATTCTTTAATTTATAAAATTTGAAATTTAATTAGAAGTCTATCAAATTATATATAAAATGAAAGCGGACTTTTTAAGCTTTAAAATGATATATAAATTAAGAGAAAAATATTAGAGTTTAATATTTTTATCCGCGATTGAAAAAATGTGTCACTAATTATGTCCCCACCGAATAATTTTACCAAAGGATCAACATTTAAAGGATTAATACGAAGCGCCTCATCAACTAATTGATTTAAACGTTGAAGTTTTGCCTCATTTAATGTCACATTTTCTCCATTTCCATTATCAATTCCAGATTCGTCTGTCTGATTACGTTCTAAGGTCATTTCAAGCACAATTTGAGCAACATTCAAATCTTTGTTTGCCAATTTCTGAGCTTCATCTTAATTTACAAAATAAATAATTAATTAAAAAATATATACCTAATTGTTCCCAAAAAGTCTTAAATTTGTCTGCCATAGCCACAGCTTCCTCCTCCAACCCATGATAATGAAGAAAACGAGCAGCCAAAAGTACAGCTTGTGCTTTTTCAATATTATCATTTTGGTCGTTTTCAATGGCCTTTGTCGACAACGAAACAATTTCGCTGTTTAAAAATTAAAAAACTTTAATAAAAAATAATTAAAAATTACTTGTAATTACAACGTTTTAATTCAACCAAAGCAGCATCCAAACTTCCTTCGCTAGCTTTTTCATGAAGTCCAGCAGCCCTCAACAACAACGGGTCATGAATCGAAGTGCAAAACTGCCAAGGTTCAACAACTGATTGAGAAATTTTCTGTCGCTGTCCTACACGATTCTGTACTGAAATTTCGGTAAAAATAAAAGAAATAAAAATTACCTCTAAAAGTTTATTGCATTCAACCTCGCTAATCTCATTCATAAGTTTGTCAACGTCATTTTGAATGACCGCAATTTGTTGCGAAGGCATAGAGCCTTGCTCCAATGAAAGCGAAACCAAATAGTCTAATAAATAAAATTTAAAATATTAAATAATTAATAAAACCTTCAAGTGCCTCCAAAGGTCTTTCCAAACGATGTAAACATCTTGCCCTACGAACAAGCGCCTTTGCATAATCAGGCTTTAATTGAATAGCTTTGGTGCAATGTTCAATGCATTTAATTGAATCAAGCTTAAAAAGGTAAATTAAAAATATTTTAAACATTTCTAAATAACCAAAGCATCATAACAAGCCGCAATATTATTTTCACATGCTGCCATCAATTCATCATATACCTGACCTATCAATTTAGATGGCTCGTCATAAAGTGATTGAATTATGTCATTAAAAATTTGTATGGCTTCTTGGTATCGTTTGTCTTTGTAAACATCAATTCCTTGCGCTTTCTTTTGTTCTGCCCATACAAGAAAAGCATTACGCGTCCGTCCCCCTCTAGTCTTTTTCCATAACTAAAATTATTTTAAAAAATAAATTTATTTTTTAAAAATAAACACAAACATAATAAGCCCCAATTCCCACTCCAATTCCAGTTCCAATACCAATTAACCAAATTCGATGTTTAGAAAGTAGGGATTTGTCAAAAGAAAAAATGCCGCGTTTAACATTATTTGCACTTGTAGACGCCAAAATCGCTCTCATTTTTAATCAAGAATAATAATCTAAAAATAAATATCAAATAATAAAAAGTGCCATTGACAATACAAGACAATGTTGATTTTTGGTTAAAAAGAATAAAAAAACTCGTGTCACCAAAAAAAAACTCGTTGATCATAAATCACTATCATAAAAAAGACGTCTCATAAAAAATTTGTGAAAAAATAATTACTAAAAATAAACTCTAGTTTATCGCAAATGAAAATTTTTACGGGTTACTATATGGCCCAATTATGCTGAAACGGTCAATTCTGAAAAGGCAGGTAGCGCGCGGCCATAATGACGGCGCAAAGTCATAACTTGCTTCAAAGATTCCGAATGTTTCCAAATTTAGTATTAAACAATTCCTCTTGTCGGTCTAAAGAGATTGGTACCAAAATTGATTAGGGCCCGAAGTTTTCCAGCAAATTATGGCTTTGCGCCGTTATGGCCGCGCGCCTAAATGGGCGTGTCCCTGAAAAGGCTTTTATCAAAAATCTGTCATTTTGTCATTATTCATTTTGTTAATCGGAAACATCTAGAAGTTTTTCTTTGTTAAATGTTTTCTTAATTTTGTTTTGCCTTACTTTTTAATTAATTTTCAGTTATTTTTTAAATATTTTCAAAACAATTTACAATGTGGCGTCCAGTTGTTACTTCAATGCAACGTGCTTCTACTCGAGGGTTCAGTTTTGCTTCTGCTAAGACTCCTGCTTTGACCAAATTTATTCCATTGCAACAAAATATTGCTAAACAATATTTTTCGACTTCCCCAATAAGTTTATTAAATTTTAAATTACCCTTTCATATATTTGTTTTTAGGATTCTCTTCTGTTGCAAAGGAGCTTCAGGATGTTCTTCATGACGAAATTAATGCAGAGAAGACTGCGGAAGAGGAGAATTTGGGAGGTAAAACGACACCTTCGGTTCAGGGTTTTGAAATTGGAATGAATGACGCTGAGTTTCGACTTACGAAGACATATGGGAATGAAAAGTTTTGTTTTTTTAATTTAAAAAATAACTGATGTAAATTTAGAATTGTGGTTTATTGTAATATTAATCACAGTGTTGAGGATGAGGAGCATTTTGACGATGATAATGTTCCCAGTAGTGTAGCTGATGATATCGAGGAGGTATAAACTTTAATCCTTATTTAAAAAATAGATTCTTGTCCGGGTAGTTTCCTGCTCTTTTGTTAACTTGTTTGTACTAGATGGAATGAAAATTAGGAAGGGAATTATCTAGAGAATTTCATTTGAAAAAGAAATTTCGTGTAAGAGGTTTTTACCCGGCCTATGTTTAAAGACGTAGGAGAAGTGTTTTCAGCCCTCTGGCTACGCTTTACTAACATTTTGTTTATATTTTAAATATTTTTAAACCAAATACATTTTTAGAATGTTCCGGTTTCGCTTCCACCATTTCATATCGAGTAAGTTTTTAATTAATTATTTTGTTTTATCCTTCTCATTATTAAGGATAACAAAAGGCAATCTTCGTCTTGTTTTCTTATGTCAAATGGTGAAGGATATTGAAGGAGGATGTAAATATTTTTATTTGATTTTCATAATAATAAATACTTTCTAGATGATTACAGCGTTGATGAGTTTATGATTGCTCCGGCTACAAAAGGTGACAAATATGTGGATGTTCCTGATGAAGTTTATTCTTCTTCTGGTCAATACATTGACGAGGTAATAATATTTTGTTAATTGACATGGGGAAAGAACTTTAGAAAGGTCAATAAAATAAATTTTCGAGAAGTATTATTCTTTCTTCCGAATAAAATTTAAGAAAACTACCGGTATTTAAACGGTTCATAATTTATTTGGGAGAAAGCAATGTTATAACTCCGGTAGTTCAGTTGGAAAAACATTTGTAGATGATGAATGACAATAGGAGTCTTAGGTTCGACTCTTGCCCGAATAATTTGTTCCCTTTAAAAAGGAAGTTGTATCTAGAGAATCTCATTTGAATAAATATTTCTTTTGAGAGGTTTTTGATACAAAAATTATTTTCTGCGGTCTTACCACTGACGTTTTTAATTTAATTAAACGTTGGCTAATACTACGCGGAACATTGGAATTTTTTATTTAAGAAAAATCCTTTTAGTTTCGAAAAATATTTTTATTATTTTTCAATTATTTAGCAACTTCATGTGCTGCTTTTTGTTCGTTATCTTGAAGAACGTGGACTTAATTCGCAGTTCTGTCATGAATTCGTTAAATTAGGTAAAATAATTAAAAAAATTTTTTTTATTTAAATTTAATTTTAGCAACTCATTATGAGCATCAGCAATACGTTAATTTGCTCGAGAAGCTTAAAAAATTTGTTGAACAGTAAATGAATTTAAAAAGTCAAAAAATGTTTTAAGTTTTTGAATTTATAATTTAATTTGATGACTTTACACTATTTTGTTGTTTTTGTCTCTACCCTTTTGGTAGTTTTAATTATTTTGAAATAAAAGTGACTTTTGAAATTAAAAATAAAATAATTTTTAAAAATTTATTTAAAATTTGTAACAATTTTAGATTAAAGTTTTGAGAAAAATAAGAAAGAATTGTTTATTTGTTAGTATGTGGTGGTTGTTAGTAGAGGTGACTTCTTCAGAAACAGCCCATAAACTCAAAAATAAAAGAGAAAACTGAGTTAAATAGAAATTACGATTTAAAAGATTTTCAGGAAAAAAGATTTTTTTAAATGAAATTTTTGGAGTTGAAGATTAAATAAAAATGCCCCCAAAGATGAATTTTCGTTTATTTATTTTTTATGGAAAATTTTGTTACTTCAGAGGAACTTCAAAGGGTCGTATAGAAATTAGGGATTATCCAAAAAATAACAGATATAATCAAAATTGTCCATTTTGTTGTAAATATTGTCCAATAATTACTAGGGCCTGGATTTTAATTTTCCATACAGGGAAGAATGACAGATACCTAAATATGTATTTCTGGAAGTAAAAAATATTTTAAATAATTTGGTGTATATTTAAATAGCACGATTTTCGCTAATATATTTTTTTGTTACTTAAAAAGGAACATGTAGGGTTGGCAGATTCTGGAAATTCAGATCATGTGAAGTTTAGGAACCCTTTAAAAATCCGGCCCTAATATACAATTATTTAGAAATTTTTCTTTAATAAATGCTTCCGAGATTCTCATTTTTAGCCGTTTACAAGAAGTTGAACTTGAATGAACATTTTTGATGCATTCACTATAAAATAACTGGGCTAGTTTACGGCCAAAAATCTCGAGCTTTTTCTGAAGAAGTTTTTGTACACGCACCTCTCTAAAATAAAAAAAAATTAAATTTTTTTTATTTATTTAAGAATTCTATATAAGTATTTACGTTCATTTAGTTTAATTTGAGCGAAAAATTTATTTCACAACAATTCAAAACTAGTGTAAGGCTTATTCGAAAAAACCGATTTTTCTATAATTTTACTGATACGATATTGTTATACAGGAAAAAACCCCGACCGTACGTGCCCAACACTATTCAATACGGCTGTTTCAGGAATTGTTTTTTGAACAGAAAATCAGTCTATTATTCTGCAAAACGATTCGATCTTATTTATTATTTTTCTCTCAAAATCCCACCAAAATCTTATTAATTTTCGGAAATCTCGGTTTCGAGCAATTCTAATTTAGAAATAAAGTCAATTCAACTCACTTTTATAATTAATTTATTTACACTTGACTAGATTGCACTTGAATCGACCCATTATTTTAAATCTAATAAATTAGTTAAATTATGTAAAAAATATGTAAACTTACAATTAATTAAATAATTTTAGAAATTATTTCCTCATTTTTAAGAAAAATTAAAATTTAGAAGAAAAAAGAATTTTGAGAAAGGGAAAAGAAATATTTAGAAGTAAAGCTGAAAATATTCACAATAAATTGTTTTTTACATCTAAAAAGTATATAAGTAATAATTTTCTGTAAAATTCTAAAAAAATGTTTGTGGAAAAAATAAAAATATTTATGAATGGCCTAGAATGGAACCTAAATAAAATAGAGGATTTGCATTATTAATAACACAAATTGTGGACTTTTGGAAAAACAATAATACAAAATTATCAACAGATTTTTAAAATAAATATTAGAAAAACAACTAAAGTATAAATCAACGAAAGGACAATGTTCTTCCAAAATATATGAGATAATTACTACTAGTCTTAAAAATTGGAATAAGTAGATAAAAGGATTAAATTTAAAAATTCTTGAAGGCATTTAAAAATAATTTCTTTTAGTTTATACATAATAACAAAATTATTCTTAATTTATCAAGAATCTTCTCTATATTTATTTTTATGATTCATTTAAATTAATTCTTTAATATTTCTTGTTATCAGGTCAAAAATAATTTATTTGTTTAAATATACAATATTTACAAATTATTATTTACCTTTAATTCAGGGCTCTCATCGACAAAATGCCACTCAAAAGTATCAAAATCTTGATAAAAAAGTATATAGGGAGAAAATTTCCAAATTTAAAGTATACTCAAAATTAAATTGGAAAATATTTGTTCGTGCTCAAATCTTTTATATTTCTCTCTTAAATGAATCTTTTCTAATAATTTCTTGCTTCCATTGGGCATTTTGTGCATTTCAACGCATGACATGTCAAAATTCGCTGATACAAGAAATAAAGCCCTGACAGTCTTAACCTCAAGCTTTCGTCCATTTTCAGCGCCGCAGGCGAAAATTTTTTGAAATTTGGAGCCCAAGTAGTCAGATTTCTCCCATTTTCAGCGCCGCAGGCGAAAATTTTTTGAAATTTGGAGCCCAAGAAGCCAGATTTCTTTCTTTTTCAGCGCCGCAGGCGAAAATTTTGATAATTTCGAAGGCCCAAGGCTAAAAAAATTCACTTTTTTGCCCAATCCCTTCCCCAATTTCATTTTCAATCCAAAATGTTGATTTTAAAGTATATACTTTCAATAAAGTATAAATTCAATTTCTTAAGTATGGAGGTCGGTTTCAAAGTATAATACTTTCAAATAAAGCACGAATGAGAGCCCTGCTTTAATTATTTAAAAATAATTTAAATGAAATGTTTATTTTAATCAAGAAACTCCCGGTTTTCTACAAGGAGTGAATTTAATTTATTTTAAATACAGTCAAATTTCAATCGGCTCAATTCGATCCCGGTGGTAAAAAATAATTTATAAAAATATTATCGAGATTCAAATGTAAATAATGAATTTACCGACGAAGAAAAATTAAATAAAAATATTATTTAAAAGCATGGAGGCAACTAAAATGTGTTAAATGGGAATAAATTTTACTGAAAGGGAGAAAAGAGGAATTGAATTTTAGAAAAAAATTAAATTTTATTTTTAATTTGTCAATTTATTCAAAGCTTTTCCTCTTTAAATTTTTTTTGAAAAGCAGGTGACAAAACTTTTATTTTTCAATGCATTTTAAATAAAAATATTCAATCGAGAATGTCTTCCTGATTTTTTTAAAAACGTTGGCAATGTTTTTTCAACTAACAAATTATTTTTGATAAAATATTTTAAATTGTACTTTTATGTAATAATTTAAATTTTTTTTATTTTAAATTAAAAAAATAATTTTACTTAACAAACAATAAAAAGTAAATAACAGAAAAAAACTCCAAAATGAGGTTGAATAATAAAATTCTTGAAACTGAAATTTCTGGCAAGATTATTTCCATTTAACTCCCCCAACCCTTAAATTGAAGTTTAGTACAATTTAATAAGCACTAGCATTATGTTTTGGGACAAAAACAAATCCTTCAGGCGTTTTCCCTAAAAACATTTCACTTATTTTAATCCAATCAGAACATGCTGGACTAGCCAAAAGTGTTTCCAATTCATCTCTTCCTCGATAATTTGGAGGGCGTTGATTGATTTTTTGAGGAGGTTCTTGTAAAATTCCAACAGGAATATATCGATGTTGAAAACTTAGCCATTCTAACAAAAATCTTCTCGAATTTTCAACTCCAATATTATCACTTCCCCAATGTTCTAAGGCGTAATTTGTAAATCTAAAAAAAGAAAAAGTTGTTTTAAAGAAGAAAATTATTTAGATTTCTTTTATGATTTTTGGCTAATTCATAATAATTTTTATTAACAAAATTTTTATTTTACTGCTTAAAATTCTTTAAGCGTTTTTCGATTAAAAAAAACTTTAGAATCAATTATTTTAAAGGTTTCCTCACTTTTTTATAATATCAAATCTTTCTCTCGAAGAAATATCCCAATTTCTCCTTTCAGCAATTTCAGTAAATATCCACGGCTTTATTAAAGCTCCCCTTCCAATCATAATTCCATCAATTGGCCACAGAGAAATATTCTTTTAAATATTTATTTATTTTCTGTATAAAATTAAAAACAAACTTTGTAATAATCTTCCATACTTAAAACATCACCACAAACAAAAAATGGAAAATGACCCTCGATTGCTTGGGCACATTCATTTACATAATCCCATTCTGCTGATTTTGTGTAACGTTGATCTCTAAAAATTTATATTTTATTTAAAATAATTAATCATTTTTTTTTGTTTGGAGCAAGTCTCATTAAGATGAATTTTGGTGGGAAAAGGCTTTTCTAAAATACTTATATTTTTGTTCCACTTATTTCACTCATATTCAAGTATCCTTAAATTATTATTCATTCTCATTCCCGTTTCTCATTCCGCATTCTCATCCCCAAATCTCCCATGTTTTCAATGGTTGCGGAAAAATAATAAGTCAGAAAGTCAATTCTCATAACCTTGATCTTGGATGTAAAGTTAATAATTGTGGAGGACTTTGTTGAACTATTTGTTTAATTATTGTGTGTGCAGTTCTTTTCCCTTCTTTCATTCCATAACGCATTTTTATTGAAATTGGCAATTTATCAGCCACTTTATGCATAAATTTGAGAACATTAATAAGTTTATTTGGTCTTGATGCCAACGAACATCCTCCCCCTTTTTCATTTACATTATCCAAGGGGCAACCCTGAAAATTTTTATTTAAATAAACAAAGTAAATAAACCAAATTCAAGTCAATAAAGTCGACATCAAAATTGTCTTTGATTAATTCAACCGCTTTGCCAAGAGTATCTGGATAGCCACCAGCTAATTGTATACCAAAAAGTTTTTCACTGGGATGGCGTTTTAAAAGTGATAATTCAGATGGTTGACCCTAAAAATTTGTGTGAAAGTCACATAGCCAATAATAAATCAGATAGCTTAAATTCTCCACAGACACCAATCCGAAAAATATTGTTGCTTTTGGGCATTTAAGAAATCGGCTCTCAACAGATTTTTTCTCAGAAAAGAAATAAGAAAAGTCGACCTTCAATATTTGAGTAGCCATAGCCATTTCACTGCAAGTGATTTCAGCTCCATGTTCAACACAGAGGCGTCTAAAAGGTAAATTGCCAACAGTTGTGAGTGGTGCCAGATAAGTTTTACCACGCAGTGTTTTCATATTTAAAGTAGTCTCTCTTTCCATACACCCAATAGTGGTAGAAATTTCTTTAAGTGCAGTTTCTGTTCTTAAAAATAATTTGAAACAAGAATTAACTCAGAAATATTAAGTACGTTTCAAATTTGCAAAGATTTTTTCTTAGATTTATTTGCAATTGTATAGTCTGAGCATTAATTGTAGGCTTCCAAGAAGGGCTAGGATCCTTCTCAATCTGATCCAAAGTTTCTAGATTAGTGTGAGCCCGAGCAAAAGAACAAGCCAACGAAAACTTGCATTTCCCCTGTTGTTCAAAGATAGGACAAACTGCTCCTAAAATGGAAACAATAAAATGAATTCTTAAGTTAAAGAGAAAACCAATATCTGGTGGTTTCTTTGCCCAATATTCCTCCTTAGAATGCATTGCCGAGCATTTATCACCATATTTACACTTAACATTATCTTCGCTAAGGACAGAAGGACATATCCGAATTTCATTTTTACCCATCTCAATTTTGGCTTTTAACATTTTGCCTTTTCTTTGACGATCCATTCCTCTCCTTTTTTCTGAAATTATTTATAATAAAAACGATAGAAGTTAAATAATACCCGGCTGTTTAACAGGTGCAGCTACCTCCTTGTTGACATCATTATTTCCACACTTTTTATTACTTTCCAAGACATATTCCTCTTTGATACGCGCAAACCCATCTTCCATTTAAAAATTTTTTAAATAATTTTAATTAAAGTTTTATTAACAAATATAAAAAATGTATTAACAAATTAGAATAAAACAAAACAAACGAAAAACATTTCTTTATAACATAACTGAATAACATTGTTTTGTATTTCGAACAGACTCGGAAATTATATTTAAAGAATGAATTGCATTAATTAGCGATTGCATTCGTCTCCTGTTATTTTCGTCTTCAACTAATCCTTTGACTGGATTTTTTAAATTGTCTTCAAATCGTTTAGATAGATCATTTACACACTGCAAAGAACCATCGAAAATAAATTCTTTTATAATACGCCCACAAAATTTGCTGTCCTCACGTAATAAATCAACAAAAGTTGCTGCTGCTAACATCTAAAAAGGTAATATTAAAAATAAGTTTAAAAAGTAATTGACTGCTCCCCCCTACTCAACAGCTCTAATTCCCGAAAATATTTTTATAAATCAGTCTCTTCCAAAAAAACACAAAACCTTAAGAGAAAGTGGTCCAAAAATAACATCAGAAGTAAACGTTTGAATTATTTCACATTTTAAAGGTTCAATTAATTTCATCCATAAATCACTAATTATTCGTTGATTTTGCATCATTTTAACTGTTTGATCATTTGTGTTTCCCGTGACTTCGATCTCTTCCTGGCCAAGTTTATTAAAAAGAAGCAAAGTTAGAAGGTCATCATTTTTCAACGGTAAATTGGTTGTTCCACTGGATATTTCAGATCTCTGAGTTTTTTCTCCTTTAAAATTGCAAAATAAATCTAAAACACGCAAACAGCAAATATAAAGTTCACGTTTAAATGTAAATGATTTAGAATAACCTTAAAAAGAAAAAAAAATAAATTATAAAAATTTTAAAATCCTACAAACCAGATAAAACAATACATTGAAGAAGTAAATGCAAAACAGGCAAAATTGCACTTTTGGCTTTTTGCATGTCTTCATATTTTGCAAACATACTACAAACTGAAGAAACTATTCTTGAAAAACATGTTGCAACAGAAGCGGCTAGTTCTGGACTCATTTCAACTAAACGGCAATAATCACGCAAAAGAAAGAGTGCATCAACCAGAATATGTTTATGTGTAGCTAAATAAAAAAATAATGAGAAGAGAAACTAATAGAAAAAATATTCACGAGTAACTCAAGTATCACCTTATTGTTTGTTTTCAACATTTATGTATTAGAAAGATAAATTTAATATGTTAAATCTAGTGCCTAAGTTGATCTGTTCGCATTACTCCAAAAAATAGCTTACAAATATTAATGAAAGGTAGAGGAACATGTACAGACAAAACATTCATTACTGAAAGCCATCCTTCAAGCAAATGCGTACATGAACCTTCCAAAAGATTTAAAGCATTTTTCTTGACACAAAAATGCAAAATTGATCGAGCTTCCTTAAATAATAAATAAAAATTATATTTAATTAAAAATAAATATTTCAAACTAACCTCTCTAATAACATCAATTTCTGTATTCATTATACAATTAATTTCACTATTTAACAAAAGTTGAAGATAAACAACATCGAATTGCTCAATATTACAAGAATTTTTTCGAATACAAAGAGAAAGTAACTTAAAAAAGAGAAAAACATTTTCATAAAAAATTAAAAAAAATTAACTTCTTCCATTTTATTTGGATCAAATTTGTTACAAATTGGAGGAGAAAGATCACCAACAAATATACGACTTGATTCCAAAAGTGACCAAAAAAGAACTAAAAATATTCTAAATAAATAGAAAAAACAAAAATTAACCGTTTTGGCCTTCAATATTTGAAGAAAAAAGATTAGAAGATTGTAATGATTGTGAATTTTGATCTGATGGTGTAGAAAAGAGTAAACGTAAATATTTATGTGGATGTTCTATTAAGCCAGATCGGAGAAGCGAAGAAAGATCCAAAGCGATCAATTCCAAAATTATACTCTAGAAAATTAAAAATGTAAGTTCAAAAAGACGCATCTATTTTTAATAAACAAAGAATGTTGTCTTTTGTTTTAATGAGCTAAGAACTCATAAATAAAAACCTGAAGAGAACGTTGTATTGTTGCTAGTGCATATTCATCATTTTCCCTCCTCCAACAAGAAGACTCATTCTCAAAACTTTCAGTTGGGGTTGCATCATTTGAATTAGTTGAAGTCAAACATTTGAAAACTTTCGATTGAGCCAATTGATAAATGAGATCATAATGAGATCTGAGAAATCTGAGAACAATTGAAGAGCTAGATGATCCAAGAGAACATAAACGAAGCTATAAATATTAAAATTGAAATAGTTTTTAAATTAAAAGGTAATTACAATAAGACGCAAAGCAGGTTCATAAAGTCCAGAAAAATGAGTCGAAAGAGGTGAATCAGAAGTTTTCAGCTGTAGGACTATGTCCAAAATATTGTGCAAACAAGTGGATCCTTGCCCTAAAGAAAAAATTAAAAACAAGATTTATAAATATAAAATAGTAGCCATGAAAAATATCTACAACAAAAAAAAATTCCCTTTCAAAAGACCTGGTAAATCAAGAATTGTAGCAGAAATATTCATCAAATCAAAATTCATCAATGCATAAGTAATATTTGGAGAATTAGAATTATATTGCATAGCATCATTGAATACTTCTAACATTAGTCGACATACTTCTCCTTTTAACCTTCCATAAGATATCCCTTCAATATCAATTAAAGCCAAATCATTAATTCCAACAAAAATATCTTCTAAAGAAAATATTGATAGAGTTGCTACACAATTTATTAATTTTTGACGTCGAGGTAAAAGTGATTGAACAATATGTGATTGTAGAGATGGACGTTGGGCTGTTGCTTCTTTAATTATTAACCAAACAAAAAAAGCATGTCTTATAAAAGAATCAATCTTAAAAGAAATAAAAAAATTTATTTATCAATTTTAGAAAAAAACCTCGTTAATATAATTAAAAAGTAGACTCATATAACAATTGTCAATTTTTTGTTGCGAATATGGAAATGGCGAAAATAAAATAGATTCAATTGTAGCAATTAAAATATCACAATTTACAGCTCTAATAGCATCAGATAATGCTGAACGATTTGATATGGCAACATAAAGTAATCGAATAGCGGAACATGTTGCATCTTCTCTAGCAGGGAAATGAGAAAATTTATTCTCTTGAAGTTGACAACCTCCTTCAGCAATTATTTGAAGTAACTTAAAAAATAAAATAATCAAAAAATATTCAAATTAAATCTCTTACCGCTCTAGATAATGGACTATCACTCAATAATTGACATAATATTTGTACTTCAAAAACTTTATTGTCAACAGTAACTGCTGTTACAAAGAAAGTCTTTAACGGCTGATACAAGCAGTCAAGGGCAAGTTTGACCAACATCCACTAAAATTTTTAATAAATTAAAATACTTATATAAGCGATTCCACTTTAGATAAGTATGAATGAGATGATCAGATTGTATTTTTAAAACTCGAAAATAATTAGTAAAAAGCCATTCATAGTATTAAGAACAAAGGGAACAATATTTTGAACGAGTCAATTCGAATACTTTAAATAATTACCATTTGAGTTATGTTGCTGTATGAACGAGTAGAGAATTGACAAAGAATTGAATTGACAATAAAATGAATAAATGGAGCAATTTGTTGGGTACTTGGGCGAGCCTTGTGTGAAAGCAATTCTTTCATTAGAGTTAAAAATCCCTGAGAATAATCATAAATCTTTAGATGAGCCTCTCGAGAATCCAAATCTTGCTACAAATATATATAAAATTAAAAAAATTTATAAAAAAAACTTGAATTCCAATAGATTTTCCACCAATTTGTTTAGAACAAATAAATTCGCAAAGTAAACAATTCCATATGTTTACAGCAGCCATTTCATCAATTGCAAGGGCAGCAAGAAAATTGCAAAGGCATCCCTTGAACACTAAAGGCACAGGGCTGGCGAGAAGACCAACAGAAGATTCAATGACGCTCCATCCCTTATCTTGACAAAATTGGCGTCGTGAATCCGGATCCTAATAAATTAGAGTCCAGAGGAAGAAATCAGATAGCTAAAACTTCAAACCTTAAGAGATATTGCAGTAGCCAATTTAGTCCAAGATAAAAGCCCAGAAAGTTCGCCATCAGAAATTGATTGTAAATCACCTACAAAACCATTTATTGTCGGTATTAGTTGAATATGAGATCGAAAATAGTCCAAGTATTTGCGAAGTGATGCAAAGAAATGATCCCAATCTGGCATTTTCAAGGTATTCAGAAATGATTAAGCGAAAAAATGTCAAAGAAGAAAAAAATTTAAGAAACAAAGCAAATATTTTGAATTATTTTGAATAATTGTAAAAATAATATAAAGATTTTGTAAATTTAAAGAATGAAAAATTTATTTTTAGAAAAAGCAATTGAGTTATAAAAAAATAAAACCAAATCGAAAAAAATCAAATCTCTTTCATCCAGAACATCCACGGCATCCACAATGTATACATTCAATAACTCGATCCTAAAAAGAGTATTTTAAATTTAAAAAATTTCAAACCGCGTCAAGTTTAGATTTCGGAACTCGACATATACAATTTGTCCCAAAATTGGTATCTCTCGTCTGAATACATCTTAAACAACACAAATTCTCAAATCCTTGTTTCTTCCATTTTGCAGCCAAGAGAGCATCGACAAGCTTTGCATCAATACAAAATTGGTAAAGTTCTTTTGATATTTTTTCTTCTTTATAAAATAAATTAAAAATATATCTTGAACGTTGATGATGAATCTTAAAGAGTTATAAACATATACAATTATTGTAAACTAAAAACAAACTCGAAAAACAGGCCAAACAGTTTCTGTTCGTCTTTTGCCCTAAAATTATTAAAATTTTAGCTATCTACTTTATTTAAGAAATAACCTCATGTGGTTCAGTCTCTGCTTCACGCATTTTTGCTTCAAATTCTTCAAGTGTTGGTTCGATCAAATCCCATCCATCTGGAGGTTTCTTTCTAATACGACGCAGTTTTGTAGCTAAAGACATTCTTTAAAAAACATTAAATAGAAAAACAATAATTATAAAAATATATAAAAAAAAATAAGGATACAGCCTTCGGGTGAGCCCCTCCGCTAGTTATAAAAATAAATCAAAATAATTATTTTATTTATCACAGTCATTATCAAAAGTGAAAATCTACATATCACTCAATATTTTCTTGCAAATTTTCTTCCTTCCCTTCCTCTTCAACTTCTAAAAGTTCATTATTTCCTTCCTTCCTTACCTCTTCACCTCCTAAAATTTCTTCATTTCCTTCTTCCTTCTCGTCTTCAATTTTCAGAATTTCTTTATTTTCTTCCTTCTCTTCTCCCTCAATTTCTAAACGTTCATCATTTCCTTCATTCTTTGTATTAATTGTTTCTTCCTCAATTAAAATATTTCGTTCTTCATTTTCTTTCAAATCAAATTCTTTTATTATTTGACAAAATAAAGATTCATTTTTACATAAACCAAAAATATTAGAATTCACAAAATTAAAAGTATTTTTCTAAAAAAATAAATTTAAAAAATTTAATTTCCTTACATATTCATTTAAAGAACAATTTCCAGTAATAAAATATTTTTTAGCACATTGTTCATAAGGAAAACAAGAAAAGAAGCAACAATTTATGAAAGGCAAAAATTGTTTAATTAAAAGGAAAGTAGCCCTTTTGACAATAAAAATATTTTCTTGATTTGAAAGGAAAGAGTCCAACCAAGCAAAAATATTTTGAAAAGAAAAATGTAAAATATTGAAAACACGACGAATCTGCAAAAAATTAAAAATCCAAATAAAAAATTTCAAAAAAAGCAAACCGAATTAATATATATAGAATGTCTAATTTCATTTAATGCATTAATTATAGAATTTCCAAAAATACACAATTCATCCCAAATACATAATTCTAATGGAGCTGATAAATCAACACGATTAATTTCTTTTTTTAATTCAGATTGAGTGTTTTCAAAAATTCCATCATCAATAAGATCAATTTTCTCCTTTGAAGTAAAACTAAAAATAAAGCGAATTAAGTAGTTGTCTAATTGCTAGAAGATTATTAAAATATTCAAAAAATGATGATTCGGTATTTCTAAAAATTATTTCTTGCAAAAAGGTTAGTAGGAAACAGCTACATTTTCATCAGGAAAATATTTCATTTTTTCAAGAAACAACCCCGAATCTCAAGTAAATAAATTTAAAAATAAAAAATTAAAAATAAACCTTTTTGTTGCCGCTTCTATTTTATTCTGAAAAATATTAAGAACCATTTGCGAAAATTTGTAATGAATTAAAGAACGGAAATCAAGTCCCATTCGTCCAAAAGAAAAAGCACAACTCATCAACTTAAAACAATTCTTTCCAAAAATATATTCTTAAAAAATTTCAACCTTCGAAACAACCATTTCAATATCCAACAAAGAAGTATAATCAAAACATTGCACATAATTTAATAATCTTTCAATATTTTTTTGAGCCCAACATTGAAGCAAATAATTTTGAGAACTTCCTGTCCATCTTTCCCAACGAGTATCCTCATTTACCTTTAAAATATTTAATCAAAAAATTAATAATTTTAAAAATACAAATCGTTGTTGAGTGTCAGTTTCGGGAAAAACAGCCAAATAAAGGATTATTGTGTCATACATACATTCTCTATATACTTCTATAACTCGCAAAATAAAATCAGGTTCAGACTAAAATATAAAAATTTAAATTAATTAGAATGCTTGTCAGAAAGGTATAAAATTTAGAATGAAAAGATTGCCATTTTAATAAAGGCAAATTAAAAAAATTTTTGTTTGCGAATGCAAATGTTAGTCATAAAATTGGGCCAACTTTAAAGAAAATTACCATAATAGAAGAAACTTTCTTTTCCAAATAAATATCTCTATATTGAAGAATTGAAATACGCAATTGAGTTTTGGAAATGTAAGGAATCTTTCTTATATTATTTATAATCTGAAAAAATATTTAAATTAATTAAAAAATTGTCAAAAAAACCTGAATACTACTTGCCAAATTGAGAGGGCCAGAAAATTTGTTAAAAAGTTCATCCAAAAGACTATGTCGTGCTTCAAGTAAATAATCGATAACATTCTAAAAAACTGAAAAAAGTATCAGAAAAAAATAAAACCTTAAACAAAGGATATTGGACAAGTTTAGATTGTTTAATCGACAAAGCAAAATTTGTAATTGAATAAGCTTGATCAAAATGTCCAGCACGAATACATTTTTCCATTAACTAAAAATATAAAAATATAATTTTAGATAAATTTAATCAAAACCTTTGGAAGTCTAATTATTTCCCAAATTAAAAAGTTTGTGGACTCCACATCACTCAAAAGTTTAAATTCATTAAATAATTGGGTTGATTGATTTTTGAATTGATCAATTTGTTCTTCGAGAGCTGGAAAAGAGGAACTTGACTGTCGCATTAAAATGTCCATTTGGAGAAACTAAAAACAAAAATATTTAATTTTAACACTAAAAATTAATTTGTCGGCAAAAATAAATTTAATGACTGATTATTTTTCAAAAAATATAAATTTTCTCTTAAAGTCTCCAAAAATGTGGTTAAGAATCCTTTACTTATTCAAAACTTAAAATAAAAACCTTTTCTCGGCAATATTCAGCAGTTGTGCTAACATCAACATAAGTTCGGTAATTATGGAATGCAAGATCACTCAATTCACTTTGAAGGTTTTGAACTTTATCTTCAACTTTTTGACGCATATTTTCTTAAAAATAAATAAAATTTTTGAAAGAAAATTTAAAAAAATATTTACTTAATTCATCTAAACTCATTGAATGCAAATCAGACTCGTCAAATTGATGTTTTAATGCAGTTAAAGAAAATTCTTTATTAAAGTCGTCCATAACAAGCTTTTATAAGTAAGTGTTGTCCAGATTTTTAGTCCTTAAGTCAATAAAAAATAAAAAAATTAAATAAATTCTTGCAAAAATAAATATAAAATGCCAACAAAAAACTGTAATGGTCGTTTCAAAGTAATGATTCAGTGTCGCCTATAGAGTGGCCGATTCAAAGTAGGACACAGTAACCCTCTTGTTTTGACCGAGTAGATAAATAAATCTTATATCAATCAAAAAATCTGAGACACGGTATCCTGTCTTATCATTCGAAATATTATCAACACCCGAAAACTGAGTTAACATTGTTTGTCACATGTAACTAGTAGTAGGATTGAATTGTTCGATTGTTTTTCAAATTTTCAAAATACGCCAAATACAAAACGCCAAAATTTATAAATTATATGTAAATTTAAAAAAATCAAAGACGAAAGATTAAAATTGTTTGGCCATGTTTTTAGCGCTTATTGGAATTGTTATGGGGGTAAATATAGGGAAAACGTACACCTAAATGTTTCTTTTATGAATTCAATTAACACTTAATTATAAAATTTTTGATATTAAATCCAAGAACTTTTTGTGGTTCAGATTATTTACTCTCCCTTCATGAATTGACAAAAGCGGAGATGTACCTAGAAACATTAAAACGAGAATTCCTTTTTCCTGTCCATGTTTTTTTCAAAATTCTCTAGTTTTTTATAATTTCAACTTAATATATCTTTTTCTGTAAGATTTTGACATTTTTAATATAAATAATTTGAAAAAATTGTCAAGTGAAGATTTATAAATAAATAATAAGCTTAAGTAAGTCAGCATTAATAAAAAGCTTGTTTTTTTGCGTAATCAAAAAAGGCAAAATTAACTATAAATTAAATTAAGTAATTTTCCGGAATTTTTTATTTGGGCGGTCGTTAAAGAAAACATGCTTATCTTTTATTTATTGTTTAATTTAAAAGTACAACTTTATTTTAAAATTAGACAAAAAATAGAAAAATTATATTTTTACATCAAGGATCAAAAATTGTTTGCAACAGAACCGAAATTGTAGAAAATATTTCTATAAATAATTATTATTTTTTAATGTCAATTTTGTTTTTAAAAATTAAACAGTAGCTAGTTTTTGCTGGTTTTTGACTCACCTATATACATATTTGATTGTTAAAATCTAAAAAATCAATTTAAAAAAAATAAAATTTGTTGTTTTATTAATTTAATTTAATTTTTTGGGCAACTTCTAATCGTGTGTTTACAACAAATTTTATTTTTTTACATACTACAACTTCTCTAAAAAAATAATTAATATTTAATTTCTAAACGTCAATCAGTCTAAAATTAACTCTTTTTTTCTTCTCACATTTTCTATCGGATTGCGCATCCTCTTCCAAAATTTATTCCTTTCCTCTTAAATTTAATCCCGGCCCATCTCCTCCACTTCCAGTCATTTCCGAAAATATGATGAAAAATAGAAATTTAAAAACTGGTTTAAAAACAGCAGATATATCCAGTGTTTCCTTTCTTTTATTTTGAAATTTATTCTCAAATACCAATCTGACGATTTTGCTTTTTGTGTTTTTAACTGTTTAATCTCTTCGAAAATATTTATATTTATTTTACATGTTCGCCTCCGCTAAAATTCATTAAAATATTTTTATAATTAATTAATTTAAATAAAAATTGTTGGGAATTACATATTCTCAAAAAAAATAAAAAAATAAACAGATTGTCCCTATCCTAAAAAGAGGGCGCCTTGATTTTTTTTCATCATTTTTTTCCAACCTTAATATATAAATAATGGTCAGTCTTTTCTTCCTCATTCAATTCCACTCTTTTTACCTTTGGCATATTCAATTGAGAGGAAGAAAAGCACATACACTACAGACAAATCACGGACGGACACACACAAACTTGTTTTGTCCGTCCGTGTCGTCCGTGTTTTGTCTGTCCGTGCTCGTCGTGTTTGTCAGTCCGTGTTCGTCCGTGCTTTGTCTGTCCGTGTTCGTCCGTGTTCATCCGGTTTCGTCCGTGTTCATCCAGTTTCGTCCGTGCTTTGTCTGTCCGTGTTCGTCTTCGTATGTGTTTTGTCCGTCCGTGTTTTGTCTGTCTGTGAGTGTGCTTTTCTGTCCTCTCAATTGAATATGCCAAAGGTAAAAAGAGTGGAATTGAATGAGGAAGAAAAGACTGACCATTATTTATATATTAAGGTTGAAAAAAATGATGAAAAAAAATCAAGGCGCCCTCTTTTTAGGATAGGGTCAACAGATTTCTTTAAAATAAAAGATTGAAAAATTTTGGAGAATTATTTTCTTATTTAGCTTAAAAAGAAAATTTAAACTTTAAAAATAAAAGGATATTCATAAAAATATTTAACTTAGTTTTATTAAGAAAATAAAATATTTATTTATTACCTACCTATTAATTTACAATTTTAAATTTTCTGCTTAATTTAACGAGAATTTTACATATGTATTTTTATTTTTTTTTATTTTCATCTTCCAATAATTTTATTTTTTCCATGCCATTTTATTAAGGATGAGAATTATTTGAATTATATAAAAACAAAAAAATGTTTGTTTTGGTTTGATTTTTAAAATTTGCGCAAACAAGCAAAAAAAGAGGGGAGAAAGAATCAACAAGCAAGAATATCCTCCTCTTTCCGGATATATACATAAATATTTAATTTTTTTTATTTTTTTTGTAATAATAATCAAATAAATTAATATTTATTTACCGTATTTACTCGATTAATTCCCCCGAGGAATTATTTTTTCAACCCATCCGTGGCATGGGGAATTAATAGAGGGTGGGGAATTATTCGAGTTTTGAAATTTGAACGTGTAGTAGGGTATTTGGGGGAGGGGAATTATTTTTTCAACTTATCCCTGGCATGAGGAATTAATAGAGGGTGGGGAATTATTCGAGGGAGGGGAATTAATCGAGTAAATACGGTAGTTGTTTATTTATTCATTCCTTTTTTTCTTTCATTTTCACTTTTAATTTTAGCAAAATCTTTGTTGATATTTATTTATTTTATTGTATAAGGGGAATGAATCAGTCCATGATAGTACCAAACAATTGGATGGGATTTGATTCTGAAAGCTCTCCAATACAAGATTAATAACCGCTCAAACAAACCCACCAAAATCTGATCATTTTCATTTTTGCTTTATTTGCTAGGATGAGGAAATTTAGCTGGCCTTACAATATTTAGAGATAAGAACCTATTTATTGTAATCAATTCTTTTTTTTGTTTTATTTTAAATTTTTAAATAAAATTATTTACAACTTTTAAAAACAATTTTTATTTTAAACCTTTATTATTCAAAAAAGAGGGAAAATCTACGCAAATCTCCCTTTTTTCTGAGAGAGGTCAGAGAAAATTCTCCAACAGAGATATTTAAACTTGAAGTGTTGTCGATCAAAGTTTTTATAAAAAAGGGAAAAAACTAAAGAAAAACTTTCTATTTTTAAATTTTTATTTAATCGGTTTTATTTCTTTGAAAACAAAATTTTATTTTTTAAATAAATTATTTTATTTAAAATTTTTTTTCCAAAATTTAAAGAATTACTTTTGAAATATTTCTTTCCGAAAATTTTGAAAACGAGACCTGACGATTTTTAACGAAAACCCAAAATTCTTTGTTGTTAGCCTTTAATTTTGGCAATATTCACATACAAATATTTCTTTATTGCAATTTCATAAAATAATTTTTATGTATATTTTTGTTCTTATAATGCATAATTTTTGATTTAATTATTAATCTTTTAATTAATAAATATACAATGGGTCTTGTGGTTGATTTAATTAAACAAAAAGTTCTATTCCTTTCGGATATTATCGGTTTAAACAATTTTAACAGTAAGGTTCGCGGATCCGGAAATCCAGAGATTTCCAATGTTCCGCCAACCCTACTTTTTAAATATTTCTACAAATTATTAATTTAAATTTAATATTTTTAGTAAATTTAAATACTAATTAAAGAATAAAAATAAAATGAAAATAAAAATTAAATAAATTAACAAAAAAACAAATTAAACAACATTAATTTTACTATTCAGATCTCGTTCTTCTTTTTTAAATTTTCACTTAAAATGCAACATAATAAATATTTATTTGTAAGTATTTTTCTAATTATTTATTTAAAAATATTTTAATTAAAATTTTAAGAGACAAGTCTTTCAACAATATTTAATCAAAAATTTGTTTTTTATATTTTATTTATTAATTACAAATTTAAATTATTTGAATGCCTTCCCTCAATGCAATTTAGGCCTTAAATTGTTTAGTGTTGAAAGAGGATCTGTTTAGTTTAAATTTTAAATTTTTATAAAAATAAATTTTATTTGAAAGGCTTTATGTGCTAAATTTGTTCCTTTTGAATGTGTTGGTTTATGTGAATGGGTAGAGGCAGATGGGGATGGGAAAGGTGGAGGAGGAGGAGGAGGGGGTGGATGTACTTTAAGGTAATTTTTGGAGAAAAAATATTTTTCTAAAGATTTTTAAAAATTATTTGGGAAAGAAAATAAATTTAAATAATTTATTTAAAGTTCCCATTATTCTGCTTTTCGTGGATTACGTACTTATATGAGTGGATTTGTTTTAAATGATCAAAGTTTTCTTGTCCAATGTTGTGCTTCTTTAGCTACAAATGTTAATTTAAGTAATTAAAAATAATTAAAATTCTTCAAAAAATATTTAAAAAGGAAAAGAAAATGAGCCTAATTGCCGTTGGAGTGAAGAAATAAATACTGTAGTAGATAAACCGACATTAAGGTTGGACTTTCCGTTGGAAGAAAATGAATATTTTAGAGGTTAGAAAAAATTAAATTTTTTTATTAATATTTTTTCTTTAGATTTAAAAGGAATTCGATTAAATAATGGGGCAGCTAAAATACAAGCAGAAATTTGTCAATTTTCTTTTCAAAGAAATAATTGTGACAGAAAAGTATTTAATAATAAAATATTTTTTAATTAAAGAATTTTTTTTCAGAAAATGTCTGAAGAAGAAAGTCATCAATATTCCCTTTTATTATTGAGGCTGCAAAGAGCTAAAGATTTTTTTCAAAATAGGAAAGGTGTGAAAATGTTAAATTCTGGTTCTTCTAATAATAATAATGAGGAAATAATTGAAGAAGAAATAAATAGGTAATGGAAAAAAATTCTTAATTTTAAATATTCTGATTATAGTAAAGGAATTAAATTATTTTACAAAAATTATTTTGATTTTTCTCTTTTCAACTACCATATCTAATCTTAATTTATATATTTTAATACCTTTTCTCGATTACCCTCCCTCAAATGCCCTATCATATGTTCAAATTTCAAAACTCGAATAACTGTACTCCTTAGATTAAATACCTCTTCTAGTTAGAGGTTGAAATAAAAATTACTCAAATTAATTATTCAAGAAAATTTAGCATATAATTTTATAATTAATTTTAATATAATTAAAATATTTCTAGAGTTTCAATTAAAAATTCAACAAAAAATTTAAAAGAAGATTTAGAAAAGCCATTAAGAGATGATAAAATGAATAAACAAGAGGAGAAAGGAAATAATGCTCGATTTCTTGTTGATGGGGCTGTTATTGGAAGAATTCAACAAAAATTTAATAATAAAATAAATGGTATTTTTTAATAAAAATTATTTTTGGGAAATCTTTTAAAGGAACAAAAAATATAAAGGAAACTTTATTTTGATCCTAAGATTATGTATTTTCTATCTCTTAAATCATTAAATTTTGCTAGGCTTGCTTTTAATTCTTAAACATTGTTAATAATTTTAAATAAATAATATATTTAATTTTTTTAAATAAAATCAGAAAGGAATAGATCAGAGGAACTAAATACAGGATCACTATTCTACTCCAAACCTAAACTATTAAATAATGGGTGAGTTTAAATTAAAAAAAATTTTTTCAAATAAAATATTCTCTTAAAAATATCACTTTCCTTCATATGTCAACTAATTTAGTTTAGAGGAGTTTCGAAATATCGAAATCCCATTATTTACGTAAATTATCTAGCATACATTTTTTTCGTACCAAAATTCGTACTCGTAGCTTACTTGGTATTAAGTAGAAGTGTGAGCAAAATCGAGATTTTACGGCTTTGTACTTGTCTCAATTTCTTCAATAACTAGGAATCCCTCTTTACATTTTCTGTTATTTACATATCTTAAATTAATTTTTTCTATAAAAAAGTAATTTAAATAACAACATTTTATTACGTAAATTATTTCGTCTTCGAACTCTAAATAATCGAAAAACAACATCAACACCTCGTCTATTACCCTTTCCAGTAAAGAAAAGGCAACAAAATGGTCAAAGACTTGTTCCTGTTAGAATGCAAATAAATACTAGACAAAAACAAATTGGAAGAAGAATTAAAATACCTTTAAAATATACAAACAGTACAAAGGTTCTCTTAACCTTTTAATAGTTAAAAAGAATATATTCCCGGTCAAATAGTGACAGAAAATTAAAAATAAAGATAATTAATTAAAGAAATTAACAATGGGGAAGGGGGGGGGGAATGAGAGTTAACGTTATGTTAATATTCATTTATTATTCTAGCCACATTAACGTTTAAATTTTCAAATTTTTAAGGAAATAATTCCCCCAATCCAAAATAATTTAAATTGGTCTGATATTGATGAATTCTTTACTGATTCGATTACTTCTTCAACAACTGATAATTCTCCTTTAAATCAACAAAATAATTTAAAAGAAGAATTAAATTGGCAAAGGAGAGGAGGAGGGGGGCCTAATAGACGAGAATTGGGAATTAAAAAGATAATAAAGAATGGTAATATTGAAGGGAATTTATTAGAAGAAGAGGGAATGAGGAATGAAAAATTATTAGAAAATAAAGTAAAGGTAAATGTAGTCTATCTTCAGTCTAATATTCATAAATTTAATAAATTTGTTTAGTTCTAGCGGTATAAATAAGAATGACTTATTAATTAAGTTATCCAAGATTTTTCCCCTAATTCCTTTGGGAAAAGATTTCCCCAGAATAAGATAATGCAAAAAAGGGTTTTTATAATTAATTAGTCTCACCTATTAATTTAATTATTTAATATACCTATATTAGCAACAACACAAAGAAATCCCTACTTCAATCGGAGGAGGTGGCTCTTTTGCACAGGAAGAATTCGAAAATCCAGTAAAACAACAGAATGGTGTCAGTCTGCTTCAAATGCCTTTTAATCAAAAAGAAAATATAGAAACAAGTCCATTAGTGAGAGCACCAAAATTTAATGTTTTGAAGGGATTTCTTAAAAAATAATTTTAAAAAAATATTTAGGTTGTTCCATTAAATAATAATTCTCCAATAAAGAAAGTTGGGAATAGAAGGGATGGTTGGGTACATATTAATGGAGTTTCTGAAATTATTGTAGATAATTCTAGACTTGATGGATTACTTGAATGTTGCCAAGAACAGTCTTTTGGATGCCGGTAATTATTGAAAAATAAATTTAAAAATATTTTAATTTCCATAGACCTTTATGTACAAGGAATGTAAGCAAAGAACAGGTTAGAAAAAAACAAAATTTTAATATAAAAATCCTTTTATCTATTACAGATAAAACAAGCAATGTCATCAGGTCGATGTCCTCCTTTAAGCTTAACAAAGTTGGGGAAAATAAATTTTATATAATTTAATTTTAAATATTTTTTTAAAGTGTTATTAAATGCTTTCCTCGTTTTTACAATATTACTTCTGTAGGGCAATGTTGTGCCTCTTCAAGTTTAATTAATAGTAATTCAAATTTGCCGATAAATTCATTTTTGCAAATAAAACGTGAAATTCCACCTCATTGTTTGAGGTGAAACATTTATTTTTAAATTCAAGTTAAGACTAAGTTTGAAATTTTTAAAATTTATTTTAAGTTTAAACTTAAATTTACTTTTTAAAGTTTTAATTACTTTTAAATTTATTAATTATTCTTTTTCTAAATAATTACAGTTTATGTTCTCCAAATTTTCATCTTACATTAGCTCATTTAGCCTGTATTGAGGTAGAAAATTTGTTTAGGATATTAAAAAATTTTTAAAGTTTGTTGAACATATTCTTGGTTGTTATAGACAATTATTGGAAAAAGAAAATGGTTGGAATAAAAGGGAAGAATGGGGAGGGGAATCTGTTGAATTACTACAGAATTTTCAACACAAATAGATAAAAAACCAAAAAAAACATTTTAAATCTCGTTATTCAGGTTATTCTTAGCTTGTTTTTATTTTTAAATCTCTTTATTTTGTTTAAATATTTTTTGTTAAAATAAATTTTGTAATTAATGCTGGGTTGTTCGAGATGATTAAATAATAGATTGAGAAATAGATGAGACTCCTCTTGGTCTCATGTAGTGTTTGGAGCTTGTACCAGAATTCGTACTCGTACCTGCGTACGAGTACGAGCAAATCGACTCGACTCGTACATAAAAATATTTTTAACTACTTAATGCGGATTAAATAGAACAAAAAGAAATATACATACATAATTTAAATTAGTTGAAAGAACAAAAAAATAAATAATCAAACATCATTATATAAATAATATAAAACAACAAAGGCTTAATAAATGTCAAACACCTTAACAAAGGAAGAGGTCAAACAATGAAGGAAAAACTACCCATTTTATTGTAGTATTATTTAAGAATGAATAAGTTATGCACATTTAATATTTACTCCTAAATAGATAAAAAATTGAGAGTATAATTAATATTTATGGTTTTTGATTTATATACTTATATACATAGTAAATATCAGTGTAGAGATTGTTTTTCATAAAATTAGGGGTTCACTACCGGTTATTGACCAGTACCCACGGTTTTCGGTTAATCTAAATTTTAAAAAGCCGGTTTTCGGTTTTGAGTTTTAGACAAATACTGGTTTTATTTTGGAGGAATTTTTAATAAAATCCTCATTTTCAGAAATTTTCGGTTTTTTAAATTTTGTAAAAACGGTTAATTTTTGGCAAAAAATTTCAAACTTTTCGGTTTTAAACTGATCGTGAACAACCCTAATAAAATTATTAAAATTAAACATTCAAAAAGTTTAATTTTCTAATATAGTATTCAATCTCCAACAATTTATTTTTAGTCAGATATTATTTTTATATACCCCAAAGTCAGGCATTTTCTTCATTTTAAAAACCGTTTCTTGAGATTTTGAGGGCGTGGAGAGCGGTCTAACAATAAGCGTTACCCGCTATTCAAGATACCTCATTATAAGATATAATTTTTCATCTTAAAGTGTATTTAAAAGCAGAGTAGGTCGAGGTCGAGGTTTTTTGAAGAAATAGAGGCCGAAGATCACCGAGGCGAGGGGAAAATTTTAGCCAAGGTAGAGGTTCGAGGATAACCGAGGTTCTTAAAAAATTTTATAGAACTTCAATATCTAATTAAGTTTATAAAATTTTACAAAAATACAAAATCGTTATCAAATTCATCTTTTTAATTTTATCAGATTAGGAGGTAGCCCAAGCGTCAGTTTAGATGCGGATCTTGGAAACAATTCTCAGAAAAACCCCAAATTTTTTATTAGCTCCGCGAGGGAAGATTTTGAAAAATTTGGGATGCTAAGAGCCAGAATCTTCCAAGAAAACTAAACTGAATTCCAATGCACAAGGATAATCTCTAACGTCAATTTCCAGCGCCGCAGGAAAACTTGAGAATTTTCTGAAGAAAAATAGGCCAAAATACTTCAATTTCTGCCAAAAAAGTCAGTCCTTAGGGCTTCGGTCCTTGGCGAGGACCGAGACAAGGTTCCGAGACCCGATGTCAGCAAAATCGAGGTCGAGGTTTGAAAATGGGCGAAGACCTCGGCCTCGGCGAGGCCTCGACATCGACCTACTCTACATATTTAAAAGTGAGGTTGACTGTAACTATAAAATTTAAAAATGGCAATTCCTATTGAATTACTTTTTGAAATATTAAAAACAATAAAATCCTTTCCATATTCATATGTTAATATACCAGTAAATAATAAATTCAAAAAATACGCTAAAAATATGTTGACTACCTCAAGTATAATGTACAACATTATTGGATCTACTTTCAAACAAAGAAAGGTATTTCTTGAAGAATATATAAAAAGCCTTTCTCGTACCTTAGAAGTAGGGGGGGGGGGCATTCTCATACCTTAAATTAGATTTTGACTGTTCGTTTTTTTAACGAAAAGATTTTTAAAAATTTTTGTTTCGTTTCGTTTCGTCCGAAAAAATTTGGAGTTTCGCCCAGGTCTGATTGGAACTCACAATAATTTCCCGATTTTCCATCTTTTTCCCGGTTTTTTGAGATAACATAATGAAAATGTGATTGTTTTTAATATTTTCTACAAACATAATTTAAGTTTTCAGTCGGGTACTGGATATTTTTGAACGGGAATTGCCGCTGAAAATTCACAATTCCTTAACGAAATAAAAATTCATCATACAGCCTATTAAGTGAGCGCAATTGTTATTTTAGAGTTTTACCTAGCTATAACTTTAATATAATGATCTGATTAGAGAAAAATAGTTAACACATTCAGATATCTCGATCAGTATAAGAATTATTAAAATCGGGTTTAATCTAAATTAACGTATATACTGTATTTATTACCATCCCTCAAATAATTACCCAACCTCTATTATTTAACCCCTCAAGCGAGAGATCGAAACAATAATTGCCCTCCCTTAAATAATTACTCCCTATTTTTCCTAGGCTAATTTTGAAAATATTTTTTAAAAATCATTATGATTTTGATAATGTGCATTTTAAGGATCAATATAAAAATTAAATCAAGAAAATAAAAGGATTTGGAAGGGATATCGCGGAATTTATGAGAATTAAGAGAGATTAAGAGGATTTGGAGAGATTTTGAGTGATTAAAATGGATCTATTTGATCTAAGATTATACACATTAATGCTCCGATATCACTCCGAATCTTTATATCCTCGAATAAATCCACATTAATCTTCCAGATCCAATTAATTCGTTGATACCGTTGAGATACCTCTTAATCACTCCAAGTCCCATTATATTCCTCTATTATCAACCTTACATCTCCTAAAAAATTCCTCAAATCTGTCTATATTACCATTTTATTTCTTAAGCATTTAAGGATCAATATCGAAAAATAATTTCTTCTTCAATTGCATTAAAGAAGAAATTATACTAACTCTTACCCTTCATATTCGGCATCGGCCTATACTCCATTTTCGATTGACTAGGTGACTTTTTATATCCGAAGACGGAATTATTAATGGTATGGTCCCACCTTTAAGTACATTATAAAAAGTATATTTAGAGAATGTAGGTTAATGTTACAAGGCATATTCATCTCATAAACTTAGAAGGAAGCATTTCTTCTAAGTTTATGAGATGACACCAATGCTTCCCAGGAAGGAAGCATTCTGTAAAAATTTAATATTTATCTCTACATTCGGTAACATATTGTATATCATTGTTCATATATTTATGATAAAATTAAAAATTTACAGGTCAAATAATAATTGCCCTCCCTCAAATAATTACCCCGCCTGCTTTTATTACCCGCTCCAGCGAGTGATCGAACAATAATTGAGCAGGGTAGTTAATACAGTATATACGGTATAGACCGGAAAAATCGTGTTTGCGCGATCCCACATACGGGAGTATTTTCTGTATTTTTTGTAATGTATCTAAATCTTCTTTAAAGCATTCATTCATTGACGAAAATAATGACCTCGGCTAAAACTTTATCCTTGATCCAATCCAACTGAATCTTATGTCATTCGGAAGCCCTCACTAAGTGGTATCATTTTCCAACTGGATGGACAAGTGTTTTCAAATTTATTGGGTTATAACTTTTTAAAGAGTGATCAGACATGATCTATGCAGTTGAAAAAAATACAGGTTAGCGAGAGCTTTCAAATATATAAGATTCAGTTGGATTGGATAACAACTAAAAAAAGTTATAACAAATTCGATAGGCGCTCTAGAGATGCGCTCAAGTGTCCGATATAAAAATTGAAAGTTCGCGCAAATTAAAATAATATGGCATAACGTACATATTCTTTTATTTGAGTTTCCAAATTATTTTTAATAATTTTTTGGTTAACTTTTTCTTTCCTCCCAATTTTTATTTTTTTTTGTATATGTTAAGTGATTTTTCATGTTTTATCCTCGTAAGCATGTTAAATAAGTTTTTAATTCGTTTTGTTTAATTTACTAGTCACATAAAAAGTAAAATTGGGAGGAAGGGAGGACGAGAACTGTAGAGTTCAAAATTAATTTTTATTTTATAGAATTGGTGCCTAAAACAAATTATTGAAATGGTACGTTTTTCTGTTTAAATATGGTTAACTTTCTAAACTTAATTTTTATAAAATCTGTATTTTTTTACAGAATCAACACAATTACGTCCGTATTCGTGAAATTCTGCTTCTACTTGCACCGGTCGAGTATACTCGAAATCAGTTGGCAGCGTTGGGACAATCTACAGACGATGTTGAGAATCTTATAGCTCCATTAAAAGCTGAGCTTGAGAACTTACGGAACACTACTGTAGTGGGTTCTTTTAGTTCTTTCTGAAAAATGTTGATTTATGGGTCAAGTCTTGGATTCTTTTCCATTGGTTAATTTAAATGAATGCTCTGTCACGGGTTTCTTTTCTGACTGAAAAATGACATTTGTGTTCCCGGGCTCTCGATACGTTTTCTGTCCTAAATTGGTCTTGTTTTTTTCAAAGTTTCTAATTAGATGGAAATTTTTGCAATGATTATTTAAATTTTAGCGTTTTATTGACCTAAACATCATGTTGTCTTACAATCGTAATAGGACATTGGCTACAGTTACCGGGTCATTCAATCGTGGCGCTTCTGACCTCTACTGCTATTCCATGTTTTTCTTTGAGATTACCATTACGCACGTGCCTGAGTTTGGTGGCAACAGGTAATTTCTATCTATAAAGTAGGGAGGGCTTCCTATAAATATCTGCACGTTTTCTTTTGAAAATGTTTCATTTTTAGAAAATATACACCCAAAATAAGAACTTCTGAATATTTCTTAAAGTTTTTTACGAAATTCATTTTTGCAGCCTTAGAATTGGACTTGGTGAAACAATTGATATAAAATTTGTTTTGGCTTCGAAGGTGTTTATTGAGCATGGACGTTTTGGGGAGATCCAACTGGACCACAATGGAATTGAGAAAAATTCGACGTATGGTCTTGCTTTTGTTTTTAGTCCCCCTGGCATATATTCACGACCTACGGTCTTCTTCACAAAGAATGCCACAATTCTAGGTTTGATTTAAAAATATCACTTTTTCCCACTAAACTTTTATTAAAATCCATTTTAGGCAAAGGCTTGTCCGTAAATGCAAATGATTTTAAGCCGTTTATTGAGAAGAGTGGCGGGATTGAATTTACTCCAAAATTTTCTCTACCTTTTATTTACGATATTCTCAACTATGATCATTCGGCTCTTCAATTGTATGACGATGATGATTTTTTGGGTGAGGATGAATAATTGATAAAAAAATTGTTAATCTAAAGGTTATTTGTTAAATTTGTTTTTTGAAAAATGATTTTGTTAGTTAAATAAATTATTTTAAATAAAGTTTGGATTAATAAATGTTTGGAAAATATTGGAAAAAAAAATAACAAAAAAAAATTCAAAAAATTTCGCCTGCGGCGCTAAAATGAGATGAACAGTAGGTTTTAAGTCTTTACAGTAGGTTTTAAGTTTTTTGCCCTCCATTAAAAAAAGTCGTGATTTTTTTTCTAAATTGGAGAAATGAGGAAAAACGGCGACGCCAAACCCGATGCTTTGAAAGTTCATTTTTGCAAAAATTTTCTCCTTTTATTCCTATTTGAGTCTTAAGTCGGCGCTGCCGCTACCCTGGCCGCTACCCTAACCACGTTCTTATAGTGCGGGCCAGGGCTGTGCGTCATGGCGTTTGGCGTTTTGCGTTTTGGCGTTAATTTTGGCCGATTTTTGGCGTTTTGCGTTTGGCGTGATTTTCCGATTTTGGCGCGCCAAACGCCAAAAATATACACCCCTAATGATGGAATTTTTTTAAAATAAATGGAGAAAGGGATGATCGAAAAAGGAAATTTTTCTTCGTACAGTCATCCAAATTTCTCAAAATTTTTTGCCTGCGGCGCATAAAAAATGAAGAAATCTACTGCTTGGACTTCCAAAATTTAAAAATTTACGCCTGCGGCGCTTAAAGGAGGAAGCCCTTATCTTAAATTAATAGATGGTAGAAGTAAAACTTTGGTCCCGTCAATCGTTTACTCTCTTCATGACCTCTGTTATACTCATAACTCCCTTTATCCCTTCATATCCACCTTAATCTCAAGGAGTTAAATGAATTTCTTATTTTTTAAAGGATGAATTTCGGCTTCTTTGCCTCCAAAATTCTCAAAAATTTCGCTCCGGCGGTAAAAAAGGATGAATTCTGGCTTTGGGAAGCTTGAAAATTCAAAAAATTTCGCCTGCGGCGCTAAAATGAGATGAACAGTAGATTTTAAGTCTTTATAGTAGGCCTGGGCCCGCACTGCGGGCCCAGGCCTATGAAGGCAATAGTATTATCACTTGTGATTCTTATTAAAATTTTTCATTGAATTTTAACTTTTTAGTTTTTCTGTTTGATTTGTAAAATATTTGGTCAATTAACTACCTTCGGTACTTTATTAATATCCCACCCCTACTTGAGTCTCATATTAATTTTCCTTTTTACTGTCAATCATTCTTTCCCTCACACATTATAAGTAAAAGGGAAGTTTGAGAAGCAAAATTAGAAAGGAGGCTTTCTAACTTGCCAAACCCGATGCTTTGAAATAGAGTTTTATCCCTCCTTTTAAAAGTCGTTAAATTTAACTAGTTCGGTATTAGAATGTTTATTTTCTTATATTTAATCTTTACAAGTCATCCTTTTCAATTTCCAAACACATTTCAAATTTATATCATTTTAAGGAAGGACATTATCCTCTCGGGTAATTGAAATAAAATAGATGTTTTTTGATTATAATTCTGTCAATTTAGCAACGCAAAACTATTCAAATCCCCTTCTTTTTCTATGGGAGAAGGTTTATAATTTAAAATACTTAATTTTTAAATTTATTTTTAGTTTACTATGGAGCGGACTCTTGTTGATTTGGATGGAAGCAAAAGTTTAGAAAGGTTTTTTTAACTTTTTTTTATTAATTATTTGGTGGGAATACAGAATGACATTTTCTCCTTGTCTTGCCATATTAAGTCCGAAATTCTTGTCCGCGTTAAAAGCAAGGAATATCTTACGTAATTTTTCCCTTCTCTCTGCTCCCTTCGGCACGGTTGTGTCAAAAAGTTTATGCAATTGAACGTGTAAATAAAGGATGGACAAAAGGGGAATTAATTTTAAGAAATTAATGCAAAAGCGTCGTTTTTGGATTCAATTTAATACTTATCTTCTTTTGCTTTTTTTGCATTTTCATCACAAATTTACGTTTAAAAATAATTTTATTCTTTGACAAAAAATCACCTTCACAGAAGAGGAGCGGAGAGAAGAAAGGCCAGTATTACTACATTGCATATTTAAAATTTTTAAAGTTTTTATATATTCTCTGCTTGAAGACATTTCGTAAACATTTGGAGGATTCTTGTTATAAAATTATGTTCTGCATGGGAATTAATGATATCATTTGTTTATTTATTTGTGGTTTAATAACAGGAATTTTAGGTTCTGATTGAACTCTATTAATTAATTAAAATTATTTTAGGAATATACATATGGGGCTGTTTTTTGTTCTTTTTCAAATTTAATTTATATTGCTGGTGTAGCTGGTAATGGTGAGAAGCTTTAAATTAAGGCGGTCCACTCAGAAATGATGGAACATAAACGGGTACAAGAATAGATAGGTAGGGGGTGGGGGCATGGAGGAATGAAAATATTTGTCCCCAAACAAGATCAATCCTGATCTTAATAATTTAAAATATTTTTAATTTTCCAAGCTTTATGGTTAAACGAATCAGTTTCTGCCATTTTATTGGCATTTAATCGATGTATTAAAATTTCTTTGCCTGAAATTAGTGAAATTCTTTTTCGTGGATATAGAACTTGGATATGGTTGATTATACTCTTCCTTTACTCATTTATTTTTGGGACAACATTCAGCCCTGTATTATTTAGTGGAATTAATTTTCCATGGTTTTTTAATCCACATATTGGATATATTGAGGATTTTAGAAATATTGTCTGTTTGTTTATAAATAAATTAAAATTTATTTTTAAAGTATACAAATCAAATTGACGTTTTCAACTATTTTCTGATTGCCACGTTCCTTCCAGGATTATATATTACTTTTTTCATCAGTTTATTTTGTAAAAAATCATTAATGTCGGCAGCGACATCAACAAATTTTTCACAAAAAAAGGTTTACAGTCAAATCTCATTTACAAAATGATATTTATTTCTTTATTTTATTGTCCACAAGGGAAAAATTGCCTACCTTCGGTACCCACTTTACTGGCAAATTTTTTTAGAAGAGGCTATATAGTAAGAGGGATTGCGAGATTAAGTGAGATTCGACTGTATATTTGAGTAAATTTAATTAAAAATTAGAATTAAGTTTAATAAATTTTATTTTATTTTTAAAACCCTAATCCCTAATCCTAAAATTTTATTCAAAACCTCATAACTAAATAAAAGAAAATATAGTAAAAAAGGTATTGATGCTTGGTTAAAAATAGTAGAAATTTAATCAAAATTAAACTCAAAGAAAAATTTGGTACATCTTTGTTTATTTAAATAGATATTCGCTCAAGTAATGATAATAAGTTCATTTAATATATTAGCTGGATCAGTTTATGCTTATATGCAGGTAAAAATAAATGTTGAAAAAATTTAAAAATATTTTTTAGTTTTTTCCAGTAAATGAATATATTATATATTTGGGGATGTTTAGTTGGTTATTTACTCATGGATTTAAACCTATAATTTATTTGTTGTTAAATAAAAGAATTCAAAATGATGTTTTAAAAATGTTTTGTTTTGTTAGTTTTTAAAAATAAAATTTTGTAGAAAAAAAAATAAATTTTTATTTAGTCACAATCAAATTGATGTAGCGAAAAATTAAAGGAAAACTAAAAGAAAATGGAATTACTTTTATTAAAAAAATAAAAATATTATATGACGTGCGCAACATTTTTTATGTTGCAAATAAAAAAGGATACAAAATTAGGGATATAATTTTTTAAAAATTCGATTTCTAATAAATAAAAATAATATCTTTAATTAAATAAAAATTAAAATTATACACTCCTCCACAAAATTATAGCCCCACCTATATTTTCCTCGGTTTCAATACTGTAACCGTTGTTTTTATTTTCAGACTTTTTTGTAATAATAAATAGGGGTCTAAAATTAGGTTTGTAAAGAAATTTTGTTTTCAAATCAATTTTTTCGAGAGTTATAGCAAATTTCCAATTTTAGGGTTCCACAAAATTATAGCCCCACTTTGAAATTTCGAGTTTCTAACATTTTGAAAAGTCTACAAAAATTTGAGCTAACATGTTTATCGATTCTAAGAAAAAATAAAAAAGAATTAGACCCATATCTAATTCCAGTTTCGAGATCCAGATACATCGAAAATCAACGTAAATCGGGGGTAAGGCTATTTAAAAAATATTTTCGACCCCTTATGGTTTGTTTTAAATTTTAAATTTGGGCTCATTCGAAAGCCCTTAAAATTTGCTATAAGCTAGAATAAGTTTTATTTTCTAGAAAAAATATTTCAGTAAGCCCCATAATAATTAGTTCAGTAAGCCCCCTAATGCCCCATAAAATTAGCACCGCAGGATTAACGTCCTGCATATCTCTATTGCATTTTTTCTGGGATATATGAGTAATACCATCTTATAGCAAATTTTAAGGGCTTTCGAATGAGCCCAAATTTAAAATTTAAAACAAACCATAAGGGGTCGAAAATATTTTTTAAATAGCCTTACCCCCGATTTACGTTGATTTTCGATGTATCTGGATCTCGAAACTGGAATTAGATATGGGTCTAATTCTTTTTTATTTTTTCTTAGAATCGATAAACATGTTAGCTCAAATTTTTGTAGACTTTTCAAAATGTTAGAAACTCGAAATTTCAAAGTGGGGCTATAATTTTGTGGAACCCTAAAATTGGAAATTTGCTATAACTCTCGAAAAAATTGATTTGAAAACAAAATTTCTTTACAAACCTAATTTTAGACCCCTATTTATTATTACAAAAAAGTCTGAAAATAAAAACAACGGTTACAGTATTGAAACCGAGGAAAATATAGGTGGGGCTATAATTTTGTGGAGGAGTGTATTTTAAAAATTAAAAAAAAGTCACAAAAATGGGTAATAATTAAATGTTACAAAGAATTTCAGAAAAATATATTTTAAATTTTATTCAAATATGTAAATAAAATATAGTTTAGATAGAGTCGACTTAAAATTCTTTGGGTCGAGTAAAATATTTATTTTAGAACGAGTTTTTGGCCTTTTTAAATTAAAAAATATTTAAATAATTAGTTAATTTAATTGAAAAATTTTTTATATACCTAATTTCTAAATAAAAAATTAACTGCTCAGAAGTAATAAAAGTTTAAAGCTTTTCTATCAAATCCCAAAAGAAAATAAAAATATTTAAAGCTATTTTTACAATTTTCAAAGAAAATTTATTGTTTTTATTTTTGCCAAAAAAATTTTTTTTAATTTTCTCTAGGGATTTTATTTTTTGTTTTTGGTGTGCTTCTGCAACTTTTTCCTTTAAAAAACTTTATTTTTGTTAAACCTTTTTTTGTCTTCAATAATTTTTTGTTAAAAATTTTTACCAATATATTTTTTTTGGGTAATTTTTAAAATAAAAAATCCTTTAAATTCTTTTTTATAAATTAATTTGGAACATTTATTCTTCGTTACAATTTTATTAATTTAAGAAAAAAATACAATCAGTTTTATTGGTGTTTAAATAAACAACAAAAAATAATGGTAAGAAAATATTTTTTAATTTTTAAATTAAAATAAAGTTTCTGATAAATTTAAAGTTTTCTTAAATGTATTTTAAATTGTTTTTAATATTAATTACCGTATTTCCATGAATATTTGCCGTGGATAATTATTGTTTCAACATCTTATTAGTGGGGGTAATTAGTCGGGGGAGGGGAGGGGGAGGTAATTACTGCGCGATGAATTACCCTTAAATATAAGTTAAAAATAGGGGCTTTACAGGTTTTTAACTTACTTTACTATAAGGTTAAAAACCTGTAAATTTAAATTACTAAAAGTTTTTTATTTAAATTTTTTTATAAAAGTATCACATAGTAAGTTCAAAAATTTTTCAAATATTGCAAATAATTAGAAAATAATTTTCTAAAAGATCGTTACTTTTCATACTTTTCGTTACCAATCTCCAACTTTTTCCTTCATTTTATAATCTTTCCTTTTTTATTTCCTGTTTTTCATCAAACTTTGTATCTTCTACTTTAACTAAGTAAATATATTTAATTTTAAATTGGAGGTTTTCACCAATTTTCTTAAGAACCTCAATTTCCTTTTTTTAAACTTTTATTTTGTTTTATGTAGATGCTTTTAAGCTAATTTAAATGCTTATTTAGTATTATTTTATAAAGTTTTTCTTTTATATTTTAAAAGTATTCTCCTAAAGAAATGTTTAGGTTGTTTAAAAATATTTTTATAAAATTATCCAAATTATAGTTTAAATAAATTTGCTTTTAATTAATTAATAGGGATTGATCCGCCTCCGCGTTTCGTTTTCCATTTTTTATTTTATTCCGCATTCTTCCGCTTCGTCCTTCCTTCTTACTTTTAAAATTAAAAATTATTCATCCCTGGTATCTATTTCCTCTACAATAATTTAAGATTTCAAAATTTAAAAAAAAATTACATTTCATTAGAAAATCTGTCATTTTCACCCATAACTTTTTAAATATTTTTTATTTAACTCTTTAACAACAATTTATTTACTATAATAAATTTATTTTATTTTACATATTTTCGCGCAATTAATTACCTTATGTGCCACAATAATCAATTCCCTCATTAAAAATATATTATTTTTTTACTTAAAAATCTTTTCTTTATTATATTCAAAACAAAATTTTCCACTAAAAACATGCTTTAACACTTTTTCTATTTTTATATTTTCTTTCCTTTGTTATGACCTTATTTTGGCTTCTTTCCATTCTCGATTGTCAATGAATTGAATAGCTGCTTGCTTGTTTGTTGTGCCCTCTCCTTTCCTCTACTTTTTGCTTTTTCTTAACTAATTCTTCCCTATACTTCTCTTCATTTCACTCAAAATATATTGGAGTGACGAAAATAGCAAAAAGGAGAGCGCAGACTTGGCTATATACTTACTTCTCCCGTTGAGAGGATAAAATAGTAACTCTTTTTCAAAAATAATTTTTTTTCAAAACAAAATTTCTCTCCCTCCTCACTCTCTCCTCTCTGGCACATGCATACAATCGAGACTGTTTTTGGAAAATAAATACTTTATTATAAAGCTTTTGGCTGCTTTTCCTCTCTTTTATTTTCCTCAATTTTCTGTCTCCAACACTCTTCTCAATTTGCCATTGCCGCACTCCCTTATGACCTACCATCAATAATAAGCTACTTCTAACATTGTAAATACATTAAAAATTAATTGCTAATAAATAAATAAATATATTTTTACCTTTAAATTATTAAAAAATATTTTTTTTGAAAATCTCTTTTTTGTTATTTAACATTTAAATATTCTGATTTTTCTCGTTAATTAGTTTTTGTTGCCAAGTGAACAATAATGTTGATGAAGATTTATTTGGGAAATAAATTGATACTGTTGTCTAGTTTTTAAATTTAAAATTCTCTATGAAAACAATTTGAATTTTTAATTTTTTTCTTTACTTTAATATTTTTTTATTTTATAAAAGTTTATTTCCTAAAAAAATATTAAAATTTTGTTATTCTATTTAACTTTTACTGAGGTTAAGAAAATTTTTGAATAGAAAATGTTTTTAATGAGATCATAATCTAAAGAAGTTTTCTCTATATGTACAAATATGTACTTCTCTACCTATATACAAATGTTCTTTAAAAGTTTTATTATTTGAATATATGTATTTTTCAAAAAGTTCACAATTTTTATGTTTATATTAAACAATTTTATACTACCCTTTCACAAAATCTGTTACAAATTTTAATATTTATAATTTTCCAAAAATTAAAAACTTTATTTTTCAATTAAAAACATTTAAAAATAATTCTTTAATTAAATAGTTAAAGTGGGAAAAACGTCGAGGAAGCAACAAATCAGATAAACATTTAATTACTGGTAAAGTACCTCCAATCGCTTCTATTGAAGAAAAATCAAATAATAATATTAATAATGATGAAAATTTTGAAGAGAAAAGTTCTACTTGTAAGAAATTAAAATAAAATATTTTTAATTTTAATTAAAAAAAAGGTGCAGTAGCTGATTTTGGAATTAATCAACAACAACAATCCAAACCTTTGGCACATCCAAGATCTTCCCTTTTACAGGTTGGCACAGCAACACCAACAACAAATACACGATTTAATTACAATACTGATTGGTAAATAAATAAAGATTTTCTAATTAATTAAAATACCTTTCTTTGTATGTTAACTCGTTAAAAATATATTAATTCGTTTTAAAGTTATTTGATAAATAACTTTAATCTTAATTAGCCTTACAATTATTAAATGTATAAAATACTTTTCCAATCAAAAGCCTGTTTCAAGAGAATTTAATACACAGAATTTAATTCAAGCATTTCCACAGAATATCTGAACATGTGGCTAATTAAGACCAGCCCCTTCCTTAATTTAAAAATTATTCTTATTAGTTACAATTCCTATTGGCGCAATGCAAATACAGGAACGGGCTCTTTAATATATTCAAATACAAAAACACATTCTGTAGTTGATGCGGATTCTGTTTGTAGGTAAAAAACAAAAACTTTTATTTTTTAAAATTATTTTTAAATAATTTTAAAGTAGCAGTATCGATGTTTCAACAGCAACTAGCCTTGTCGGGCACCGCACACACAAACTATCTTCCTCATTAATTCTTGTACCTACTCAACCTTTATATTACATTAATCCTACAAATGTGAGAGGCTTTTTTGGAGAGAGAGAGGCTTTTTAAATTTTTATTTTTAGCCACAAAATATTAATAACTTGCCAGAAAACAATTACAATAATAATATAATTAATACAATGTCCTCTCCACAGGGGGGCCCTATGCATCAAGGAGTTAATTCAAGTAATTTAATTGAATTAATTTTTGGGGTTTTTATTTAAAAAAATTTTTTTGAAGTGTCTAATTCAATAAATGCAGCAATTCCTGCAATGCCTTTTTGCTGTGAATGTTCGGCTGCGGTAATTAATTTTCTAATAAATTTTGCTATAAATTAATTTTTAATTTTTCTTTATTTTTCAGCAAAATCGTTGCAGCCAAAATAGGTAAATAATAATAATTATTATTTAATATTAAATTAATTAAAATATTTAAAGTTGTCCTTGTTTTGCAACTAGAAGAATGTGTGATGAACATTGTGAATCTGCTAGGTAATTAATTAATTATAATTAATTATTAAATAAATAAATTAATTTAAAGATATAGAGGTGATTGTCTAAATCAAGCAATTTGCAAAGTAAAGAAGAAAATAATTTTTAAATAAAAAAAACAATTTTTAAAGTGTTCTTGTGAGGCAGACCCTTCAAAATCTGCAAAAAATATTTGTTCAAAATCTGAAAGGTGTGATTGCCTTCGAATAAAGGAATCTTGTTCTAAGGTGATTTTTGAGAAAAAATAAATAAATATGAAATTAATCTCCTTATTTTAATAAATAATAATATCCTTAAAATCACTCTCCTTTAAAGTTAATTTTATCTTAAAATTAAAACAAAAATTTTAAATTAAATTATTTTCTTTAAAGCTTTGTGTTTGTAAACAAATATGCAAAAATAAAGAACCTCCAAAAAGAACAATTAAAATAAATAAACCAACACAAGGGTATACAATAATTTAATTAAAAATAAATTATTTTTTAAAAAATATTTAAAGTTGTCAATGTGCTAAAGGAAAAAAACAATGTGGCAAAAAAGAATGTCAATGTAGAGGAGTTTATGAATTTTGTTCTCCCAGGTAAATAAAAATTATAAAATTAAATATATTTTTGTTTTGTTTGTTTTGATGTCCTCCTATTTATAAAATTTGGATACCCAAATCTTTTTAAATTATTATAAAAAATCAAAATATTTTTTTACAACAAATTCTTAATTTTTATCAAGTCTCTAGCTTGTTTATTACACAAAATTATTAAATTAAAAAAAATATTAATTTAAAGTTGTAAATGTAGCGGAGACTGTACAAACGGAGCAGCAAAATTCCACGTCCCAAAACACGTCCAAAATTGTTTTTTGGAGCACAAACACGAAAGCAGGTATTTGAAAAAGAATTTAATTTTAAATTAAAAAATAAATATAAAGAATTAAAGTGGATTAATTGTCACTTTGATTGGCGACAACTACATTTATAGAGGAGATTTTTATCATGATTCTAAAAGTGAACCACATGTTGAAGAACAATTAGTTGCTGCTATTTATGATTTGATATCTAAATATAATGTTGGTTTTTCTTTAAATATTTTTAGAGAGAGAGAAACAAAACTTTAAATTTTACTTTAAATTCGAAGAAATATTTTTTAATTAAATTAATTACCCTACACTTTCCCTGATCAAAAAATTAAATTTGGTTCTAAATAATTTCTGGCCTTGTACCTATTAGCAAAATATTTTTAAAAAATATTTATTGGAATTTAATAAGAAATAGTTAATAAATTGTGTTGAATCGTTAATTCAGACAAATATTCACTATATCTAGAAGTGTTTATAATATACTAATTTCCAGTCCCTTTATTTAATATACATAATTTATTTTAAAATATTTTTTTTCAAAATTTGAAGGTCGATTTATATGAAATAATGATTTTTGTTTCAAAAAGTCCATGTTTCCATCAAGATTGTGAACCAAAATGTGAAGTTGTTGATGAATGTAAATCTAATAAAGGTGTTAAATTAATTAATTTTTAATTAATTTTGTTTGTTTTTTAAAGCTTGTGCAAAATTATTGGGTTTATTACTTTCAAAAGTTCGAAAAGAATTAAGTAAAGTAGATGTTCGAATGACTGTTAAATTTTTGTAAGGAAATTTGTTTTTTTAAATTAAAAAAATAATTTTTCTTTAAAGATATCCACATTTAAATAGAGGGGATTTATATACAAAACAAGGAATTCTTTCAATGTTACAGGCGGGAATTAAAGTAGAACCTTTGCTTATGAAGGATTGGAGTGCTGTTATGGATTGGGCACCTCATCCAGAACATAAAGGAGAATATTTACAGGTAAATAAAAAGTTGCAAAATTCAGAAACTGGTTTTCAGACCATGAAAATTTTTTTCGATATTAATTGAAAGCCTCATACCAAATAATGTAATATAGTTAATTTATACATATATATATAAAATACAAAATAATTTATACAATCACTCCTCTCTCACACATTTGTTTAAATTAGCAATCTAAAATAATACATATATTAATTAATTTCTTCTCAGCTTTGGGGCAATCACAATCTGGATCGCTATGTTGCACAATCCCAAGCTTTTATAAACGAATGTCGTCGAGCTTTGGGTCTTTCAATGAAATTTTGGGTTGCTGAAATACACGAAATTGTTAAAAACACAATTTTACATTATACAGAGTTTTTAATAAATTAATTTAAAAATTAAATTTAAATATTTTAAAAAGAATTCGTGGAAAATGTCATGAATTAAATGATGCTTTAAAACAAGTATGAGAGAGAAAAAATATTTTTATTTAAATTCAAAATAATTTTTCAGTTAGATTTAACAGCAACTCCACACAAAATACGTTCAACGCCTAGCAAAAGACGTTCTTTTATTGATATGCATGGTTGGCTATTAATTTTATATAAAGGAAATTTTTTTGTTTTTCAGAACTTAGAGACAAACTTTTGATGCGTGGAGGGACATCTACAGAGGGGGGAAAGGCAAAGAATGGAAGTAATATATCTGTTGCTAGGTTAAGAATAATTTGGAGAGAAAAATATTTTTCTCAAAATTTTTAGTGAAGATGCACATGCCCAAGCAATGGTTGCCAGTTTTTGTGGGCGATCTTTTGATGACGGAGAAACAAACGAAATAGCCCAAAGGATTAGAAAAGCAACGGCAAATATAAATTTAGAAATTGAAACTTTAATGGAATTTTTGACACATAAAGGGGCATCTATTGGATAAATAAAAGGAAGGAATTCTGGGATCTCTAAATTGTTTCAAACACCTCATTTTAAATTTCCTTTTTTTGCAATACCAAACCCCAACATTTTTCGAATTACCTTTTGCCATTTTCCTAATCTTTTTCTATAAAAATTATTATTTTTTTAAAATAATAGAAACCGTCCTGAACCTCACTACTAAAATTATCATTTTAATTGTCAATTTAAATATACAATAAATAAAATAATTTTTGAGTAATTTTTAAAAATTAATTTTAAATTAAAAAAAAGTAATAACAAACTACATATATACCGTATTTCCTCTATTAGAATGCCATGGCATTTTATTTTTCAGTCACCTTCCAAGGTGGCATTCAGATAGAGGGTGGCATTCTAACAGAGGAAATACGTTATGTATTTTTTAATAAAAAGTAAACTTTCTAGAAAAAAATAAAATTAGGTATATTTTAAAAATTTTGAGATCTCAGAAAAATAAAGGATTAAGGATTATTTATTTTTGTCTGTTCATTTCTTGCATTATTAGCCTCATTTCTACGTAAAAATAACGGTGCCCCGGTACCAGCAGTAGTGCTTAATTTAATTACAGCAGTTTGTTGTTGCTGTCTAACGTCTGTAACATTATTACTAATGACTTCTCTAAATAAAATAAATTTGTAAATTTTTTTCCACAAATGGAAGAAATGTCCTCGATATTCTGAATTCATGCTTAGACTAAAAAATTTAGAAAATAAAAATTAAATTAATTAATTTATACGTTAAAGAAGTATTAATTAAAAGATATCCAAGAAAAAGCATTGTCCATGGGGGATGTTTATAATCCAAATACCAAGCAAAAATTAAAGCTGTAATTATTGAGAAGAGAAGGACAGAAATAATTAAAATTCTTTTCTCTTGTTTATTAAACTTTTGGTTTTGTTTTTTAATTTTTTTATTGGAAGGGTTGTTTTGTTGTTTTGGGGGCTGTTGTTGTTGTTGAATATTTTCAGTTGATTCTCTTGACTATTAAAAATAATTATTTAAACTTTCCGGAACGTTTTTTCTTTTTCTAAAAAATCTCCAACCTTTTTCAGAATAAATATAATAGCAACATAACAACAAATAGAAATAGCCGGGAATGCTATAGTAAAATAAAATTCTAATTGTCGATATTTATCACTACAAGGGGAATTATCATAGAAAAATCCAACAGCTTCATCATCCCATATTCCCCCACAAATTGTCATAAATAAAACTTGAAGTGCTGACATAATTAGCCACGAAAGTATAAGGAGAAACTTTAAATTTTGAAGAATATTTTTTTAGAAAAATTTAAAAAGAATTTTTTTAATACAAAAAAAAGTTAGAAAATATTAAAAATAAATTTAAGAGAATATTTTTTATTTAAATATAGGGCAGAATTAATCGAGTATTTCGAGTTTTTATTGATAACACTCAATCATTCCTAACAATTTCTCTTTATAAATTTAAAAAAAATTTAATATTTACATTAAAAGCCCATCTTTCAGATTTCGATTCCTCTTTATAATTATTAGGAAAATAAAAAGCTCTAACAAAAATAATTAATCTGTTTAAAGCAAGCAAAAAGTGCTGAACAATTAAATGATCCCAGGCAATTATATAAACTCCACTTGCAAATTTTTGAGTAAAATCGCTAGCTTTCCAACCAAAATATTCGTAAAATGTAAATTGGAAAATAGCAAAAAGTTGGAGAAAATCAGAAAGGGCAATTGACAACATTATACGGTAAAGAATCCGATTGCGAAGATTTGGGTAGACAACAAATACCTTTAAAGAGATAAATAAATTCTGAAATTAAAGTTTGGAGAGAATTATATCTGACAAAAAAAAATAAATAAATTCACTAAAATTTTAATTTTTAGGAAAGAATAAATTCTGCCCCTACAAATTAGTATTTCAAACTTTAATTAGTATTAATTAATTAAAAACCAACAGGTATTGTACTAAGCTGAAGCAAAACCAAAAGAAAAGAAGCTATCATTTGAATTAAAGAGAAGATTGTTTTGTCCATTTTAATATTTCAATGGGTGCTAGGTTTTTTAAATATTTTTTTGGCAAACTTAAATTTAATTTTTAATTTAAAATAATTTTTTTTTAAATTTATGATTAAACAATTAATGGCTAATAAATTAGGTAGTATAAAATAACAAATAAATATACGTATATTTCCTAACGAGTTTTTGTTTAATCGAATTTTTTTCTATAAGAATTTATGTGAAAAATTTAAAAAAAAAGTTGTATTAATAAATAAAAGTATAACTACGAAATTTATTTTAAAATATCTTTTAACTTAAAAAGATTTTTTATAAACTAGTGAATGTGAGAAAAATATTTAAAAAATATCATTTTTCCCTCAAATGCTTGAGTATAACTTCCCCTTTTTTATTTAAAAATTAATTTAATAATTTTAAAGTAAAAATTTTTTTAATAAATAATTTATTTAAATTCAAATAGTAAATGTCAACAATTAATTTATTTTAAATATTTAATTTAAAATAATTAAATTTTAAATAAAGGTACATAATTATTTTCTGTACATAATTAATTAATGAAAGAGGGTAATTGAAGTTTTGAAATTTAGATAAAATTGGGAGAGAATGGGTAAACTAGGTATATAAATTAAAATAAAGGAAAATAAATAGTAAAATTAAAAAAAATTTTTTTAAAGAAACAAAAAATTAAAGAAAAATAAATATTTTAGGTTAATTCTTAAATTAATTAAAGACTTGTCTAAATTTAATTATAAAAATAACAAAAAAATATTTTGAAACCCATGTCCTGTCTTAACAGAAAAAAAATTAAATTTAAAAAAAAATTAAATTATATTTACATTTTAAATAAAAGTACAAAAATTTTTTTAATAAAATTAAATGCCGAAATAATTTTATTTTAATAAACGGCAGGTGTTTTCATTTTTAACCTTTCACCTGCTTTGGACAATCGAGAAAGTAAATCAAAAAAAGTTTTTTCTTTGAATGACGTTAATAATAATTAATTTTAATTAAAAAATAATTATTGAAAATAAGTTAAATAAATTATCTAGCAGATATCAATATATTTTTATTTTTAATTATCTATCAATTATCTAGCAATATATTTTTATGTTTTACGTTATTATACCATAAACTCTTGGAGTGGGGAAAAAGTGTATTTAAAATTAGGGAATACTAGGGTGCTGAGTGAATCGGAATTCCGATTTCCGCTTCCGATTCCTGGCACCTTCGTCATTTACGATTCACCTATACTGGAGAGTATTGCCTAAGCTCTTCCCACAGATTGGCCATCCAACAAAAAAAAATAAATGTAAAATCAAGTGTGTATGTACATAGTATTTTCTCTTTTGTCTATTAAACCAGTCCCAAAAATAGCAAAAAGATAGGATGTGGCTTGATCCTAAGAGCTCTCCAATGCAAAAGTTGTTAAACGCTGAATTTAGCACAGTAAACTTGATTTTTTATTTGCCAGAATGGTGTAAATAGCTTAAAGTCTATATGAAAAAGAAGAAAATAAATAAATAAAATTAAGATCTTTGATATAAAATAATATAGGTAATTTATTTAATGTTTCAAAGCTAAACAGAAAAAAATAATTTGTTCGGGTCATAAACTTTAAAATGTTCAAAAATTTTGTTATCATAAAATTTACTATTTAATTAATTTAATAAAAATTTTATATAAAAAATAGACAATAAAATAATCAAAAATTAATTTAATATTTAAAATTTAATTTAAAAATACTTTTTAAAAGTTATTTATTTATTTGCAAATAAAATAATTTAAAAAACACGAAAATTACATTATCAAAAATAAAAAAATATTTAATTAATTAATTAATTAAAATTTTAATTTAAAAATTTTAAAATATCTGAACGACTAAATGGAAAGTTTTGATTTTTAATTTTATATAGTAATCATTTAATAGTGAAAACTCTCCCTATACTAGTAAATTTCCTATATTCTCTCCAAAATTAATTAAATAATTAAATCCTCTCCCTTCTTCACCTTCATAATTAATAAAAAAATTATTATTTTTTTTAAATAAATAATAATAATAATTTTATTTCATTTTTTAGTCTGCTAGACAAACTAAAAAAAATAAATAAAAATAAATCTGTGCAAATTATAAAGAAAATAAATAATATGACATTTTTTAATAATATTGGATGATTTAAAAAGAAAAATATTTTCTTTAAATAAATATATTGCGTGTATTTAATTTGCAAAAATAATTTATTTTTATTTATTTAATTGTATTTTAATTAATTAAAATTAAAAAAAATTTTCTTATTAAAATATTTTTTATAATATTTTTTTTTGTTTCAGAAAAATAACTTTTTAATTTGTTGCAAAGTTTTAAAAATATTTTTTTGTAAATTTTTAATGAATATTTTTATTTAAATAAAATTTATAGGTAAAAAAATTAAAATTTTTAAAAAATGTTAAAAATGCATAATTCAATAATTATTTTTTTAATATTTTTATTATTTATTAGTTCAAAAATAGAAGGAAGTAAAGAAGTTGAAGAAAATAATGAAAATAATTTAGTTTTTGATTTAACACAAAGAGAAGTTATTTTGAGAAAAGTTTTGAGAGAAAGTTGGTGGTTTTTATTTAAATCATTTAAAATAATCTTAAACTCATTTGTATTCACCTTTCGGACAGAAAAAAAGGAAGAGACATTAATGGGAGGGAAACGGTGTTACGACAATTGCGGATACGCACGTGCGGATGCGACAATTGCGGATTAAAAATTTTTTTTTATTTTAAAAATGATTTAAAGGATATTCCGTTTTTTCGTCCCGGCTGTCAGCTTCATATTTCTGACGGTTTCAGAATCATTTTTAGACAGATGTGGCACTGAAAACTTTGAAAAATCTTAAACTTTTTAAAAATTTTATATCCGCAATCGTCACATCCGCACGTGCGTATCCGCAATTGTCGTACCGCCGAGGGAAACGTGTACAAGTAAGGAGTCTGACTGACAATAATTAAATTTAAAAGTTTAAAGGAAAAATAATTTTTTTAAAAGTTTGTAAGGAAAATTTTGTCCAAAAATTAAATAAAATTTAATTTTATCCAAAAAAAATTTAATTATTTTGCTTATTTTTATTTAAATAATAAATCTTAATAATTAAAAAACAGGTGGATTTAATACAGAAACAGAAATTGATGAAGTAAAAGAAATTTTTTTTAATTTAATTAAAAAATGTTTTTAGGCAATAATAGAATTAGGCCCTCCTCCAAAGAAAATAGCAGAAAAAATTGATAGTGAAGAATTAATAAATTGATGAACAAATTTAAATAAATGATAATTAAATAAATATTTTTGAAATTTAGAGAATGTTTTTTATAATAAAATATTAATTGTAATAAATTAATTTTTAAATAAATATAAAAAAATATAAATTTTGTTTTGTTGAATAATTATTTAAATATTATTTTATTATGGAACATTCTCAGAGCCTGCTAAACATCCAAAAAACATTTTGGCTTTCAGGCCCTTACTTTCCTGTTTTTAGGTATTTATTTCCAAAATATTGGGACAGTAATGAGTATGAAATTTTAAAAAACAGAACTTCCTTGCCCTTCAGAAAATTACTTCCCTGTGGCTGAAGTCGAACATTGACTTTAAAGAAATAATATAAATTAATTTTTAAAAAATATTTTTTTAATCAAAAATCAATTTAATATAAAAATAATAAAATTAAAATATATTTAAAATTAAAAGCTAACTAAATAATATATTTTTATTTAAAAAAGAAAAATCACTTTTTATTAATTCCAGAAAAACCTGAAAAATAAAAAGAGAGAAGATGGACAACCGGTTTATAATTTAAATTGTTTGAGATATTGAGGATATATGTATATATTTAATTATAAACATTAAAAATTATATGTGGTCATTTTTTTATTAATATATGTAGATATTCATTTATTAATTAATGCTGAATTAAGGAGTTTTTTTTATTTTTTTTCAATTAAATTTCCACCGTTAGAAAATTATGTGTGTGTTAGTTAGTTACAATTCTCGATTATTAGAGAATAGTCTTGGATTATGATCTAATTTAAAGTTTGGTTTTTCGCAAATAATAAAGTAATTTAGTCTATCAAATACTAAGCAAGCCAAATAAATTTATTTTTCCTTCTATCACCCTTTCATTTTTTTATTGTACATAATTAAATAAAAATTCATTTAAAATTAGAAAAATGAAAAATATTTTCCACCAACTACAAACTACAAAACAATTTCCATTTAAAAATTTATTTAAATTAATTAAACGTTCAATTTATTTCATTGCTATAATTGTTAGTATTGAATGGATTTTAAATAATTTATTTGAAGAAAATTATAGTTATAGTGATGAGGATGAAGAAAATGATAATTTTTATAACCCAAAAACTATAGGTAAATAAAAAAATTTTTTGAAAGAAGAAATGAAAGGGAAGATGAAACACGAAATTTCAATATTCTCTGACCCATATCTTACCTTTCTTTCAAATAAGGTTGGCGGTTTCGGGTATCCGGAACCAAAAAAACCCGGATATCTGGAAATTTTCGGTTATGATATTGGTTCCGCGTCCTGATATTAGGAGATTTTACAGGAACTGCCAATCTTAATCCCTGACTCTATCAATTTAGAAAAGACTTTTTTTAATTTTTTGCTTGTTCCTCGTCTTTAAATAAAAGAGAATATTATTTAAAAATAAATAAATTAAAAAAAATTTTATAGAAACATTAATAAAAGAACAAAATTTAAAAACTCCAAATATTCAAATTGGCAAACAAAATAATTGGAAAATAGAAGATAATAATGAATGGCTGTTTTTTACTTATGAAAAAGTTTTTAAATTAAATTTTAAATTTATTATATTTTAAAAGGCAAAATGTAACAAATTAATTCTTGTAAAAGGCGAAATAAATAAATTTACAATTTGTCACCCTCCTAAAATAATTTGGAAATTAATTGAAAAAGTAATAAATTTTTAATTTAATAGGGACGTTAAGGAGCAGAGATTTTGGGGGCGCAAATTCAAATATTTTTAAAAATTCTGAAAATTTTTCCTAAAATCTCTCTCAATTTATTTTTTATTTCAGAATTTATTTTGAAAAACATCTAAATAATATTAAAATTTTACAAAATTTTTAATAAAAAGACCAACGCCCTTGTCCTGCCCCACGCCCAAACATCCCCCCATTTAAATATAATAATTTTTAAGTTTTCACCTATAATTAACTTATTTACTCAAAACGATATTAGTAATGCTTTTATTGGAAATTTGGTAATTTTTTTAATTTCTTAGAAAATTAAAAAATGATTTTTAGGTATATTTTATTAATGGGGAAAGAGATAATTTATTTGAAAAAAAGTTGAAAGCTTTAATTGGAAATAGAAGTAAATTGAGGGTTTTTACTGAGGTAATTTAATAAAAATAAAGGAATTTTATAAAACAAAAAAAAGTTGCGACAAAATTTATTAAATTAATATTTGAACAAGTAAAAATATTCTTTAGAAAATTTAAATAGATAAAGAATCTACATAGAATTTATTAAGTTTAGAAAGCTCTTATAATTTTTTTCTGGATTTTTCTTTCTTTAAAATTTTTTTAAAAGAAAAATAAAAAAACATTTTTTCAGTTTAATTCGACAATTAAAACTTTGTTTGTTCCCGATACATTAGAAAATATACAAGTTAAAGCCTTTACAGAAGAAAATAATAAACAAAATAAAATGATTGGAATTAAAGATTTAATTGATTCAAAAGATGATTATCATCGAATTGAATTTATTAAATTTGAAATGAAAAGTAAGAAGGGGGTTTAATTAAATTTTAAAAAAGTATAATATTTCTCATCTTCTTAAACATTTTAAAGTCTGTTTAAAGAGTATAATTAAAGAAAAATAAGTATTGTTATTAAAAAGATATAATTATTTTCGAAATAAATTATTGGGTAGATGAGGGAAGGATAAATACATATGTAGTACTTTTAGAAGGAAGTTAAAAAGAAGTAACAAAACTTTCAAAAAATTATATTAAATATAATGAAATTTAAATAATCTAGAAAAAGTTTAAGTAACAAATCTCCCTAATTCTCATTTTTTTCTAGCAAAACTTCCAATATAAAAATATATTTTTTAAGATAAAGTAGATCCAATAATTTTCTCAATAAATATTCCAATATTTGCTGCACATATTCTTTTAAAAATTGAAAATTTTTCCTATGAAGAATTTCGTTATTTAATTAAAAGAATGGCTAATTCACTTTATTTTCCATATTTTGTAAGTTTTATTTTTTAATTTAAATATTTTTTTTAATTTTTAGATTGAAAAAGACAAAAAATTAAAATTAATTTTTATATCTTTTATTCACAAATATTCAATGTATAAATACCACTTTTCTGAATTGATACCTGCAAAATGGACTTTAGAAGAACATATTTAAGAATCTCTTTATCATTTATTTATTTACCTCATTGTTTATAATCCCCGTGTCATTATTTAATATGTAGAGATCGGATTTGGAGGGATGACTGGGATATAAGGAAATTGGTCAATAAAATTGGTGCTAAATCTCTGACCAAAAAACTCTCCGAAAAATTTTGGTGACTAAATTTCAATTGAATAAATTTTCGAGGCTTAAATTGCCCATCTAGATCAAAAAATTCCTATGATCTGATCTTTAATATATAAAATTGATTCTCATTAAATATCTTTTTAAATTAATTTTAAATATATATATAAATCGAAAAATGAATAAATGTTAAAAAAAGAAAACAATTTCTATTAAGACGTTTAAAAGCTAATGTTCAAAAATTAATTCATTTATGTAACTTTTTAATTTCAAATTCACTATAAAATTTGTTAATTAAAATAGTTTCTGTATATAATTTGCTTTAAACAATTTTTGAACTATTTTGCAATTTTTTAAATTTTGAGCAACAATTTATAAGATTATTCTTTGAATTAAAATATCCTTCTCTCTATTTTATCCTCTCCATTACAATATTTTCTTTATTTTTATCAGCAAAAAATGTTTTAAAATGTTCATAAGATCCAATCATTATAGCACATGCTGGAGCTACACGTGCTACTCTTGGAACTAACCCTTTTTAATTAATTAAATTTATTTATTTTTCCTAATTAATTACCTGTAAATAACGATTTTATTCCTTTTGTTTTAATTAATTCTTTAAATATTGGGAAAACACCCTTTTTACTTGTTGTTGTTTTTGGGGAAGGAGATATTCTTTCATTTTCAAGATTTATTTTTTTATCATTTGTTTGTCCTAAAGTTATTTGTTGGTGTGTTTTGACAACATCAAAAGGTAATGTTATTATTGAGGCTATCGCTCCTATAAAGAAAGAAAAAAAGATTTTTTTAATAAAATCGAGAAACATTTTAAATTTAAAAGACAACTTTTCAACTTAAAATTGACAAGATTTTTAGAGATTTATGGAAGTTCTCTCCCTCACAAATTTTATTTAACTATTATAATTCAAGGACAACCAAAGCCCAATCAATTACAACAATTACTAGGAAATTTGACTTTCTTTTTTTAAAAACCAAGTTTCCCTCATATGTAATCCTACCCTTTAAATTCTCTTGTATTTTTATCCTCAACTTTTATATTCCAAAAATTCATTCTAAAATATATTTTCAAAATATTATTACCAGCTAATGATCCAAACAAAAAACTATAAGTAAAATTAATTCTTTCAACATTTAGAAATAATAAAGATTGTTGTTTAAAAGTTTCATAACAAGTCCAATAAATAGCTTAAAATATTAATTTAAATATATTTTTATAATACAACTAAAAAACACCAGAAAAAGGAATATCACGTAACATTGTGGCTGTCCAACCACGCCATAAAGCACTATAACCGTCAGAACGGATAGTTCTCGAAATTGCTGATATTAATTCTAAAATAAATAATTAATTAGAGAATTATTTAAAATTTATTTAAGCACCAAAATATGAAAGTTTTTCTGACTGCATTTTTGTTCGAATTAATTCTAAAGGAGAAACAATTGTAACAGAAGATGCACGAGCTAATGAACCAGCCAATAATGGAGCAAAAAAGCTTTACAAATAAATTAGTTTTTTAATTCCAAATAATTTTTTTCAAAATCACGATCCCAAATTAAAAAAAATTTAACATGTTAAAGATTAAGAAATATTTTTTGTTTACCTTTTATTTCCTATCCTTTCACGTAAAATATTATGTAAATTGTCATATAAAGTAAAATAAAAAACTGTGGCAGGCACAGCACTGAGCCTTAAAAATATTTTTTAGAAAAATCATTCAAAAAAATAATTTTTAATTATCTACATTGTGGGGGATAACCCACTCCATAAAGAACGAATTCCTTCATTTCTAGTAATTTTAATTACAGCATCCTAAAATTAAAAAGAATATTTGTAAAATTTTAAAAGACTCTTACAAAAGTTCCAGTGAAATGACCAGGTCTATTAAACCATTCACATTTTTGAGCATTTTTGAAGCCGTTGGTTGTTACGCGTTCCTCGCATACTCTACATAAATGATCCATTAAACCTGACAAAAAATGTAATAAATTAAAGTTGATTTCTGTTATACATATTTCAACAGAAAGGAAAGGACTAATAACTTGAAAGTTTAGCTGATGTGAAGCCACAACTAGGGTTGTACCCCGTCCCCAACAGTCGGGGAAATTAGACTTTTGAAAATTTTCTGCAGCACAACATCAGTGCTAGATAAAGAATTTCTTATCCAGCACTGGTGAGTATATTTAAATACACACCATTAGAATAAAGAAAGCATTCACCCTTAACCAAAGGCCGAACTTGGCTTTGAAGTCTGATTTTCACAACATCCATAGGAGTGACTAGAAGTGATGTAAGCAATGCACCGACAGAAGAGGCTGAAATAATAGTATACAAAAAATAATAAAATAAAAAATAACCAAATAATTGTTGAGGCAATGAAATATCACCAGAATTAGTTGAAAATGTTCTTTTTGGATTTAGACCATTTTTTGCTATTTTCTCTGCCCCCAACGAGATCATTCTCTAAAAGTAAAATAATTTTTTTAAAACTTTCAAAATTTTAAATAGTTAAAATTATTAATTTTAATATTTCAAAAAAAACTATCAAAATTTTTTTATTCTTTAAAAAAACTCAATTTATAGCAAAACACACCAAAGAAAGCATTTAAAATAATAAAGATATAATTTAACCAAAAGAGCATTATTGAAGCATTTATGAAAGAAAGGTTTACAAAAAACTTATAACCACGCATAAAAATGAGTAGAAATATTTACGTAATTTTTTTTTGAAGGGAAAAAGTAATTTCAACAAATAAACAACAAAGATTGGCCGAATATATTTTTTTAAATTTATTTATCACTATTTTTTATTTATTCATTTTCTTGAATATTTAATTCTTTTTTCTCACTGGTTTCAGCATCACCGGTCTTCTCTTCAACAAATCTTCTTTTCATATTAAATGCTTTTCTAAATTTATCTTCATATTCGTCAGCAATTCCGAGACGTTCTTCTGCAGGTACACCAACTATTAATTTATGTAAATCATCTCTTTTATTAGCAATTGAATCAATTCCAATTGCTATATCACTCAATAATTTCTGAAAATAAAAAAATATTTTTTCAAGTTTAAAAAAGGCCAAAACTTACACTAAATTCATTAATTAAATACCAACGTTCAGCAACACTTAATCGATTGCGAGTGACCAAAGCATCTGCATCAGGGTTCTTCCAAAAGTCCAACGCGTAACTATTTTTGTAGATCTAATAAAAAAGAAAAATTGTTTTTCAAGTAATAACATATCGAGTAAAAAAATCAAGAACCTTCCGTCCTCGATGATCAAATCTATCGATATAAACAAAAGGAATAAATCTTTCATCAAGTTGTAAATCACTGTTAAAAACTGAAGCAAAATCGATTTGACCTCTACTTAAATGTAACGACTCTTCAGTACATCCACTCAAAGCAATAATGGGATTCTTAAAATATTTTTTATAATCAACAACTTTAAATTTGAAAAAGAACCTCAAGTCTTCGATTAATTGAACCCAATTGCAACGAAGCTAATGCAAGTTCCTCAACAGATTTATTGTATTCATTTATTGAATCTTCAATGCTTTTGGGAAGTGCAGGAAGGACAGGCTACAAAATAATTTTAAAATAGGTATCCAAAAATATTATTTTCCAAAAAACCTCTTTTTCTAAATTTTGTTCATCAACAACGTTTAAAGACACAAGTTTTTGAGTAAATATATGTGCCAATATAAAAATTATATCTTCTTTAGCTTTTGTTCTATTATCTTCGTGATAGAGATCTTCATATGTTGTATGAATATAACGATGTAAAACGCCTGTTTGAAGAATATGAATGAAGACAAGACTGCCGGGATCATACTGACTCAAATGTAAGGCAAAATGAGCAAAACCTCGTGGAATGCACTAAATTAGGTAGAGTATTGTAAAAATATAATTTAAAAATAAAAACCTTTTCATCTAATAATTGCATTCTTCTAAGCAATTGAACATAGAAAAATGTCAAAAATCTTAATAAATTACTAAAATTCCTATTATGCGTTTGCAAAACAAAAGGCACTTTTAATAAAGTTAAAGCAGCCTAAAGAAGTAAAATAATTACAGAAATCAATTTAAAGCCCAAACCTTTCTTCGCACTTCCTCATTTAAAACGTCATTATTGTCTATTTTTGAAGATTTTCCACCTCCCTGAGTTCTTGCATTTTTCAATAATTTTTGTTGTTCTTTTGATAATTCTCCATTGACAAAAGAAATTAATCGAAGAAGAAATGCTGTTGTAAAAGGTACATTTCCTCTTAACGTAGCAAGACTAGCTGTGAGTAAACGTCGAATTTTACTGAAATGACAATTTAAAAGGTAACTTAAATTTTAAACTTTGTTGGAAGTGACATGAAAATAACAGTTCCAGCTGGATCAAAACCTCTACGTCCGGCACGTCCAGACATTTGACGAAATTGTAGAGGATTGAGTTTTGGCGTATCAATTCCAAATATAACAGTTTTGCAGGGCAAGTTCATACTAGAAAATAAGTTTAAAAATTGTTAGAAAATATACCCAAGAGCAAGTGTTGATGTTGAAAAAACAATTCCTAAAAATCCTCTACGAAAGAGCACTTCAACTGCTGAGCGTTCTGCATTAGAAAGACCATCATGGTGAAAGCCAATTCCACGTTCAAAAAGAGTAAGTAATGAACGAGCTTCAGGTCGTTTTATTTTTTTACTTAATTTCTCAATACAACGGTTGTAAATATCTTCATCGCTCCAACGGCAACACAATTTGAATCTTAAAAATACAACCTCATTAATATACAAGGGAAAAAGAGACATGGGGAAATCTTTATTTTACCTTTCCAAATCCTCACGCATACGAATTTTCATTAATGCAAATGCATCGCCATCTTCTGGCATATCATCCTTTTCAAAACGATCTTCATTACCATCTTCATCAACACGTTTACTCTTTCGCTTTGCAGCACGCTCTTCCTCATCACGTTTGCGTTTTGCCAATTTTAAAGCTTTCTAAAATAACAAAAAAATAAATATAAATTAATTTCAAAAATATATAACCTCTTCAGCTTTTAAATTATATTTCTTTTGGAATTCTGGACTAGCTTTGTAAGTCTCTTCTCTTTTCTTTAATTCGTTAAAAATATGTTTTGCCAATTTTTCACAAATATCACGATCATCATTGAAACAAAGTGCAGGAAGTTGCTCTTTCCTTTTTAGCTGATCAATCAAAGGCAATATATTGTTTAGAGCCGATTTACGCTAGAATTTAATGTTATAAAGTAAAAGTGTATAAAACTAATAAACAAACCATATCATAAGGTTTTGAACGTTTTTCAAATTCTTCACCAACTTCTTTCTCTAAGATTTCAAATATTTTATCAATTTTTGTTTTATCTTCATTCATCCATTGAACAAAACGATTTTTGAGTGCATTTTCAAATTGACGTAAATCTTTTCTGTTTAACCAAGCAGCACCGCTATCTGGGGATTTCTCATCAACACGACACAATTGAGTAAAATATTTTGTCGGTTCAAAATCTTTTCTAAAAATTTTATAAATACAAAACAAAACTCTTTTAAATAACTCACTTAACACTATCATCGATGTTAGCCATAAATTCGTAAAGTTCGAGAATCTGACGTGCAGTTAGACGTTGATCAGCAGGAATGCCAAACATTCGAAGCTTTTCAAGTTTATAAACAGCAAATGGATTAAAATATTGCACTACATCATTCCAGTCTGCTCTATAAAATGAAAAGATTTTCTTTCATAGAAATTCAAGAGTGTACCAAGGAGGGGGGAGGGAGGGGCTGAAGACCTATTTGTTTACAGCCTCCTTTAATTACATGCTTATATAACTTTAATTTAAAACAAACTTCGAGTCTTCTTCTTTCTTTGATTCAATATTTTCTTGCTTTGATTCTCTACCATTTTCTTCACTAACTGAATCCTTTGAACAAACCTGAAAAACACAAGTAAAACGATTAAAAGAAAATCTGACCGAAAGTCGCTGCAAACTCAATTCTAATTCTGACCATCGTTCATCATAAGTAATTAATTCAACTTCTCGTGCTGGTAACCCTTCCAAAGGTTTTGCACATTCGGCGGATTTCAACCATTCTTTTAATTCATTAATATTAGAAATTGTTGCAGAAAGTGCAAGGAAAGGACAGCGAATAAGTAAGAAGATATGTTCCCAAACATCACCAATTGAACGCCCTTGTGTGTCTTTTTGACTAAATTTATAAGTTACATATACAAAAATTTTTTTATAACAAACTTGATGCAGTGAACCTCGTCAAGAATTACATATTTAATCCGAGAAACAAAAGATTGACAACGAGGATCAGAAGAAAGTAAAATTTGCTCAAAACATTCAGGAATTGTTACCAAAACTTGACAATTCAGAACATTATCAATAATTTCATTATTGAAAATTCCGTAAAGAACTTTTCCACTTGACATTGCCTTCCCTCGAAAACGTGCATAAACAGAACCAACAATCTAAATAGAAACAAAATTGATTTAAAAACATAAAATAAATATTGAGATTAATGGGAAATGATTAACAAATTAAAACATTTAGAAAAAGTCTGGCCGAAATAGCAACCTGATTTGTCAGTGGTTTTGAAGGTGAAATATAGACAACAACATCGTCATCACTTTTTCTCAAAACTTTCTCAATACAATAGTAGGAGACGAATGTTTTACCAGCTGAAGTTGGAGCCACAATTAATGCACTCTTATCTAAAAATCAAAATAAATGTCAAAACTAAATAATAAATTTAATCATTTCAAATTCAAACCTTGATCAACAGCATCAAGCATCTTTCGTTGCCAAGCATCAGGGCTAAAGCCAGTAACACGGTCATCTTTTTTTGTTGCCAATTCCGTCAAAACATCAATCATTCTACCTCCATATTTTAATTGATAGTGAATTAAATCTATTTGTAAATCCATTTGTTTGTCAGGTCGACGCTTCAATGATTCTGCTTTTCCAAATCCTAAGGATGCCCAAAGATAGAGAATCTTAATTATTTTAAAATATACGAAAGAAAAGTTAAAATATAAAAAACCTTTTCTTTTTGTTGTTCATCAATAAAATTAAAATATTTTACAAACATCGCCTTAACTGATTCTACTAATCCAAGTGCTCCTTCTCTTTTTTGATTTATATCTTCAAATGAAGTTAATTGTTCAGAAAAAACATCAGCATAACGAATAACTTTTTGATACATACAAAGAGCTTTAGATTCGTCTAAATCTAAACGTTTCAACAATTCATCCAATGCATTTAAAGTCTAAAAATGTTTTTAAAAAATATCAAAAAAATAATTTTAAAGATACATTAGTTTTTAATCTCGTGGCATATTCAATTTTAAGCTTATCACTTTCTATTTGTTGTTTTCTTTTTGCATCAATATTTTGCTGTAAAATTTGATCTTTTTTACTTAAACCACCAGCTCCCGGCTTTCCTCCTGAAAATTAACACGAATACAATTTTTAAAATAAGATGATCAAAACCTTTCTTTGCTCCTTTCCCTTCCTTTTTCTGAACATTTTTCTTGCTCATTTGAGAAGATGGACGGCTATTTTCATTATCAGTATCCTCCGTAATTGCTGGAGCCTTAACTACACGAGAAAAATCGACGAGTAATTGGCCTCCCTGGCCTTCCAATGAATCAGAAAAAAGTTGATACCTAAAAATTTCAAATATTTTTAATCAACATTTTAACAAACCATGCTGATAAATTTTGTCTCTGCCAAATTAATTTCCTCGCTTTTCTCGCATCCTGAAGTTGTTTTTTCTCATACTCACGTTGTTTTTCTTCTTGTAACATTAAAGAATCTCCAATAGGCTCAAAATTCCATCTGTATGCATGTTCAATAATTTTAGCATAGTCATGCTCAAAAGTTGTTAAAGGAACGATTTTTGTGTCAGTCAACAACTAAAATTTATTTTTAAAAAATCTAAAAAATTAACTCGACCGATTGGACATCAGGAATGTATTGATCCAAAAATTCATTTTTAATTGCATAAAGTTGACAACGATCCATTCTTGTCGTTGGAGCCTCACTCGGTGATAGTTGGTCAAGTAATTCTTCTTTCACATCGGTTGGAATTGAAACTTTGAAGCCAACAATTCCATGAAGATCCGCAAATTCTTTTTGCAGACGCAAAGGCAAAATCTGATTAGAATTTTGGGTACCATTAATATGGCAATGCCCATTTAACTCTAATGTATTATTTGCTTGCTCAAGACCTTCCGAATTAGGAGGATCAAGGGGATCTCCCTCGCCAGCGTTTTGACTGGAATGGCTCTTATTTTGATTCTGTTTTTTGCGCTTATTTTGAGCAATAATGGCCTTTTTGTGTTTTAGTTCTTCTTGTCTTTCCTTCTTTCGATCTTTTTGTAAATCAACTTTTTTGGGTTCTTCTATTTTGGTTATTATGGGCTCGTTTGTTTTGGACTTTTGGGGTCCTTTTGGTTTGGAATTTTGGGAATCTGTATCGTCTTGGGAATCTGTTTTGATCTAAAAATATTTAGAATAGTAAAAGAAATTATACATTCACTCTCCACAAATTAAAAATAATTTTAAAAAATTTATAAAACAAACCGTCTTTTTGTCTACAATTTTCTTGTATAGAGAGAGAACCATACGGCCATCCCATAAATCTTCTAGGGGAAAATTGATGGACTGAAAAAATTTTAGAAATCAATCAATTGTTTATTAAAATTAAATACATCAGAATCCAATAAAGATTGCTCCAAAAAGGTTTTTCCTTTAAGCTGCAAATATTGAAATTTTTTAAGAGCAGGATCATGTCTCCAATTATTCTCTTCCTCTTCCAAATATTTCCTACCAGTTCCAAGTCTTGCACAAACCAAAGCAGACAAAATAACAGACATACAAACATATTCAAAATTATCATCCTTTTTGTCATTATCTTTCATAGCTTTACAAACAACATAAGCCCAAAACTGTGCCGCAGTTTTACATTCACAAACTTGTTTTTGGATTTGCTGTTGAATTTCAATTTTGTTTAATTGCTTTTCTTCTATAAAATAAAAATTAATTTAAAAAAATCTAAAAAATTAAAAAAAAAACCAGATATTTTCGTCCACAAAGCAGCAATCTTTTTATTAAGATTAGCAATATTTATTGGCACAGTAGAGAAACGAAAAGACATAACAGAAGTGAAATTGATAGTAAATGCATTAAATAATACAACAGGGATTGCTTCATTAATTAATTGAAACGCTAAAAAATTAAAAATAAATTTAAAATTAAAAAAAATCCAAACATGTTGAAATAAAAAAACTGGCAAAATCAATATCCTCATAAACTGTTATTTGCATATTCTTTTTATCTTTTTCATCAATTGTTAATTTTTCAATTCCAAAAATTTCCCTTGGAGAAGCATTTTCTAATGACATTAAAATAAATGAGGGCGTTAATTGATGAAGAAAAACATTCCAACGTTTATCAAGCGGAGAATTAAAAATCTCGATATCTCCACTCCATTTACTTGAAGTTAAAAATCGTAAAAGATATGAATACAAAAACGATAAATATCCATTTTTGTTGAACAAAACACTCAAATCAGAAAATACAACTATTTTGAATTTTGCATTTAATTCTTCTAGAGCACAAAGGAAGTGTTTTAACTAAAAATGTTTTTTATTTAAAAATTTCAAATCCAAAAAATGTTATTCAAAACATAAATTATAAAATTAAATATAAAATGATCTTCCTTAAGTTAGTCATTTAAATATTTAAAGAAATCGTAAACCCAACCTAAAAAAATTTCTCTAATTCCCGAAAGCTCCCTTGGATGGGGGTATTGTAATCGATGTAAAACATAAACAAAAAGAGAAATTATCTTAAAATTTCATTTTATAACAACCTGTTCACTAATAACAATTGTTTGCCCTCCCAAAATCCAATTATGATATCGATGAGCACATAATTCCAAAAGTAAAGAATCGAAAGAAATAAGGAAAATCTCGACATCCGCAAATTCTGTAATAATATCGACATACGGACAGGGAACCATCTTTAATGTGTTGAGATTGAGTTCCAAATCCCCTGCAGATTTTTGCAAAAATTTTTAATAAAAGAAAATGATAAACCTTTAACTGCAATATTTTCATCAATTTCACCTGTCTCTTCCATTCTTAGAAGTTAATTGATGATAATTAATTTCAATAATCTAAACTCTTAAAAAATTAAATATTAACTGCTTTAAACACAATTTGTCTATCTTAACTAAAAGTTATCAATAGACATAAAATTTAAACGAAATTAAGTAAGAAAGTTTTGAAGATTCTTACATTTTGTGAAAAAAAAATTTTAATTCCAAAAAAGCAATTTACAAATTGAAATATGTAAAATGAAAGTAAAGGTCGATTCAGTGCCGCCGAATTGTATAGGCAAAAAGGGGACGGTAAAATAAATTTCGCTCAAGTTGTGTTAGGGCAAAAACAGAACAATTAAATATCCTAACAACATTATTAAACTTAAACACTCTAATTTAGTCAAATTTAGCATCTACAATATCGAATGGTGCAATAATTATTTTCATTTTATATTGGCAAAAATATGTATGTACAAAATATACATATAAATGAACGAATAAAATTTAGAAAATAAAATATTTTAAATAATTTCATTGAGGTACAATAACATTATTTTTATTTGAAAATGCTGTATGTGCTATTTGATTATTAGTAGTAATTGAGATATTTGCACTATTACATTTAAAAATAAGTCTTCTATAATTTTTAACAGTTAATAAAGTTACCTTAAAAATTAATTATTAAAAATATTTTTAAATTCAAAAAAATTACCAAAGGATTTAAAACAGAAATTAAACCATTAATTGGAGGTCCAAACATCATAATAACTTTCGAGCTTACAGTTATGTTGAAATAAGGTCCGAAATTTACTAATATTTGAGAGAAAGATGTTATTAAAGGTAAAAGTGCCTTAATTGAGAAAAAGTGTTAAATATTTAAAATAAATATTTTATCAAATTAAATTTTTGATCAAAAAATACTCCCAAAATTAAGTTTATATATAATTTAGTTTTTACCTGAGTACATAAAACAATAGTTATCTGTCTATTGACCTTCCGCGTAGTTTCTAAATTAGGTCCAGTATACTTCCGACGAACATACAGTTGAATTCTTATTCCACAAAAAATAATTATTGAATATGTTAAAAATGTTAGAATATTTGCATAAATTGTTAAAAAGGATGAAATTTTATAACCCTATAAAATTTATAACATTAAATTGAGTTCTTAAGAGGAAAGGAAATTTTAAATTTAAATATTCCCAATTTGAATTTATCAGGTCCCCATCAGTGCTGGGTATTTGCCATTTGTTGGCTCCGGGCTCAGGGCTTTCAAAATCTTGGCTCCGGCTCCAGCTCCGGGTTTTCAAATCTTAGCTTCGACACCGGCTCCGCCGCAGCCGGCTCCGGAGTCGGGCTCCGGAGCTAGATCCCGGAGCCATACCGCACTGGTCCCCATCTCAATTTATAATTCAATTCAAATTCTATTAAGAATTGTAATAAATTTATATACCGGATTACGAAATCCAACAACATAATTATTTACTGTATAATTATCAAGTTCTAACATTTTAGCCAATTCATAATTTGTTAAATGCTCATTTTCTGGTGTTGGTTGGTTTATTATATTCGATATAACAAAAATAACCATAAGGGGGAGTGTAGAGACAAGAAGTATAATTGTGTGATGTTTCCATTTAATTTTTATTTCACTTAAAATTAGTTCTTTAGAAAATTAATTTTGGCTTATTAACTGACTAAAAATTTCATTTTTTCCCTAGCGCGTAGAGTAAATTTAAATTTTATGTTTATTAATTACGAGGCTAGTATCCGTAAAATTACTGAGGTCCGTATCCGAGTTTAAAGAAAAACTTTGATACAGACCACCCGGCAATTTTAAATGTTCGAACTCTACTAGAAGCAAAAATTCTTTTTTAAGAGGCAAATTAAATTTTACCGAACAACGGCCAAATAACGAAAAACAAATTGAGAACAAATATTCATTGTCGTAAATCTGCTAATAAATCCAAAAAACATAAAACAAATAGATTGCCAGGGATTTGGCAAATAATGTGTTGGCCCATATTCCCATACTGTTCCAATACCATTATCAGAAACAAAAACCTTTTAAATGAAAGTTAAATAGATAAATATTAATTAAAGTAAATGAGGGAAAATGTTGATTTGTTAGTTTATATCCCGTAATTGTTAATAATTAATTTAAATATTTTTATTTTCTCATTTTTATCTCACTTATCCCAAAAAATTAAAATAACCGGCTGAACAGCAGCAAATACAAAAATTCCAATAATATCAACAATACAAGTTTGTAAAAGTATTCGATTATAAATTCTCATTTCATTCATCGTATATCGGAGAATTAACCAAATTAGTGAAAAATTAAAAACTAATCCACTAGTTACCACACAAAAAGTTAATGCCTTATATATTTCTGTTATCATTTTTAAATCTTAATAAAACAAAAATATTTAGGTATTATTCTAATTTTGCCAAAAAATTCATTTAATTAGAAATTAATTAGAAATAAATATTGTAGAAGGAACATAAACCCGTATATGTATCAGGGATGTCTCGGGTTGAGAAAAAAGTCGGGTCGGGTTTTCAAAATTTTCTTCGGATCGGGTTTCGGGTTTCGGGTCGAAAAAAAGTCCGGGTTTCGGGTCTCGGGTCGGGTTTCGGGTCGGGTCAGTTAAAAATTTGAACATGAAGCCAAATTTTTCGGAGAGGTTGGGGATATTAGTGATTTGCGGGATTAATAAGATAATATATAAGAGTGATATAATAAGTGACAGGGATTAAATGGATTTGGATGGATTAAGAGTAATATCAGGGGATTTGGGGATTAAAAGGAATATCAAGGCATTTAAAAGTATCTGGTGAAGATGTATAATCCATGATTTATACCTTAAACCTCCGAGACCCTCTGCAAATACCTTGAAATCCCAGACACACCTCTAAACCCTCCGATATCTCCCCGAATCCACCTTAATCCAAGTAAAGCCCCCGATATCACCCTTCATCCACTCTTGCTCCTTCGACATCGCGGCAAAATTACTCTGTATTTTGCAAATTTCGGGAGGCCATGAGGCCAGAATTCTTCTTTTTATGGTAAAAATCCCAACGGAAAACGTCCCACGCGATATCACGCCCACATTTTTTAATTTTTGATTTTTTTTATCTTCACCCGAAGATACCTCCTTCCACCGAAGATACCTCCCATAGATACCTCCACAAACCATCATGATCCTTAAAAATCGTGCCCAAATTCGGCAACATTTCTTAGCGCCGCAAGCGAAAATTTTGAGAATTTTGGAAGACCAACCCACTAAATTTCTTCATTTTCCAGCGCCGCAGGCGAAAATTTTGGGAATTTTGGAAGGCCAAAGAGCCAAAAATCTTCCCTTTTTGTAATAAAATTCCAAGGAAAATGTCGGGTTTCGGGTCGGGTTTTCGAAAATTTCTCGGGTCGGGTTTCGGGTCGAAAAAAAGTCCGGGTTTCGGGTTTCGGGTATCGGGTTTCGGGTAACCCGAGACATCCCTGATATGTATGTATAAATTAAAAGGTACATTTAAATATGCCTAAAGTAACCCGAAAAATTTTTTCCCAAATTTAAAATCTGTATACTAAATATTTATTTTATTCTAAAATTACTTAAGCCAATCATAATATTTTTATGTAATTAATGTCTAGAATGCTAACCACAACTACCTAACTTTTTATAAATTCCAACCTTTCAATTAAAATAAATAAAAAAGTACTTTCTTGGTAAATGAAAAAGTATAAACAAAATATTGTTAAATTTACACCTGTTAACTAATTAAAAAAATTTTTTAAAGAAAATTGCCAGTTTATGTAAATCTTTTTAGTAAACAAAATTTAATGTTTACTTTAAAATTTTATTAAAATTTAATTAAATTATGAATAATAAAAAGTCAGGTGGAAAATAAATTTTAATATTTATAAAAAATCGAATATTTTATTAAATACCGTAAATACTCTAATACACGCCCTGGGCTTATATTTTTCAATCGGTCTCCTTAATGGGCCTATATTATGTAGAGGTGAGCTTCTACAAGATGTGGGCTTATATTAGAGTATTTATGGTAAATAAATAAGTAACATGTAGGGATTCCTTTTTGGCCATTCCGCTTCCGTCTGCTGTTTCTTGGCCTCTTCTGCCAAAAATACACCTTATTTTTGAAAAAAATTGTTCTGGACTTCCAAAATTTTTGTAAATAAGTCTTCTATAATTTTTAACAGTTAATAAAGTTATCTTAAAAATTAATTTTTATTAAAAATATTTTTAAATTTTTTGGTCTGATTAAATAAGCACATTTATTATTATTATTATTATTATATCTATTTATTTACATTTAAAGAGCACAATCTGGATGATTTTAGCACCTGGGTAAAAAATCCAAAATTATATTTATTTACTGGAAGCATTGGCTAAGAAATTAAGGAGTCGAAAATTTATAAATTTTATATGTAGAATTCTTCTTTAAATTACCCAATATTAAATTTTTTAAAATGCTACATGATTCTAAGGTAAGAAATAAATATTTGCTTTTACTAATTAAAATAAGCCGTTTTTACAACATTTTTTCTCTACTATTTTATTTCACATTTTAATTATGTATATCGGTATATCTTTTATCATTATTATCAACAAAAGCTCATCTTTCCAACTTTCTGTTTAACTCGATGGAGGGCCAGTTGTTTGGTGACTCTCAACATACGCGGCTGTTTTTGCCATAAAATTTTCAATTATACTGCAAGGACTAACGCTGCCACCACTTGTTGTTGTTGCACCCCCAGTACTTGATGGTGCCATAGCTCCACTAAAGACTCCTGCCCCTGGAGTTCCAGACATACTTCCAGGCATACCTCCAGACATGCTTCCAGGCATACCTCCACTCATTCCATTAGAACCGCCAAATGTAGGCGTTCCTCCTGCAAAAAAAAATTTTCAGAAAATTTTTTATAAAATTACCATGTCCCTGATATTTGCTAGCCATATTCTTCATAAGTAAGGCTTTAGTAGGTGCGTCAAGTTGTGACAAAAGTTCAAAGAATTTTGTGCATTTATCCCCAAATGTCATATCATTATTTTTGACTACTTGTTGCTAAAAATAATAATTTTTTTAATTTTTTAATTAATTTATTTTTTTTACGTTAAATTGGTCGACTAGTGTTTTCTGTGAACCATCTTGTAAGCTATTATCGAATTCTTGGAATGCTTCCTGTCTTTGAGTTTCCATATTCTTTAGTTCTGCACACATTTCCTAAAATGTTTTTTGATTAGGCGCACAGAACATTTTTATTTAAATAATTTTAGTAATTCTATTATGTATTTATTAAGTAATTCTAGTACGTAAAAAATAAAATCCCTACAGTTTGTACGGATAGACCAGCAAGAATTTGAAGGCAAGCATTATTCAAATCATTGGTTGTTTTATTGAAAGATGTCAACATCATCACGATAAAACTTGTTTTAACAGTTGGTGGCAACTTATGGAAATCATTACGAAAAACACTGTTCGCTTTAAAGAAATTTTTATAAATTTTTAAGAATTAAGGTGAACACAGGAGAGAATTAAAAGAGATTCTAATATCCTTTATTTGTATTTATTTAATAGTTTTGTTTATTTCTTAGTAAACTTATTAATTAATATTTTTTACTTCCTAAACTTCCAGCATTTTGACCAACAGACGCCCCATTAGGATCATCAGAATATTGTGGACGAGCATCTATTGGCAAAGCAACAGACAATAAACTAATTAAAACAATGCTTAGTACAGCCATATTTTAATATTTTTTAATAAAATATTTTATTTTAATTTGTGAACTTTTAAAATAATATATTTCTCAATTATTTTCCCTTCACTTTTATATTACCAATTTATTTATTATTTTTAATTTAAAATAATTTTTTTGAAAAAATTTTTTAAGCAGATTTAATTTTTAATTATTTTGTGTCTGAACAAAAAAATATTTTTATTAAATCAAAAAATAAAAAAAACAAGATAAGTAAATATTTTTTTAATTGAAGAGATTAGTATTTGTTTTTTAAATTTATTTTTAATTGGTCACATTATTTGTTTAAAATTTTGTTTTAAATTTAATCTTTTAAATTTTTTTGGAGATTAAATTAAAATTTTAAACTACAATTTTTATTATCAAAATATTTTTAAGCTTTTTGTTTTAAATTTTGTAATTTCTTTTATTTTATAAAAATTCTGAATTATATTTAAATAAAGTTTAGTTTAGACTGGAAAGATATTGACTACCAATCAGTGGTTAAATCGAGTTTTAGTACGAGCTTCCAAACATCCCTACCGACTGAGTTATCGACTGTCCAGTAAGTTTTAAATACTAGTTAGTCGGATCTCCATGCTTTAGAATCTGCTAGTATAAGCACTTTTCTACATTAAAATACTCCATTTATTAATGCTTCAAATACTCTAGATAAGGTTTATTTATCATTTAATAAACCTCCTCTTCCTTTATATTTTTCAACTAAATTTTTAGAAAAATTTTTTTCATTAATATCCACATGGAATTTTCACTAATAATAACTCAAAATATCTGTAATATTTAGTATATTATTTTAATTATTGCTCAAACATCATTTTAAAAATTTTTTTCTATTTTTATATTTATTTTAACCTTTATTTCAAAATTAGCTTTAAATGATTAAAAAACAAAACTTTATTTAAATAAATCTTTATTTACAATTAAAGTTTTTATTAAATATTAAATGTTTTTTAATCATTTTAAGTTTATTTATTTATTTTAACCTTTCCGGAATTAAATAAATAAACGTAAATTAAGGTAATTATGTAAATACTAAATGTTATTTTTGATCTTTTGTTTTTAAATATAAAAATAAATATTTATTTTAAAAGAATTATATTCTCTTGTCTTTTTAAATAAAATTATTTTTAGCATTAATATTTTTGCAATATATTTTCTTTTAGTATTTTTTATTGTTCTTAATGCCAAAATAAAAAGAGAAGAAAAATGACAGGAAATGGAGCGCATGCAAGCGGAAATTCTTTGCTTTCTATTTGGACACCCTGAGGCGTAGAAGCTATATTTAGGGGGTTTGTAAATAAGACAAATTGAAACTTTGAGAAATAAAAATTTTTTTTGGAGAGAAATTAATGGAAAAATGTCACATTTTTGAAGAAAATTTTATTTTTTTTTGTGACAAATATTAAATCAAAAAATTATTTTTTTAATTTATAGAAAATAATATTAAATAAATAATTTACTAAATTAATTCTTTACTTTATTTAAATCAAAAAATATTTACTTCCTTTTATTATTTTCTTTACGGAAATCCTTCCTATTCTAAAACATATCTCTTGGGAATTTCTAATTGCGGCGTTTAAAAAAGGACAAAAGATTATATATGTATATATGTATATATTTAAATTGTACAAAAACTTTCAAAAAATAATTTGTTAATAAATTATTTGACAAATTATTGCCATTAAATTAAAAAAATAAAAATTCCCACAAAAATCCATTTTTTAAATTCTAAACTTTAATGAAGATTTTTATTTAAAATCAAAACTTTTAAAATAATAAAAATTAATTTTAAATTACATTTTTTATTTATAAAAATACTTAATTTTATTTAAAATTTAGAAAAATTTTAGAATTTTTGATTTTTATAAATTTTTTTAGTTAAAAATAGAAAATATTAAAAATTAATTTTATTTAAATTATTTTAGTCCTTTTTTTAACTAAAAAATTTAAAAAAATAAAAATTTAATTGGATAATTATTTTAAAATTATTTTTTTTGCAAAATATTTACTTTTCATGCAAAAATAAATAAATATTAACAACTTAAACCAAACAATTCTTTCAAATATATTTTAAATATTAAAAATAATATTTATTTATTTACTTTTTGTTAAATAAAATGCTAAAAAAGTATTTTTATTTTCCGGTATTATTTTCCCAATAAATTTTTTATAAAAAGGTGGAAAGAAAAAATATTTAAGTAATCGTGGGCGGTGGCAAAAAACCTTTAAAAAATAAAAGAAAATTATTTAAATATTTTATTATTTAATTTATTATTGAACTAAATTTCTAGTTTTTTATTAATTCATTTATATGTACATATTTAAATGTAAAATTAAAATAAATTTTTAAATTAATTTTAATATTTATTTTTGTATTTAATATTTATTCTAATTAAATTTTATTTTAAGAAAATTAATTTTTATTTGAAAATTTTTTGAAATAAATTTTTAAATAAAAATTAAATATTTAGAAAATAAATTTAAAACATTGAAGGAAGTAATTAATAGTTAAATACCGCAAATTCCTTAAAATAGCCCCTGGAGACTATATTTTGAACCCTCATGTGTGCGGACAAATAATTTCCTGCCTATTCTTAGAGAGAGTGTTTCAGATAAAATTTATTTAAAAACAATTTTATTTACTGTTGTGCCACAAGTCGAAAATTCTTCAGTGATAAGCTTAATCACCTCCTCGTTTAATAAATCCTCCATCCAAAACTTCCCTTTTAAATTAAAAATAAAAATAGAATTTTATATTAAAAATAAAACTCAAAGAATTTTCAATTAGATAAAAATTATTTCAAATATTTGTTTTTTGTTTCTCTTTTTGTATTTAGAACAACTAAATATTTAAAATTAAACAAATTTTGTTTTATTTAACAAGAATTTTTAATTAATTTTTGTTATATTTTTAAATATTCAATATTTTTTTATTAATTTAGTTAATTGATTTTAAATAAATGGAGGAAGGGGGGGGGGTGGAGGGAAGCTATTTAATTCTGGAAATTAAATGTTGCAAAAAAGGAAGAGGAAATTAGTATGCATAAATGTGAGGGCTTCCTCCATTCTCTTTTTTCTTCCAAAAATTCAAAAACAAATTTTAATTTCAACATTTTTAGATGCTTGGATAAAAAAAATATTTTTTTTTGTTAAAATTAAAATGAATTTTTATTGTTTTTTTTTATTTTATTTATTTATTCACGTAAAATCAAAGGGCACAAATTCAGTAAAAAATATATATATTGTTTAAAAATAAAATTTTTTTAAATTTAATTATGTAAATTAATAAAAATAGCTGAATATTATTATATTATCTTCTTTTTTTATTTAATTTAAATAATTCTTTTTTTAAATTAAAAACTAAAAATAAATATTTATTTTTTAATATAATTATGCAAATTAAATTTTTTTCCTTAAATAAATGTCAAAGAAAAGTTTTTATTTAAATAAATTATTTATTTATTTACTCTTTAAATAATTATTTTTTTTGTTTTGAGTTACAATTATTTTTATTTATTTTTTTATTCTTTTATTTAATTTGTATTTTGTGTTTTAGTAATTGTTTTTTTGTAATTAATTTAAAAATAAAAATATTTTTTGATGGAATTTTTTAAAATTAATTTTGCTTCGTTCTATCAAATAATATAACACCCCCCATTTAGTGTTACTGTGTAATTAATGCCTACACTGATGACTGCAAACTCCCTCCATAATTATCGACATTGATGCATCTAGATCAGGAGTGCACACAATTGTGGATTGCGTGTTTTTTTGACTTGTGGATTGGAGATCTTAAAAATAAAATTGCGGATTTATCTTCAACTTCTAGCTTAAAATTTCATAAAATTTTAAAAAGCCAAAAAAGGGGCTAACTATGTTTTTCATAATTTTTCTTGAATAATTACCATTTAAAAAGGCGTGGTTCTTTTTTATTTTATTTAACAAGACATATACAATTTAATTAATATTTTCACACACCTCTACTACTTCCTCTTTTTTTTCTTTTATTTTTTATACAACATACTATTTAAATAAAAAAAGTTTTTTTATTATCTTATAAAAAATAAATTATTATAATTATTTATTTAGTCTAAAGTTTTAATTTATCTTTTCTTAGAAATTATTTAAAATTCAAAGGTTGGATAAAGGAATAATTTAACGCTGAATACGCTTCATTTAAAATTCTAAAGTATTGTTTAGTTCTTGTAATAGATACCTAAGTGAACTTAATTTTCCTCGAATTCTTTTTATTAAATATCTCTATTATTTTTAAATTATATTTTCTTTTATTATTTATTTTTTACTTGACTTAATCTCGCCTTAAGGCATTTATGTTCTATTTATGTTAACACTTTTGCTTCACACTTATTTTACCTTTTCCATTCTATCAAAATTTACAAAATTTTAGAAAAATAAATTAAAAAATAAATAAATGAATAACAATAACAATACTATTTCATTACAATTTCTCCAAACTTCAACACCAAAATATTTTTCTTATCAAAAAAATATTTTAGAACAATTAGATTCTTCCCTTTTTATTAATTTAATTCGTTATGGAATAGCTGCAAATGCTATAGGAACAAATGCTTTTATTTTATATTTATTTATTAGGTAATTTTTGGGAGAAAAATAAATTAGGTAAAATTTATTTTTTTTTAAAAGGTTTCGATCATTACGTTCTACTCAATGCAATTTATTTATTGCTGCAAATGCTGCTGTAGAATTAATTATTGGTAATTCTGATTTTTATTTAGGCTTGTATTTTTTTGAAAATATTTTTTTAAATTCTGTTTCTTCTTGAAAATAATAATTCTGAAATAATTTGGTTTATTTTGAATATTCTGATTTTTTTATTTAATTTAGACATCCATTTAGGTATTCCAATAAACCCTATTAATTTAACAATAACACAGCTAAACGCCATAAATTCCCTAAACGTCAAACAAAAAAATATTTTCATGACGAATTTATTTATATAAAAATAAGCCTTAACAATTAATTTATTCAACAATAAATAATTTAAAAAGGTTTTGGCACAGCTTTGCGTGGTTCTTTTCAACTTTATGTTTTGGCTAATTCTATAATGAAGTTTAGTCATTCCCTTTGTGTTTGGATTGGGGCTCCATTAACTGGAGGCTTTGCTGCTAACCAAATAACAATTTTAATGTTAGCTTTGGATAGACTTGCTGCTGTAGCACGTCCTCTAAAATATGGAAATAAAAATAAAGTAAATAAAAATTTAATTTTAATTATGTAAATCTCTTCAAATTTTTCTGTTTTTTAGTCGTTAGTTTTTGGATCTCTTTTTCTTTCTGTAGCCGTTTTTGTGGGAGCTATATGGCTTTCTTTATGGGGAATTGATGATTCTCAGTCTTCTTCTACACAATGTTCTATGGGTATTAATGCTGGACCTTTATTTTCTGTTATTTGGTCGCTTTTTGCGCAGAGCAGTACTTTACTTGTTTTTGGTTAGTAATTGAACTTATTGGGGCCGATATTAAACTATGTATTTTTCGTAACTTGATATTTATGGATATCTACCGTTTTCTGTCTATTACCATTGAACTTCTCTCAAAAATAAATTTTCGGTCGACTCAGATCCGAAGCTAACCACAGTCTGTGGATACCTTTAGTGACCAAAAGATATCTAATAAAAAAAGTCGCTTTTATAGAGAATTCACTATATAGAGGATTTTTAATTTTTAAATTAAATTTTTACAATTTTAAGGTCTTTACATTTCAATGCTTGTTATGTTTTATATGCAAACGGGAAAATTAAATGTTTATTCTAGACATAAATATTCTATTTGTAGTGTAAATCTGTGGAGTATGCCTAGAAGTGAAAGTCAACAATTAAATATACAACAAAGACAGCAACGAAGGGTACTGTGGAATTTTCAAAAAAAATTTTTTTAATAAAAATTCTCTCATTCTTATAGTTAACAATTTCTGTTGCTCTTATTTTACTTCTTTACACAATTTCTTGGGCTTTACCCACAGCAATATGGTTTGCATTCAATGTGAGAATTATTTACACCGCAAGGGTGTGAAGTTAAAAAATTATAATTTATTCAAAAATTTTTATTAGATTTTGGATCACGAGGATCGAACAAGAATTAATTATGTTACTTTTTTACAAGGATTTTTAACACCTTTTGGGGCTGGCATTAATCTTTACATTTATTTGTGGAAACATGCTGAGATTAGGTGGAAATTCTGTTATTTGTTTTTATTTGGAATGGGTTTCCTTCCCTTTTTTGAGTCCAATGTCTTTGGACAGATGACCACATCCAATAATTATTTTTCCAGTTAAAATCCATTCTTTTAAATGGCGGCCTCTTTAAATTTTTTGCATAAATATTTTTTAATTTTCTCAGAAATTCTGCTGTCTCCACAATTCCTTGGCTTAAAAATATTTTGAGAGAGGAAATGATTAATCCAGTTCCATCAAGTCTTTTGAAAAGAAGTGGTTCTTCTTTAGGCGTTGAAAGAAACCAATCAGACAACAGAAGAACAATTGAAATGGTTTGTTTTTTGAATTAAAAATTAGTAAATAATTCCATTTATAATCCAAAAAATATTCAATAATTTTTTGAATAATTGAGGTTTAATAAACATAATTATTAATTTAATAACCTAAATTTTCCGTACAAAATCTAAAAAAGAAAGGCATAATTTAGCAAGTTTAAAAATAAAAATGGCGAGATCTTAGCTCAAATATAATTTCAGAATTTTTCCATTTTATTAATTAATTATATATTTATGTATCTAACAATTTTTTCAGAGATTTTCATTCGTAGCTCGAAATTCAAAAATTCGAACTCCTCTTCTAACAAATACACAACAAAATACATCATTAATATTGAAAGGAAATTCTTCTTCATCTGACAATACAAATAATGAAAATGAAAGATGACAACAATTTTATTTAAATTATTATTTATTTAAAAAAATAAATTCTTAGAAAAAAAGAAACTTTTTTTAGAAAAAAAAAGAATTTAAATTAAATTTGTTGAATAATAATTAAATTTGTTTATTTTTATACATTTAATTTCTATCTATAAAAAAGAGAAATTAAATTAATTTAGAAATTTAATAATAAAAGTGTTATTGGAAAAAAAATTTTTTTCTAACCATTTAACAAAAATAAATTAGAGAATAATATAGATTTAAATCACTTAGAATTATGAAAACCGAAAATTTTTAAAATAATTTTTCTACTTAAATAATTATCAGAACATAGAAATTTTAGAGAATTCTGAATATAAAGAATATTTAAGTCAACACAGATAAATACAATAAATTTTCCATAAATCAGAAAAGGACCCTAACATGTTGTTAATTAAAAAATAGGCCGATTAAAAAATAAATAAAAATTCTAACTAACAAATACATAGCACCATTATTAAATAATCTTCAAAATGTTATGCATTTAAAATAAGCCAAATTTGTTCTTGTCCAGGTGCACAAATTATTAAACGTTGTTCTTCTTCGTAATGACGTTCGGCGAATGAATTTAAACTTGAAAAAGCATTGCAAACTGCACGACGTATAGGTTGTAGAAGAATTTCTTCAGTTTCACGCATTCCAATATAGAGACCGAAAGCGGCACGAACCTTAGAAGAAAATTTGGAGAAAAAAATATTCTGAACAGACAAATATCCTTTAAAGTCTATCGGAAGTAGCCAGACTTAAATATTTAATAATTTATTATCTTATAATTTTTAAACAACTCCAACAGTTATTTACTATGATGTGTTAAGAAAAAAATAGAGCAAAGGGGAATATGTAACTATAGAGAGGGTAGGAATTTTAGAAAAAATTTGAATATTTTACCAAAGGGAAAGGATCAAAAAATATAATTAATTTACTTGAGGCCAATTTTGCTTCAATTGCTTGAAAGCTTGTGAACATCTATCATTCAAAGCCCGAGGGTTATATCGCTCAGAAGATGCAACATCCAAAGGAGCGAGTTCATTTTTTGCCCGCTGTTCTTGCTCATTCTAATATAAAATATAATAAAATAATAAAATTAAAAATAAATATTTACTTGAAATTGATCTAATTCTGATTGAAAATTGGCTAAAGGGCCCAATAAAAGATCAGAAATGTGAACAATCATTATATGACACCAACGTTTTAAATGTTGCTCGATGATGCGTCTAGAATCTGTTTGTAATTCGCTAACATGGACAGGTGTCTGAAAATTTAAGAAATCTTTAAATTAAAATTTTAAAAATCTCAAATTATAGTTAAGAGTTGAGATTTTTAGATTTGTGGCTGAGGAAAAGAGGGAATTGATGAAAAGCGTAGATACAAGAAAAATTGTTCTGGATATTTTTGAATAGAAAAAAGTGAAAAAGTAGTGTGAGCTCTCGATGAGATCCAATTAAAAATATTTAGGAAAACAAAAAATTACAAACCAATAAAAGAAGCGATAAAAGTGCATTGTTTGTACCAAATTCAAACCATCTAGCACGATTTTCAGGATTTAATAACTAAAAAATTAATTTTAAATTTAATTTTAAAAAAATTAAAAATCACTTGTAGCATCGATTGTGTATATTTACTTAAATCTAATTGATAATCCAATTGTGGGTGAATTTGTGTTTCTTCTATTTGTCCAATGCCTATTCCAGATCCTGATGACAAAACAGAATTTGAACGTGTTAATGTCTGCATAGGTGGTTGTTTTTGTTTTTGGTGTTGACGGTAAGGACTTGTTTGTTCACGAAGAATAAGTAAATGTTTAATTATAAATAATTCTGAATCAATTGTTCGATTTGGAGAATTTTTTATTGTGGAACGGGCTAAAAAAGAAAAAAAAGTTGATTTATATATTATCAATGGAAAAATAAAATACCTGAATCAATAGGCAAGGCTCTAATACGTTCCACAGCATGTTCAAGTGATTGACAACATGAATCAAGTAATTCACGAAAAACATTCATAAAGACAGTGGGCTAAAAATACTTTTTAGTAATTCCAACAAGATTTATTAACATTTAAAAACTGGCAAGATCCCAAAGTTAATTTTCGATAACCGCGAAGCAAGACCCGAAATTAACTTATTTTTAAAATATCCAACTCAAAAAGTCAATATAATAATGGTATAATCCTACTTACATCCAAACAACGATATAACTTGCTAAGGCACATCACAGTCCTTTTAACTGTTGGATACCTAAATATAAAATGAAAAAAAGATTGATTAAAAATTATCCAAACCAAAGACAATGTTGGTCAATAGGCGATGTACTTGCTTGTTTTGTCAATTTTACATATCCAGTACCAGGCTTTTTAGCTGGAGGTAAAGGACCAATTGTCTCGCAATCTTCAACTTGTTCATCCAAACTATAAAAAATTATTTTTTATTTAAAAATAAATTCAAGGACAACTTTTTATTTTGCTCTTTTTCAATTTTCCCAGTATCTCCATCATTTATTTTTTGCATCATTAAAAGTCGTTCAGGATAGACTAAATCGCCGGATGCTGGATTATAATCGAGAATATCAGATTTAGCAAATAACGAGGTTCTAAAAGGAATTAATTAAAAAATATTTTTAATTGAAAACCTGTAAACAATTCGTTCAACAATATCAGCAACCAATTCATTAATTACTCTAATAAAACCAATTCGAGAAATTGATGTTTGTTGTTGTTGTAATGATGTAAAATCAACTGCTGCTGAATCAGGAGTTTGTCTAAGTCCGCAACGTTCATCTATCATTTCTACCTGAAAACAGATGTCAAGAAAACTAAATAAGATATGAACTTTGGGAACGCTAACAATAAGAAAGGAAACCTAGGAACTGCATAATTGTCCAATTTCTTGAAAACTGGACAACAAAGACCCTAACTTCCAAAAAATATATAGAACTTACTTTAAGTAAAGTACAAAGTTGTGCAAGTGTTTCCAAATGTTGATTATGAATTATAAGTGGGCGTAAAGTATCATAAAATATTCTAGATATATTTTCTATAAAAGAATGGAAATGTTGAGCAGAAGAGTGTTGCTCGTTTGAATAGAGAGGCCAAAATGAAAATAATGAGGGTGAAGAAGGGGTCATCGCTGTCCTACAAGAATTTAAAACAATTTTCATAATTCTAAAAATTCCAACTTTGTTCCCTGATCAAAATCCAAAACAAAAAATTGTTTGTATAAACGCAATTCATCATCACAAAGGCGAAGAAGAAAAGTACATCCATCTCTAGTTAGAGTACAAGAAGAATTTTGATGTCGAAGGCATAGAGCCTAAAAAATAAATTTAAAAAAATAAATTTAAATAAAAAATAAACTTGTAAAGTTGCTTGCACAATTGGTCGAAGTAATTGGTTTCTAATAGAAAAATATTCTTGTTCACATTCAGAAACGATTGTTTGATATTCTGGATATGTAGCAAAAAATTGAAATGCTTGTTGGAATGCATTTCTTTAAAGAATATTAATTTATAATAAGGAATTATTATTTAAAAGATATTAAAAAATAAAATGGAAGGGTAAGAAGTGTCAAAAATATTAAAATAACCGTAGAAAGATAAAATTTAAACTAGCTTCATTTTAATTGACAAGGTTCAAAACACATTAACTTACTTACAAGGAAAGGTTGCGAGGTGTCCGACCTAAAAACGGTCGAGACCGGGCTCATTCGATAGAGAATTTGCCCTTTCTAGCAAGGATTTTGATATCATATCTCGGCCAGATCAAAAAAGGGCAAAAACAGTTCAAAATCCTTGCTAGAAAGGGCAAATTCTCAATCAAATGAGTCCGGTCTCGACAGCTTTTAGGTCGGACACCTCGCAACCTTTCCTTGTTAAGATTCCCCAAATTTTTTTGTATATTTTAAGATTATTTATTTGAACTTAAAATATACCTAATAGCATTAGCCTTTACTCCAAATATTCCATATAACAAAGCAAAAGTATCATCATTATCCACACAAGATAAAATTCCTGGACGTCCACTTCCATCTTGTGAAGGAGTTGTAAATCTTTAGAAAAAACAATTTTAAAAAATTAAAAGAAAAGAGAAAAACCTAGATTGTCTATAAAGAACATCTTGCCGGCAAGATTCTAAATCAGCCAATACTCCTGCCTTTATGGCTGTTAAAGAACTAAAAAAAATTTTTGGTTAAAAAATAAAATTAAAAAATAACCGGCTAAGGCATTGTTCGTATTTATGAATATATTGCTCTGCTTCGTTCTGTTCTGGATGTGCACGTAAATAACTAATACATTCATGAATTGTTGAAAGAATTTGTGTGAATAAAGTGCCGGTTAATGATAATTTTGGGGTAGCTAATTTCTAAAATTAATTAAAAATTAAATCTAAAAATTAAAGAAAAGAGAAATCCAAGGACTATTTAAACATGACTGGAATTTTGAAAAAGAGAACTCAACTTTTATTTTACTTTTATTTTAATTTCTCAAATAAATTTTTAGAAAATAAATTCATCAAAGTAAGAAAAATTGATTAATCTTTCGGAACAAAAACCCTCGGATTTAGACTAACATAAGCCCAAAAAACCTAGACAAACCCCCCAATTTAAAAAATTAACTTTAAGTAGCCAATCATATTGTTGATAATAATGAAGACTGGCACTAATCGATTCATTTGCAGTAGCTAGTTGTGTTTGTTCTGACATCATTCTATCACAAGCATCGTGTAAAGATGAAGTTTTGTCAGTTACAGAATTATATTTTTCTCCCAATTCTTTAAGTATCTTTTTAAAAAAATCTTTTAAAAATTATTAAAAATCACTCAAAAACCTGTTCACATTTTTCTCTTTTTTCTTTTAAATTTTTTAATTTTAAACTGCAACGTTGTAATTGAATTAAATAATCATCCCAACTTTCATTTTGTAATAAATCATTATTTAAACCAACATCAAGTTCAAATTGCCCGACAGAAATTAAAGAATTTAAAAATTCTTCACTAGCAAAATTCTTCATATTCTTCTTCTCAGAATTATCTTTATTTAAATTTCCATCAATTTCTTCAAAAGGATAATTTGAAGCTTTTTCTTCTAATAATTCTATTGTTTTTTGACTTAATTGGGCAAACATAATTTACTTTAATTTAATTAAAGCTGATAGAAAAATCCAAAACAATCTGCCAACAAGAAAAAAATATCAGCTGTCAACGTTCATTGAACGCCAAAATTGAGTGTGGAGGAAATAAGAGGCCGTTTGAGTGCCAGAGGTGCAAGTAAATAATTTTTGGAACTACGGCAATTTGAGAGAATTTTAATTCACAAAATTTGTTTATTTTTAAAAGGAGTCCTAAATTCATTTAATTTTTTTCAGTTTAAACAAGGTGTCATTTTCAATTAAAAATAAAATTTTTTTTGTTAATTTAACAGAACTTTTAAACAACTTCCCCAAAAAAGCAATTTACTCATAAAATCAAATGTTTAAAAAAATTTAGTGAAAAATAAATTTAAAATAAAAACACAGAATGAATAATTTGTTTGAATTACAAAAATATTCTGAAAATTTTCTAAACATTAAATTTCAATAAAATTTAGAAATTTTAAATTTTTTCATTCTGTGGTCAAAAAAATAAACATGTTGTGTAAATATATGTATGTACATTTTATGTTGAAGTTTTTAATTTAATTTTAAATTTTGCAAGAACGTTTTTAAAGTCCTTTAGAATTTTTTCAGTTAAAGTTAATCTTTTACTTCAACAATAATATAAATTGTTAGAAAATAATAAAAAATATATATGTCAAACTCCATGGGGTTTGTTTGAATAATTTGTACAATTTTTGGGATAATCCAAAACTTTAAAAATTTTGTTTTTTAAATAAATTTGAGGGGTTAATGGAATCACTTGTTGGAATTACTTTAAAAAATAAAAATAAAATTTAGAATAAAATCGGGTCAGTCGTTTTGTTTTCCACATCAACACCCACCATCCTTACAATCTTTTTTCTCAGTTATGCATTTCAGCATTAAAATTTTCAATTTTGCCGCGCATCTTTCCAGAATTATCCTTCTCAGCTTTGAAGTATGTTGCACCAACTTTTAATTAAAAATTAATAATTATCTGAAAAATAAGTTACCATTCATTTTAGCTTTAAATTTCCCATCTCCTTCATTTTCTTCACTAAATTCGTGGGCATTTTCAAAATTCTCAATCATTTCCTCATCACTGCTTAAAGAACTAAAATCTGAGTTAAGACGCTTTCCACGGTTTGATTCTTTTCCTTCACGATGGAATTCCTTGTCTACAAATTTATTTAATTTTAATAATAATAAAAATAATTGTTAACCTTTATCTGCAGAGTTAGATGGACAAAAGAAGTAATGAGTTATGAAACAGAAAGCATGTTTAAATTTGTCCATAAACCAATGGCTTTATAAATTATAATAGAATTTAGTAAGTGATTAATGTGAGGCATTATAAAACTACATATGTATTTAATTCTCAATCCAAACCTTTTGTGTTCCTTTACTTTGGGTGTTTTCTTCTCTTCTTCAATAACCTTTGGAAACTTTTTTTCATCCTTTACCTTCTTCTCTTTCTTATTTTCTTCCTCATCTTTATCATCTTTTATCTCAACTTCTTTCTCTTTCTCTTCTTTCAAATCTTCAACTTCCTCATCATTTTTTGTTGATTTTACTTCTTTTGTCTTCACAGGCTCATTGCTAATTTTATCTTCCTCTTCCTTTGTCTTTTCATTCTTTAAAACTTCTTTTTCCTCAACTTCCTCATTCTTGTTTTCTGTTGCTTTCTTTTCTTCCTCCTCAACATTTTCTTTGTTTACTTTACCGGCCTCAGACACTTCCTCATTCGTTGTCTCTTTACGATCCTCGGAATCTTCCTTTCCTTTAGTTAAATCTATCACCTCTTCTGGCGAGTTGATTTCTTTTTTTGTTTCTACAATTTCATGACCTTCGGCCGGAAATGTTACTCCATTTTCTTCTTTTTGATTCTTTTCTTCTAGGGAAGCATTTTCAATACTTTTAGCTGGTTTCAAACTAGCTTCGAGACCTGTTTGAATAGAAAATTAGAATTGACGTGTGGATTTTAAGTTGGGTTTCTATTATCAAAAAAGCAACTTACTAGTATTCTCTTCATAGTGTTTAGCTTCAGTAAAATTGAAGGCTAACAACAAAATTAGGCCTATAAGGCTCTTTTTAAACAGATTTTCTTTCATTTACGCAATAAAAGTTAGTTGACTTTTTGGGAAGTTTTTTAGGAAAAATTTTTAAATGAAGATGTTTAGTGTTAGACCCTCTAATTTGAATACCCTTCGAAAGGGGCGTTTCTTTAGAAATGTATAACACGTAGAGATGTTGGGAAGTGATAAGAGAAGAGATAGAAGGTAAGGGATGAAAAGAAAATATAGATTGATACGTGGATTTGCGACATTCGATTAATCAGTCTTATCCTCTAAGCAGGCATTTTGGCCATAGTGTAGAGAGAAATGTAGAGGGATGTGTAGAGAAAGAAGACAATGCCCTTAAAGAGAGAGGGACTTCCTCCCATTCCTCCCCCCCTCTCTCTCTCTCTCTCTCTCTCTCTCTCTCTCTAAAAGGGCAACATCTCCCTCTTCCCTTCACTCTACATTAAATTCATATGGCCATAATTTCAAAATCCAATCACGATTTCCCACATCCTCAATAATCGATAGCCTTGCGCATGATGAAAGAGCATGTGCCTTTTAAAAATAAATTTTTTATAAATAAAAGTGCAAGTTTTTAATTTTTTTATTAAATTTAATTTATGAAAAATAATTAAATTATATTTTTAAAATAATATTTGGAAACTGGCATTCCTTCTTTATTCACGCCGGGAATATCTGCCTAAATTCGAAAATTATTTTTTTCAAAAATCTGAAAATTTTTGAACGTCTGAAATGGATCTTTGACTGACTTAACTTTTTTCCAACAATTTTCTATTACTTTTTTATTTTCATCCTCATCTTATTCTTGAAAGCTGGTCAGTCTACCGTAGAGCTATAACGAACTGTTAAAATTCATCGACTATGTTGAACTTGTCAGGGCTGACACTCATAAGTCTAGTTAGTGAAGGTCTTATAAGCCAGTCTATCGACGCTAGACTGTTAAATCGAGGTTACACCAAATTAATCTTCGCATTATCAATTTTTGACAATCTTTAGTGAAATTTTAATTTAGTTTAGAAGTTAATTTAGTTTAAAAAAGAAAGCTTTATATAAAATAAAAGAATAATAATTTTAAAAAGTAAATAATATATGTACATATAAACAAAATTTAAATAATTTTCAAATTAATCTAATTTTTTATTTCTTCATTTAACTCATTTGAGTATTTGATAAAGTATCGTCAGCAAGAATGCGTTTTAATGTTGGAAATGAAGACCGTGCACATTTTCTTTAAAAATTTATTTAAAATTAAATTAATTTATTTTATTTTTACCTAATTTCGGCATGTCTCCACAAATAAATATATAAATTAATTCCTGCTCCAAATGGAGTCAAAAAGCCTTGAATATAAGTAACTGTATTGATTCTGGAACGATTTCCATAGTCGGTAACCTTTATAAAAAGAATTTTTTAGAATTGAAATTTGTGTTTAATGAAAGGAAGATGGGATGTCCTTAATGTTCTTAATTTTATAGCTGGTTTAAAGCTAAAAGACACAAAACTATCATATAAAATCCTTACAATGAAAAGGAACCAAATAGCTGTTGGAAATGCCCAACAAATTGTATAAATTAACAAAATTAATGCCACTAAAAGGGTTAAACGCATTTGTTGTTTTTGTTGTTGATTTTGATTTGTATTTAAATTTACATTACTTTTCCTTTTTGCTTCCCAAGAATTTGTTGTTGTGTTGTTGGTTATAGTATTTAAATTAGTTACAACAGGACTATTTTCTCCATTTATTTGGACCATTTGTCTGGGGGATGGAGCAACTTGAGTTATTTTTGTTTTTGTTGTTGTGCTGAGGAAACGACGATTTTGTCGGTAGAAGAGAATAAGCATTCCAATATATGTGCCTATTAAAATTAAATAAAATTATAGAAGAGCATTGACTGGAAATTTAAAAATAATTGTGAGGGATAGAAGAATAATTATAGGGGGTTGAAGTGATATGTATTAATGCGTCTTTCCTTATTCATTCACTCTAGCCGTCACTTCCATAGAAAATGGGAGAAAGCAACAAACTTAAGAATGATTCCAATCTGTTTAATAATCCACAATTCCTCAAAAAAGTTAAAAAAACCGGCAAATTAATTATTTTTGGTTTTGTTGTTGATTATCCCCCCTCCTTCTATAGAATGACGGGGGATATTCTAAAATAATTCTCCTACAAGACCTACTAAAAACTGAAAATGTAATAATCTGCGCGTAGATAGACCAAATTGTGGCAAAAAGAGGGCCAGCATTTGCTCCCATAGAGCATTGATGTGAGGGTGTTGATTCATCTATTCCCCATAATGAGATGAAAACAGCGCCAATAAAGATTAAAATAATTAGAAGATAACAAGTGTAGATGAATGGCTAGAAAAAAATTTTTTTATAAATAAAATGGTTTGAAACTGAGATTTTTGGGAATTTCTTAAGGATAGTGTGTTTTGAGTAGATCTTAGAATCCCCAATCCCGGATAATGTAAAAAAATCATTTTCTTCATAATGATGGAATTAAAAGAAATTGCGAGAAATACTAGGAATAATGGATAAAAAAAAGATTTTCGACAAAAATTTTTAATTTATTTCTCTAAAAATTATTCACTTTATTTTTCTTTCCATAAGAAAAAGGTCTAGCAACAGCAGTCAGTCGATCCAACGCCAATCCCAAAATTGTTACTTGATTGGCTGCAAAGCCTCCAGTCAAAGGAGAACCAATCCAAACACAAAGAGTATGGGTAAATGAAGTTAAAGAGACAGCTGAAGTATAGATTTCGAATGTTCCACGGGTTGCTAGTCCAATACCTTTTTTTAAATAAATAAATTAAAATAAATTTTTAAATATATTTTATTTACCAATAATCATTTCAATAACAGCATTTGCAGCTATTAGCAGATTACATTGGGTATTTCGAAGAGAACGGTGTCTAGAAAAGATTAAAATTGGATACTAAATTTTCTTTCTCTCCAAAAATTACCTAATAAAAAGAAACAACAAAAATCCATTAGACAAAATCACATTTAAAGCTATTAGATAACGTAATAAATTCATGACAAGAGAAGAGTCTAATTGCTGTAATGTTGATACAGTTGTTGTATTTGTTGATGACATTTTATTTTAAATAAAAATATTCTAAGAATAAATATTTATATTTATTTATTTTCTTTATTTAAAAATAATTCTTTATAAAAATATTTATTTAAAATAAAACTAAAAAGTTTTTTTAAAAAGAATAGAACCAAAAATAAATGGAAATATCTTTATTATTAAAAAAATTTTTTTGGTTTTCTCACGAAATTGCAAGAAAATAAAAAAATATAATGATAAAATATTTTTAAAAATATTTTTTTATTTTTGTAGTTTGTTTAAGAAAATATTAAGAGAGGGGGGGGGGGGGGGGAGAGGAAATGAAAGTTTAAGCTTCATTGGCCTTTAATATTTTTTTTTGTATTTTTCCGTGAGAAGGTGACATTTTTTGTTTAAAAAACGGATATGAACTTGGCAACATTTAATAATTACAGTAGAGGGAATATATAATAATGATATTTAACTAAAAATAACTTTAAAAATAATGGAAAGGTAAAAGTGGGTAAAGTACTTGCTTGGTATTTAAATCGGATCTTTAATTGTAATTTTAAAAGAATTAATCCAAAATGGAATTATTTACTCTTTTTTAATTCAAGTTTCCCAAATATTAAATATCCCTTTAAAAATTATTTTTATGTATAAGAAAATTAAATTAATTCAACTTTCAGTTCAAAAAATCTAATTATTTAAATTAGAAGAATAATTGCAAAATAAATTTGCATAGAAAAAAGTTGTCAGACTTTAATTTAATGTAAAGTTTTCATTGGATCAAAAATAAAATTTATTTAATTTAAAAATTATATAATATAACATTTCTTATTAACAAAAAAATTTTTATTTACGTGCACAATAAATTTAATATTTAATTAATTTAAAGAAAAAAGCTTAATAAAAAAGCTGAATACGTTAAATAATATTAAACAATTAAAAATTATTTATTTAAATTTTTAAATGCCAACCAAGCCGATTTTAATTAATTAATTATAAAATAGAAACATATGTTTTTTAATTGAAAAATAAATTTAAAAAAAGTTTTAAAAATATTTAAAAACAATTAAAAATACTAAAAATTAAACACATAAAAATGTTTTGCACGAGATTGGATTTTTAAAAATATGAGATTGAATCTTAAACAAGTTGCCTCGAATATGAGTAGGGGAGAGGGACACGGGACACGGGAATTTTTTTTTAGAATTGTTTAGACCTCTTTTCGGAATGTTAAAAATTGCTAATTGAGGTTTATTTATCAAAATATTTTGAAGACCAGCAGCTGCAAAATTTTCTTTTAAAACAAAAAATAAAACAAAAATAAATTAAAGTAACAGATTTTAAATAATTTTTGAATATATTTATTGTTAATTTTGAATTCATAATATTAAAATAATAAACTTGGAGAATTAAAAATGAACAAATTTTTTGCATACACATTTGAATAAATGCAACATTAATTTAATTTTTGAGTTTATTTATACCAAAAAATAAATATAAAATTGTATTTTGAATTTAAAAAAAGAAGATTAAAAAATTGAAGGTTAATAATTAAAAAATACAAAAAATAAAAAAATAAAATACAAAAATTTAAAAATGGGACAAAATGTCCAAAAATTAATTTAATGAGGATTAAAAAGGAAAATTAAAAAAAAACAAAATACAATTTTTGACAATTTCTAAGAAGTTTAAAGCAAGAATGAGGAACTTTGGAGGAATAAAAATCTTTAAGGAATTAATTTTTCAACAAAAAAATTATTTTAGGAAATAAAATTTAACAATTAATTAGCGTGCTAATTAATTGAAAATAAAAAAGAAAAATAAAATATTTATTTTAAAAATTTAATGTCTCCAAAACTAATAAAAATAAATTTAAATTTTAATTAAATTCAATCTTAATCTTTTTTCCATTATTAGAAAACTCAAAAAGTTTAGAAAAAATATTTTTTAATTAAAATTTAATTTTTACATTTTTAAAATATTTATTTGCTTTCTTATATTAAAGTGAACAAAAAATTAAAATTATATTAAAGTAAATTTAAACATATAGAATTCTCCCCTTCCCGGTCCCACAAAATTAAAATTCAGGTATATGTAATAATCTTAAAATTCGGAGAAAAATATAAGTTAAAAATGAATTGATATAATTTGGAATTTTTGGCTCAATTTCCTTAAATGCTTAATTTCACTCATCTTTAATTCAATAAATTCTTTAAATTCAAAATTCCAATAATTTATTAATTTATTCAAAATTTTTGCTAAAATTAAATTAATACAAATTATTTTTGTAATTCTTTTTTTAAATAAAAATTAATCTTCTTCTAAATTTTATATCCAAATTTTACAAATTAATAATAATTATTCAAGCATAAATAGAATTATAGTTCTCGCAATATTAGAGACACCTAAAATTAAACGATGAAAACTCCTCTATGAACAAAAATATTTTTAGTATTTGTAATTAAAATAAATAAATAAAGATTTAATTTAAATAATTATTTATATATTTACTTGAATTTAAAATTCGAACCAAAATATTTTTAAAAAAATAAAAACTTTTTTTTGAAATTAATCTTTATTTGAGAGAGAATTTTTAAACAATAGTTTACTAAAAATTTGTTTATTTTATTTTAGTTAATTAAACAATTTAAAATATTATTTATTTTCAAAATAACTTTTAAAAAATTCTAAAAATAATTTTTTTCTTTTTTTAATTTTTAAAAATAAAAACAAAAAAATCTTTGTTTAATTAATTTATTTATAAATTTTTAATTAATTAATTAAATGTCACAAGGTTTTTCTAAAATAAATAATTTGTGTGTAAATGTATTTCTAATTTTTAGAGAATTTTAGTGAATTAAATAAACAAACAAACAAAACATTTTAAAAGTTTGATTGTTTTGTTTAAACAAAAATGTTTTTGTATAAATGTTTGTCCGATTTTTGGTGTTTATTTAAAAATGTTTTTTTGTTTGTTTATTTAAGTATTTGGATTAGTAAATGTTTTGTCGTGAAGAATTTGCTTCAGAAAGGGAATTGTATCTCGAGCACTTCTTCTAAAAAAGAAAAATAATAATTTCAACATTAAATATTTTAATTTAGTAAATTATTTAAAAAAAGGTAATAAAATATTAAAAAAATGCCAAATATGAAATTTAATATTTAGAAAAATAATTTTCTTTGTTTCCAACTTTGAACAAAGAAATAATGAGTAAAGTGTTGAATAACTTGTGAAAATTATTGGGGAAAAAAGAATAAAAACATTTTAATAAAAAAGATGACGTTAGTTTAGGCATTAAATGTTAAAAACAAAAAAAATAAGAAATTTTCATTGTATTTGGCATTGTATATTTTTAGGAGAATTAAGGAAATAATAATTGCAAGAATAAAGGGAACCGGAAGGGAACTGGAAAGGAAATATTATTTTAATATTTTTCTGTCAAAATTTTTAAAACAATTACCTAATTTCAGCATGTTTCCATATATAAATATATAGATTAATGCCTGCCCCTAATGGAGTTATAAATCCTTGGATGAATGTAACGTAGTTGATACGAGCGAGATCTTTTGGGTCCAAAACCTACGAAATAAATAAAAATATTTTTAAGAAAATTAATTGAGATTATTTGGATATACATAGATAGACTATTTTATCAATTTTAGATTTACTACACCTTTTTTACCCCATTTAGAGAACCTAACTTAACTCTAATATAAGGAGAACTAATCTCTAAAATTATCTGGATTATTTCAGAATAATCTAAATAAATTTATCAAGATAGGTTTTACAGATCAAATGTCTAGTTTTGGAAACAATGAGAAACCCCTACTACTTAACACTAAAATAACATTTATCATTTAAAAATTCCCACATTAAAGAAAAACCAAATGGCAGTTGGAAGGGCCCAACAAATACTGTAGACAAGAAGAATTAACGCTACCAATATTGTTAACTAAAGAATTAATTTAAATTAGTTTAAATTAATTAATTTAAATTATTTTTACTTTAATTTGTTTTTGTGTTTTTTGAAATTCTTTATTTTGATTAGCCTTATTTCTAGCAATAACTCCAATATCTCCAGGCTTTTGTTGTTGTAGTTGTTGTTGTTGTGTAATTTTATTCATAGACAAAGAAAGTACTTTACTTTGACGATAAAAAAGACAAAGCATTGTTATATATGTACCTAAAAATTATTTTGAGCCATTTCTTCCCAAATTTTAAAAATAACCAAAAACAAATAAAGCTGTTAATTGTGCATAAATTGACCAAGTTGTAGCAAATAGAGGTCCAGCATTTACACCCATAGAGCATTGGGAAGAGGTCCCTGGATCTATCCCCCAAAGCGACACTCCAATAGCAGCGAAGAAAATGAAAAAAGCAAAGGAGAAGATGGCGGCAATTAAATTCTGAATTAAATTTTGGAAATGTTTGTACTTTCTTATTAAAATTATTTATTGTATAGGCATGTGTATTATGCAATCCTATTTAGTCCCCCAATGATTATTCATCTCCTATTCCGGCAATTAAAGAAATATTTGTATCTCAGGATACCTATATCTGAATAACGGTCCTACTTTATTTTTCTTTCCATATGTGAATGGCCAAGCAACAGCAGTCAGTCGATCCAAAGCTAATCCCAAAATTGTTACTTGATTAGCTGCAAAGCCTCCAGTTAAAGGAGAGCCAATCCAAACACAAAGAGTATGTGTAAATGAATGAATTGACATCGACATAGCAATTAATTCAAATGTGGCACGTAGAGCTAGGCCAATTCCTAACAAGTTTTTTTAAATTATAGAACAGATCTAGATAAGCGAAGTTCATTTTTATCCGTTAGTGAAAAATTAAATCACTAGGAGATCCGAAAATTATTTTCCTATATATCTAGATCAAAAATTCTGAAGAAAATATTTTATTTAGATGTCTTTTTCCTGCATACCTTTAACTATAAATTCAACAATTCTTGATGTTCATTTGTAAATTTTATAATCTTAATAATTATTCCCTATCAATTTTATTTAATAATCTAATATAATTTAAATATACCAATAATAAATTCAACTGCCGCATTAGCTGCTATAAACAAATTGCATTGAGTACCACGCAGAGCTCGATACCTTTTATATCTTTTTATTCATTTTAAATAAAAATTAAATTATAAAATTACACCTAGCAAAAAGATAAAGCAAAAATCCGTTTGTAAATAAAGCATTTAAAGCAATTATATAGCGAAGTAAATTAATAGCTGTAGAAGAGTCTAATTCTTGTAATGGAGTTTTGTTTGGTGGTGGAATTGTTGAAGATATTGAATCCATTTTTTTGTAAAATTAACTAAAGATAAATATTTTCGAGACAATTTCTGTCACCGAACAATTTTTATGACTTTAATAAAAATTTAAGTTCCAGGGTTTCGAAGATTACCCAGGATACGTCACTCCCATCCTATAGTAAGTTTAAAGCGATTATTTAAAAAAAACTTTAATAAAACAAAATAATTTTATATATTCTCTCTTATTAATAATGTGAATAAAATAAAAATAATATTATTTCTAAATATTTTATTTTTATAATTTGCTAAGTTTTGGTATTTTTGTTTAATATAAAATGGAAAACTCGTGAGATATTATTAAATATTATTTAAATATCTCTTATAAACATATTTCTTAAAAAGAGAATAACATACCTAAATATAACAGAAACTACAAAAATATGCTTAAATAAATATTGTTTTTTTGTATTTTTTATTATTAATGTTTTTAAGAAAAATGTTTTTAAATATAAGCTTTTTTAATGTTAACAACGAAAAGGTTTATTAAAAAATTTTTATAATAAAATATAGTACGCAATCTGGGTATTTCTTTTAAATTTTTTCCGTGTAAAACATTATGGAAAATCAAAAAATAATTTAATTTTATTTAAATAATTAAACAAAAGTTTAGAAACAAAATGTTAAAATTTACGTTATAAAAAGGTGTTAAAAAGAATTTAATTAATGAAAAATTATTTTTTATGACGGTTAAAAAATTCTAAATTTGGAAAATTATTTTTGTTTTAAAAATTTGGTTTAAATTTATTTTGCTAAAAGATGTTTTTTGATGAACAGGTGATTGAATAATTTGCATTTTTGCAAAGAAATATTTTTTGGAAAATTTGATAAATTTTTGATTAAAAGTTATTTTTAAGATGCAAGTTTATGGAGAAATCTAGCTTAGAACTGGAATTAAAATTTAAAATACTAAATTCTTGGATGATTGTTTCTCAATCTTTATCAAAAAAATTATAGCAAATAATTAAAAAGTAATTACAGGGTGACCCAAAAGAAACCGGGCACTTTTATATCCTTTATAACTTTTTTTGTTCATATCATTTTTAGATAATTCCAAGTTTATTTTGTAGCTCATTTATTTCTCTATCATATAGTAAAATTAAAGATTTTTTGATTAAGGATCAAGAAAGTTACGTAATTTTTGTTACACCGTATCAAAATTTTCCCCCCAAAATTGAATTTTCTGTATCTCAGAAAGGAGAAGTCCAAACGGGATGATCTCAACAGAATTTAATTAAGATCATTAGCGAACCGGACAAATCTGAAAGATGAAAACTCCAACTTTTACATGGATGGCTCTGAATATATGTAAATCCGTTTTGGGGGGAATGCGATTTTCTCATTTTGGGAGGGTTACGCGCAATCGAATATCTCTTTAAGCGTTAATCTAAAAATTTTTTTGCGTTGTAATTTCTATAGATAAAAGACTGCTCTAAGTGCCAAAAAATTTTTGTGCAATTCCTGCAATCTATTCTAATGTTATAGGCAAAATGCCTCAAAAAAAGGTGCGACCTGGAGCAATAATTTTTCGCACGTTCCTTTAACCTTATCTCAAAGTAGAATAGGGAAAATTCTAAAAGATTTTTATATCTTATTCTCCATTTAATTCTCTATAATTTCATCTTTATTTGATCTCATTATCTTTAATTTAAATAAAGTTATGCCAAAAATAGCGTGCCCGGTTTCTTTTGGGTCACCCTGTATATATCTATACATATATTTAAATATATCTCTTAAGTATATTTAACTTTTCGTTTTGTTCAAATATTCCTTCAATTGAGGAAGTGAATAGATACGCTTAGAATGATCGACCAATTTTGGATATTTAGCCATTATATCCTTTTCCATTTTAGTCATCGTTTCAATAAAGTGAGCAATAGAAAAATCAACAAAACTTAATCCAGAAGGCAAAATAAAACCAGAATTGGACTCTTCCAAACGTTTTTCAAATAAAGGAAAATATCTTTCAATAGCCGGCAGAAAAACATCTTTTCGAAGTTGTTCCTATAAATTATTGTATTTATTCTAATTAACTAAATTTTGAATGTTTTTAGTTTTAAAATTGTCTTTGTATTTTATTTTATTTCTCAACAGAGGTGGATCGGAACAGTCAGAGGTGACCGACCCACCTCTGCTTCTTAACAAAATTAATTAAATGAAAAAATTTAATTATTTTCTGAATAACCAAAGTAATAGCAAATTAATCTTTCCTTAATTATTTAATAAATTAATTAATGAAAGAGGAAAAGGGTAATACAAAATATTTAATAAATAAATACCAAATTTCCTTCACTAAATCCAAATTTTACTCCAATATATGGACCTATTGGAACCCTCATTTCGTCATAAAGAAAGAATATCTCCATTGCTTTCGCCTCTTCCCATTCGTTTTTGCCTGCCAAATCTAAGAAAAATTATTCAAAATTATTTTTTGAAAAATAATTTATTGAATAACCAAATCTTTTCCCCAAAAATTGCATAATAGCTCCAGTTTGTGCTAATTGTTTTCCATCCACTTCGAGTAATGGAACTTGTCCAAATGGATATTCTAAACGAAAAATAAAATTATTCAAAAATTAACTTAAAAATATCATTCCTAAAAATATATTTTTTAATTTACTCGATTTAATTGTCGGCCATTCCTCAATTTTAATTCGGTAATCTTCAAAAGGCTGCCCCTTGTAATTAAACAGCAAACGAATTGGTTCACCTTTTGCAGGTAAGTCAAAATAATGTAATTTGTAATGAATCATTTTCAATTTAAAAACAAAAACTTAAAAATACAAAAATTAAAAGTAACTAAAAGAGGATAAATAAAATTAATTTGAAAATATATTCTTTAATCTACTCGATAAATTCTTTAATCTACTCGATAAATGATAATATTTTAAAAAGAAATGCAAGTTTTAAATGTCTACAAATGTGTAAAAATTTTGGAGGATAGCGATGGTGAGTAAAGTATTACTAAATGAAGACAAAGTGTAAAGTATGATAGAAAATTTGAACTAAAGAATAGACGAGAAATTGAAAAATTAGGTGCTTAATAATTAGAAGAGATTCAGCAAAAATTTTGACATTGAAAAGTATAAATACCTATTAAAATAGAGATAAATAATTAAATCTTTTTAATGTTTACTTCAGTTGTAGAAATAAAACTATTAAAATAATCAAACAATTTTGGATATTTACATTTGAATTCGTTCGATCATCATTTCAGTAAAATGAGCAATAAATGAATCAACAAAACTTAATCCAGAAAACAAAATAAAACCAGAATTGGACTTCTTTTTCATTACCCTTCTTTTTCTTTACTAATATGTAAAGAAAAATATCGATAACAAAAGAAGAATTAAATTAAAAAAAATTTTTTTAGTTTAAAAAAAGTCTAGTTTTGTAGAATTTGTATAAAAATAAATTGAAAGGGAAATGAAAGGTTGTTGATTTTATACTGAAAAATTGCTCAAATTGGCTACAAAACTTGTAGTAAACTACAAAAATAGAAATATTTTGTCCGTATCTTATTATTTTTGTTTTTAAAACGAGAATTTTTAGAAAAAAAGGAATGAATGTTGAGTGTTTAGCAAGGAAATGATGAACGTGAATGAGAAATGAGGAAAGGAATTAGAAAAATAATGGGGGTGGTACGGACTGGACCGATTAGGAAATTCTCTCTAATTTATTTATTCTCTCTTTCACGAATTTTTATTTCTCCACACAATCTTTTTTAATTGTTCAGATATTATCTTATTTTGGGAATATAAAGTCTCCATTATGAAGAACAAAATTTTTTCAAGTGGGGTTATAATTATTTTACATCTACATATATTATTTAACAAAAAGTACTAAAAACAATTAGCCACCCTTTAATAAAAAATTTTTAATTTTGCTTGAAATTAGATTTGTAATATTTAGTAACAATTTAGAATTTATTTATTCATTAGAACCTTAAGAAATTAAAAAATTTTAGGAGCCTTTTTGGAGTAAATTTCTATAAATTTGGAGTTTATGAATCATATATTTTTTTAAATATATTAATTAATGTTCTCTAAAAGTCTCTAAAATTTACTAAAAGTTATGGTCGAAAAATTCGGAGTATTAAAATTTTAAACAATTAAAAAAGCGCTAATAATATTTAAATAATCTTTTCATATTTAACATTTTTTCTTGCTCAAATATTCCTTCAATTGAGGAAGCGAATAAATGCGCTTTGAAAATTCAACCAATTTTGGGTATTTAGCCATTATATCCTTTTCCATTTCAATCATCATTCCGATAAAGTGAGCAACAGAAAAGTCAACAAAACTTAATCCAGAAGGCAAAATAAAACCAGAATTGGACTCTTCCAAACGTTTTTCAAATAAAGGAAAATATCTTTCAATAGCTGGCAGAAAAACATCCTTTCGAAGTTGCTCCTATAAATTGAAAATTAAGAAAAATATGTACATAATTATTAAACTAACAACATCGCCTTGGCGAAATCCAAATTTTGCTGCAACGTATGGACCTACCATATATGCCATCTCATCACAAAGACAGCTTATTTCCATTACCTTCGCCTCTTCCCATTCATTTTTTCCTCCCAAATCTAAAAAAATACAAAATTATTTTTATAAAAATAATTTTTTTAAACAACCAAATTTTTTGCCCAAAAATTGCATAATAGCTCCACATTGTGCTAATTGTTTTCCATCAATTTCTAACACTGGGACTTGTCCAAATATATAGTCTAAACAAAAAACAAATTTTTCAGAAAATATTATTCTTTAATTTACTCGATTTAAGTGTTGGCCAATCCTCCTTTTTAATTCGATAATCTTCAAAAGACTGTCCCTTGTAATTAAACAGTAAACGAATTGGTTCACCTTTTGCTGTTGTGTCAAAATAATGTAATTTATATTGAACCATTATTATTATTTTTTAAAAAAGCTGCTAAAATGCTTACAAAAATTAAAACTAAAAGAGGAAAAACAAATAATTTTGTTCTCTAAACAATTTTTAAAAATTAATATTATTAATTTATGTATTTTTAAATTGATATTCAATAATATTTTGAAAAGAAATGTCAGGCTTACATACATATGTCAAGAAATTTTTGGGATAAGGAAAAAGGGTATTGAATAAGCGGATACAAGGCAAAAATAAAATTTGGGATAAAATTTGGATTAAAAAATAAATGGGGAATTAAAATGAAGAGGTTAGTAATTACTTAGAAGAGATTTAGTAAGAATTTTGACCTCAAAAGAATGTTTGTATAAATTAAAAATCAAATTTTCTTAGTGTCCTTCAATAGTAAAAGTAAAGCTATCAGAATAATTAGCCAATTTTGGATATTTAAATTTAAATTCGTTTTCAATTCCAATCATTATTTTAATAAAATGAGCAACAGAAAAGTCAACAAAACTTAATCCAGAAGGCAAAATAAAACCAGAATTGGACTCTTCCAAACGTTTTTCGTATAAAGGAAAATATCTTTCAATAGCAGGCAGAAAAACATCTTTTCGAAGTTGTTCCTTTAAATTATGTAGAATAAAGTAATAAAATAGGGACAAGGGTATGTAACAGGGTTGGGCGAAATCTAGAAATAAAAAGCGAAATGCGAAACTTTTCGCGCTGAAAAATGCGAGAATGCGAAAGATGCGAAACGCGAAAGTGCGAAATAAGCCCAGCCCTGGTATGTAACTTTCACATATGTACTCGTGTCCGTAACTTTTAGTCCCCTACTGTATCTATAATTATTATTTTCAACAGACCACATTGCCTCCGTGAAATCCAAATTTTGCATCAATATAAGGTTCTACTGCATATCCCATCTCATCACAAAGACAGCTTATTTCCATTGCTTTTGCCTCTTCCCATTCATTTTTGCCTCCCAAATCTAAGAAAAATTTTACAAAATTCTTCTTCGAAAAATAATTTATTGAATAACCAAATTTTTTGCCCAAAAATTGCATAATAGCTCCACATTGTGCTAATTGTTTCCCATCTACTTCTAACACTGGAACTTGTCCAAATATATAGTCTACATAAAATTGTTCAATGACTAATTTAGAAAATAATATATTAATTACTCGATTTAAGTGTCGGCCAATCCTCTTTTTTAAATCGAAAATCTTCAAATGGTTGCCCTTTATAATTAAAAATTAAACGAATTGGTTCTGCCCTCCCAGTTACATCAAAATAATGTAATTTGTATTTAACCATTTTGGCTTAAAATTTTTAAAATTTATTTGAGAAACTTAACTCTGAAATGTAAATACAGGGTGGGGCAAAAGTTCGGCGACAAATTTTATTTTGTCCTTTCTTAAAATTTACTTTAGATTTTGCATTTTGTTTAGATTTCCCATATTCTATGATTCGTGCTCTTTTTACCAATTTCTAATAATATCAGACAAATCTCGATATTGTAACGAGAATTGACTTTAGTAAAAAAAATAAATTTTTAGAATAATACTTGTTCGGCAACAATTTTATTAAGAATAAGTTAAAAGTGAAATGAAAGGTCGTTTTGATTTTATTAATTTGTTGATTTTATACTAAAAAATTGCTCAAGCTTGGCTACAAAAGTTGTAGTAAACTACAAAATAGAAATACTATATACTTTGTCTGTATTTTTGTTTTTAAAACGAGCATTTCTAGAAAAAAGGAATATAAACGTTGTTGTGCTTAGGAAGGAAATGATGAACGTGAATGAGAATGAGAAAAGGAATTAGAAAAATAATGAGGGTGGTACGGACCGGACCGATTAGGAAATTCCCTCTAATTTATTTATTCTCTCTTTCACGAATTTTTACTTGTCCACACAATTTTCTTTTAATTGTTCATATTATTTTGGGGATTTTACTTGAATTCCCCAATTTCCAACTTCAATCAAAATTAAAACAAAATAGCCACGTTTTTATTTTACAATCTTTACTTTACTCAAATTTTGATAGATTATCATTTTTCTTTATCTTTATGAATTTTTTTCATTTAAGTTAACAGAATTATTTAAATATCTATTTTTATGAAAAATAAATTTTGTCAATATTAAAACAAATAAAATACATATACTCTGAATATTTTAAATACTTCAATATTGATGTTATTTAAAAAATAACATCAAATCCCTTATGTATTGCCATTTAGCAAATCTAATAATATTTTAATTATTAAGTTACTGCTTTAATCAACTTTTATCGAAGTCACAATTAAAAAGTACTACATAATACATATTAAAATAATCTTTTCATATTTAACATTTTTTCTTGCTCAAATATTCCTTCAATTGGGGAAGCGAATAAAAACGAGTAGAAAAATCGACCAATTTTGGATATTTAGCCATTATATCCTTTTCCATTTCAATCATCATTCCGGTAAAGTGAGCAACAGAAAAGTCAACAAAACTTAATCCAGAAGCCAAAATAAAACCAGAATTGGACTCTTCCAAACGTTTTTCGTATAAAGGAAAATATCTTTCAATAGCTGGCAGAAAAACATCCTTTCGAAGTTGCTCCTATAAATTGAAAAAATTTTTTTTGAAATATTGATGAACAAGTTTTATTTCTAACTGAATGGATTAGAGAAATCTTAGATTGAGTTAAGATTAGGGTTGTACCCCGAACGCTCGGGGGCGGTTATGTCGGGGTACGGGGTTTTCCAAATGTTTCGGGGCGGGGTTCGGGTCGGGGGAGCAAAATATGGCCGGGGTTCGGGTCGGGGTACGGGGGTTCAGTGGAAAATTTTTTAGAGAAAAAAATGCTCAAAAATAATTAAAAATGATATATTTTCGTCGATTTATTCAAAAATTAAGTAGAATTTTAAGAAATTAGAGGGGATTTGAAAGGATTAAAGTGTAAAACTTGCGATATAAAAGGATCTGGAGGGATTAAGTGGGATTTTTAGGGATTAAATTGTATATCTAGGGATACAAAGTGATCTGGAGTGATTTTTGTTGGTTCAAGGGATATTAGTCATTTATAAGGATATTGATGTATTGCGGATAAGGGTATTTGGACGGATATCATGAGATATCTTGGATTAATCCTTAAATCTCCCACGAAATCCTTGTTAATTCTGTTAAATTCACGAAATCCTTTCAAATTCATTTTAATCTAAACCTTATATCCCTTTATAACTCCTTAATTCTTCGATATCATACAATCCCTTTATATCTCTGATTCCCGTTAACAGGACTCGATAGTTTTCCAACTGTTATGGTTGAGAACTGGTGATACAGGGGTTTGAAAGATTAGGGGTGGTTCAAGGGATATCAGTTAAAAATAAAATTAATACTTTCAAATTAAAATTTAACTCGTTAATAATTTGTTTTTGTAAAGAAATATAAAAAAACGAGTTCTCCTTATATGGATCAAAACCAAATCCTATATTCATGAAATATCAGCTAAAACCACCTACTAAGCCACTCAACCACAAGTATGTTAATGTAGGAGGAAAGAAAATTATGATATGTATTTCATTCATTTTTCTTTCAAAAATAATAAAAGCAAAGTAAAATGGGTGGAAATTTTTTAAATTTTCTTCATTAATTTCTCCAAAAAATGACATATTTTAGGGGTATAAAACCCCGATAACCCCGAAACTTTTTGGGCCGGGGAACGGGGTTTTCACTTTTTTTCGGGGCGGGGTTCGGGTCGGGGAGAATCGTGAAAAAATCGTTCGGGAACGGGGTCGGGGTTCGGGGTACGGGGTCGGGGTACAACTCTAGTTAAGATATCCTCGAGTTGCTGTAAAGGGAGTGACTTTTACTCTTCGATTGTTTAAACATTATTTAAAAGAAAACAGACCACATTGCCTTCACGAAATCCAAATTTTGCTCCAATATATGGCCCTACTGCGACTCCCATTTCATCATTAAGGAATATTATTTCCATTGCCTTCGCCTCTTCCCATTCATCTTTGCCTGCCAACTCTAGGGAAAAAATTATTTTTGAAAAATAATTTTTTAAATAGATAACCAAATTTTTTGCCCAAAAATTGCAAAATAGCTCCAGCTTGTGCTAATTGTTTCCCATCAACTTCTAACACTGGAACTTGTCCAAATGGATATTCTAAACAAAAATAAAATTTTTCAGAAAATACACTCCTCCACAAAAGTATAAGGGCACTTGTATTTTCGCAATTTTTTTACATCCAATGATCCATATTTTCTGAAAATTTAGATACACACCTTTTAGTGAATAACTAATAAGATGTGCATTGATTTTTGGCCGATCTTTTATTTTAAAAATTTTTAGACAAAAATTTGCATTTTCGGCCTCCACAAAAGTATAGAAAATAAAACCTTTGCTATCTTGTAGCAAATTTCAAGGGCTTTCGAATGAGCCCAAAATCAAAATTCAAAACAAATCCATAAGGGTTCGAAAAATTTTTTTAAAGAGCCTTACCCTTGATTTACATTGATTTTCGGGGTCTCAGGATCTCGGCTCAGGGTAAAGATATGGATCTAGTTCTTTTTTATTTATTCATAATATCATTATGTATGTTTGCTAGAATTTTTGTAGATTTTTTCTAATCTTGGAAATATCTTTTTTGTAAGTGCCCCTATACTTTTGTGGAGGCAGAAAATGCAAATTTTTGTCTAAAATTTTTTAAAATAAAAAATCAGCCAAAAATCGATGCACATCTTATTAGTTATTCACTAAAAGGTGTGTATCTAAATTTTCAGAAAATTTGGATCATTAGAAGTAAAAAAATTGCGAAAATACATGTGCCCTTATACTTTTGTGGAGGAGTGTATTATTCATTAATTTACTCGATTTAACTGTTGGCCAATCCTCCTTTTTAATTCGATAATCTTCAAAAGGTTGCCCCTTGTAGTAGAAAAGCATACGAATTGCTTCAGCTCTTCCAGGCAGGTCAAAATAATGCAATTTGTATTGAACCATTATTTAATTTTTTTAAAAAGATTGTCAAAAATTCTTTAAAAATTAAAATTATACATATATAAATAATCCCCTATAAGCGAGAACTTAATAGGCTATTATAAGGGGTATTTGCTGTCTGGCGAGATGAGTCGAATAGCATAAAAATCAACAAGAATGAGTAAACTTTCAAGAAGTTATGAGCGAATAACTAACAAATCAACCGTAAAGGTAAGTAAATAATAAAGCCAAGATCAACTAGGCTGTTTGATCGATCCTAACTTGAGATTAACATCCATCTTATACATATTTGTTAAACTAACATCATTCAACTCAGCTCAAAGGGTTTTGTGTATTTTACCCATACATACTTCCATTAAACAGTGGGAGTATGTGGAATAAAGTATACGCACCAATGAACTATAGAATGATTTTAAAAAATAAAATGATTGGGATTTAATTGTTGATTTTATACTAAAAATTGTTTATCTAACATACATAAAATTATTACAAACTACACATAAATAAATAAAAATATTTATTTTTAGTTTGTATTTTGTTATTATTACATTTTTGTTTTCAATAAAATGATAACAATTTTTAGAAAAATGTTGAGTGGTTAGGAAATAAATGATGAACGTGAACAAATGTGAAAAAAGGAATTAGAAAAATAATGGGGGTGGTACGGACTGGACCGATTAGGAAATTCTCTCTAATTTATTTATTCTCTCTTTCACGAATTTTATTTCTCTTCACAATTTTGTTTGTTAGTTCACATAAACATTTAATTTGGAGGGTAAGTTGGGCGCAAGAAAATTCAAAATCAACAGGGACCTTATAAAATCTATAAGATTCTTATGCGTCTAAATAATTCGGCGCCTATACATATCTCATTTTATTCCCTCCTCCCCAATCAGCGTTAAAACAAAATAAAAGTAAACAAAAATATTTAGCCACGTCGACATAAACTTCACGTCTTTTTTTTTTATTTCGCAATCTTTACTCTTCACATATTCTGATAAATTATCTTTTTTATTTACTTTATAAATTTGATATTTTTTAATCAAATAAATCATTTGTAGTTTGTTAAAAAGATTTTTAATTAATTAATTTCTCCGAAAAATAAATCTTATTGGCGTTGTGTAAAAATTATTGAAAAATGACGTTTAATCCAATTTTTCTGTTCCGTTTTTCTCAAGGTTAAAAGGATTTTTTGCGAGATTTCTGTTGCCATGAGGAACAAAATAATTTTAAATTTGATTTCTCACGTTATTGGGTTATTTTAATTTGAAATAGTTTTGTTTTTACATTTCAATGAACATTTCCTTCATTTTCCCCTCATTTTTTGCCTCGTTAAATTTTCTTTATTAAAAATTTAATTTTTTAAATGCAGCGTTATCGAACAAAATCTTCATCTTCTCAAAATAGTACTAAAAAGAAATTAATACCGAAAATGACTTCTGGACAAGCAAAAATTGGAAAACTTGCTCCTGAATTCACAACTGATGCTGTCGTTGATTCTGACTTTAAGACGGTTTCTTTGTCTGACTACAAGGGCAAATATGTTGTGCTCTTCTTCTATCCGCTTGACTTGTTTGTTTATTTAATTTAAATTTATTCGAGAACAGAACTGGGTATTTTCTGTTAGGGCGTTTTTAATTCTTTGAAAATCTGAGGTCTGACATTTTAAAAATTTTGTCCTTGATGGTATAAAATTGCAGTCAGACTATAAATTTGGAGCAGGTTTTTAATTTATTTTTATTTTTCAGTACTTTTGTTTGTCCGACTGAAATAATTGCATTTTCTGAGAGAAGCGGTGACTTTACCAAAATTAACGTTCAATTATTGGCTTGTTCTACTGACTCTAAATTTAGGTTTTTTTATTTTTATAATTTTTAATATTTAAATTTCTAGCCATTTTGAATGGATTAATAAGCCACGTAAGGAGGGAGGACTTGGAGAAATGAAAATCCCTGTTCTTTCTGATCGCAATATGAAAATTGCTCGTGATTATGGAGTTCTTAAAGAGGATGAGGGGATTGCCTATCGGTTTTTTAAAGTTTTGAAATTCTAAAAATTTATCCATTTTAGTGGATTGTTTATCATTGATCCTAAAGGGATTCTTCGTCAAATTACTATTAATGACCTTCCTGTTGGACGCTCTGTTGATGAGGTTATTTTTAGAAATTAAAGGAAAATATTTGTAAAATAGAGTTGGATATCTATTTTTGGATTCACGAGTTTTTTTCTAAAATCGTGTATCTTTTCCCTACGATACATATTAATTCAAATTTAATTATTAAGCCTTTTAAATTTTTTAGACTCTTCGTCTCGTTCAAGCTTTTCAATATACGGACAAACATGGAGAAGTTTGTCCAGCTAATTGGAAGCCAGGAAGTGATACTATCAAACCAGATCCTAACAAAAGTAAAGAATATTTTGGTAAACAATAAATTGAGAGAGGTTATTTTTGGATAAAAAAATTTAAATGAAAAAGTAAAAATGGGAAAGAAAACAAATTATTCTTATTTTTTTAAATTATATTTTGACAATTTCGCTTAATTGGTTGCAATGGATTTTTTAAATTACAATTTTTGGATATGTTGCATTTTTTAAAAATATAAATGGTTAGAATGTTTTGAAATGTTTTTTTTTTGTGAATTTGGTTTTAAAAGGAGATTTGAAAAAATCTTATTTTGTGGTATTACAGAATTTTAGTTAAAAGCGGAGCATTAAAATTTACAGTCGTGGAAAAAAGTATGGAAGCGCTAGAAAATTTTTTCTTAATTTTTCATTCAAAAAATACGTTCTATATACCAATCGAAAGCTCTATTCGTATCTCAGTTGACATGTTTCTGCATTTTTCATGAAAATGAAAATTGGCCGAGATAATCCGGATCTACCGGATATACCAAATCCCATTTTTTCGGAAAAATTTTTCGGAACAAATTTAACAAACCCAAATGATAAAGCATATGTTTCTGAGTATTTTCCACAAAACCGCTTAGAAATATCTTTTTCCGGAGCAGAGATATAATTTTTTGAAAATTGCATTTTTCGTCTATTTTTGCAAAAAATTCAATTTTTAAGCGAAAAATGCCATTTTCAAAAAATCATATCTCTGGACCGGAAAAAGATATTTCTAAACGGTTTTGTGGAAAATACTCAGAAAAATATGCTTTATCAAATGGGTTTGTTAAATTTTTTCCGAAAAATTTTTCGAGATTATGGGATTTGGTATATCCGGTAGATCCGGATTATCTCAGTCAATTTTCATTTTCATGAAAAACGAAGAAACATGTCAACTGAGATACGAATAGAGCTTTCGATTGCTATATAGAACGTATTTTTTGAATGAAAAATTAAGAATTAAGAAAAAATTTTCTAGCGCTTCCATACTTTTTTCCACGACTGTATGAATTTTACTTATAAAATTTTACCGGATACTTATCGACATAGATTTTACGCATAAACTGGGCAAGAGCCTTTGTTTTTTGTTTCATAACCTCTTCAAAAATATTTTTTACGTAAAATCTCGTTATATAATTATTTAAATTGAGGGTCCTAAAATTATTAAAAGGAGTCCATTTGTTCAGCATTTGATTGCTTGTGCCCTTTCCCTCCATCCCTAGGCTTCAATTAGTGCACAGATTACATTAAAATTACATTAAGTTTTTAACGTTTTCTTCCTCTCATTAATAACCTTTCAACAATCTTCAATTAACTTTTCTTTTTCTTTTCAATATTTTAGCCTCCATCCATCCCCTAATTGTTTGTTATTATTAGTCTTGACATTTATAAAATAAATAATTGCACAATACTCAACACAATTGTTAACAAAGTTTCAATTTATTACATAAATTATTTATGCCTAGAAAAATTAAAAATTTATTATTTTAAAGGTTATAATTGCTTGTCCTTTTTTCGCTTAATTAATTAAAATGTCTGTGTTTTAATTAATTATTACTTTTTATCATGGGACTTTTAAAATTAACCTTCCAAGAAGTCTTTAGATATTCGTAGAATTAAACATCTCTAAAATAATAATTTTTATTAAATTTTTAATTTAAATATTCTTAAAAGATTTTTATTTCAAAAGAATTATTTAAATAATTTATTTAAATATACTTTTGTTTTATTGGATATTAAATCTTTTTTATTGGCACGATAGAATTTTTTATTTTAATTTTTTAAATAAATCGTGTAAATAGGGTAATTATAAAAATGGGAATAATTATTGTAAAATTATTTTTTTAAATATTTGCTCTTTTAAATTTTATATAAACAAAATAATTATTTTTTGTTAAAAAATGTTATAAAATAATTAAATGGTGGTCATCATTATCTGTTTGTGAGGAAGGAATGTTACTTCCTCCGCTTCCTCCTTTTGTGATTTAAAAATTGTTTTTATGTGAATGATCACTTTTAGTACAATTTTTAAAACAAGCTTTTATTTTTATATATTTTGTTATTTAATATAATAAAGTGTAAAAAGTAAAAATAAAGATTTAACGTTTTTGTTTGTCTTGGGGAATCTGAATTCTCGAAAATTAAACCCAAATCATATTTAATGTATTATTTACCATTTTTTATTATTATAAGTAAATAGTATTAGATATTTTAATTTAAAAATTTTATTTAACACTTTTGTTTTGGGAAAAATCCTTTGTTTCGTATACTTTTTGCTTCTTACCTCATTTGTTTTAAAAAGATTAAGGAAGTAATTAAAATTAATTAAAAAATATTATTTGGATTATTATTTAAGCTAAAAGTAAATACTTTATAAAATATTCTTTTTTTAAATTTTTATTGCTCATTTTTCGAAAAAGATTACAAAATTTACTTTTAATTTAAAAATAAATTTTGAACAATGGACGAAACAACAGCAGTTGAGGGATTGAAGGGAGATTATACTTTCTTCTCAACAAAAGGTATGAAATTTTGGACGGAGTTTTAAAAGGGGTCCCGAAAGCTGGAGAATTTGTTAATTTTCACCGTCCCTGTACATTTATTATTTTTCTACTTGTATATATTTATGTTTTGATGGGGAATTATTTTTTCACCTCTAAAATCTCATTTATCTGGGAGGCAAGCCTCCATTTAGGAAATGACTTGATTATACGGTTGGAGCTACTATATTGAGAATATTCCTTCTCTATTCTGAACCTGTCTCTGTTCTGGATTTTAGCAACATTCAAATTATATAAATTTTAGACCCAATCCGGACTGTCTACGCTTTTTTGGACAGTTTTGTTCTTGTTGGTGGACTTTCAATGAATTCTTTATTAATTTACCTGATCCGAACAAAAACGGCAAAAGGGATGGAAATATACAAAAAATTGCTTTATATGAGTTGTTTTATGGATCTAATTGTTTCTTTTTGGACATTTATTGTTCAACCGGTAATTCTACATACATATTACCTATTTTTGTAAACAGAATTTCAATTACTATATTAGATCATTCAGTGGTATGAGATTTTTGAACGGGATCGCGTCTCGTTCGTATCCCCAGTTGTAATATAAAATTGAGATATGAGAATAAAATTGTTGGAAATTAACCGGAATAATATTTCTAAAATATTTTTAATTAAATTAATATTAAATATAGATTCCTTGTACCGACCGCGGTTATCGAACTATAATGATGAATGGAGTTTTTCGAAAGTCGTCACAGCCAATTCGTTATGCTGTTTATCTTACTTGGATACAATTAATGGTTTTAAAAATATTCTCCCAATAAAAATAATTTTTTTTTTATTAAAAAGCTTTTTTTCTTAATTACAACAATGTCCCAATATGTTTATCGTTTTTGTATTTTATGTAGAAATGGAATTATTTCGGCGAAAATTGTTGGAAGTCTAATTTTTGTCCAAATTTTTCTAAACTCTTTCCATGCATTTTTGCTTGCCTGGGCTGACTATCCACGTCCTGGGGAAGCAAGTAAAATGAGGGAAATAATGCATAAACTTGGTGAAGAGTCTGGCATTTCTGATGTTGAATTTATTTCTTTTGTTAATGCGGTAATATTTTTTGAAGATTTTCTTTTTAAATTAGGAATATAAGGTTCTGAATGTTTCTGGTGTATTCAATAATTCACCTGCTTTGAACATGCAGGGAGCATAGTTGTTATGACATTTGTTTAGTAAAAATGTAGCAGAATGTATCAGATCCTTCTCGGGTTCCTTAATCTCCCTCTAATAACACTAATTTTAGCATTAAGTTTAACAAATATTTTCTAATTAAAGAGGGAATTTCGTTGGTTAATGCATATTGCAATTATGTGTGTCATGTTCCCTGGTTTTTACGTTGTAATTGGCATTTGTTTCTTTAAAATTCGAAAAGCAGTTCAAGGAATGAATGTTTTAAAATTAAAAGAATATAATAAACAAGTTTCGGCTGCTCTTCTTTTTCAAGTAATTTTTGAAATAAAATTGTTGGGAAAATTTTTTTAAATTTAATTTAAAGGCATTACTTCCATCATTAGAAATTGGAGCTTGGTGTATTCAAATATTTATTCCTATATTTGTAACCCAACAAAGTACTTATATTTACACAGTTTTTACTGATATTCCAATTCATCTAATTCCCGTATTAAATCCAATTGGGACTATTTTACTTGTTGCTCCATATCGGTAAGTTTATTTTTAATTAAATTGAATCAGAATTGACTAAACTTGAAGACAGTGGAGAGTTAAATAGAAAATTTGAAATTTTCCATTCCATTTCCCTTTTCTGAGCAAAAATTTTCTTTTAAAGTCGTGCTGTGTTTCGCTATTTTGGAATTACAAAAGCCCATTCAACAATTATTCGTATACAAACAACAATTCAAACAAAACGCCGTCAAGGGACAGTTAGTATTCATCCTCAATCTAGAACTTGAAGAATTGAAAGAATTCCCTAAAAAATTTTTGTGACAAACAAACATATTTGTATATAAAATATAATATTTCCAAAGATTAGTTGGAAAGCAATTTTATGTTAAATTTACAAATGATAATCTCTTTTAAAATTCATATCAAACACTAAACATCATACATGTATACATACATATATCTTTTTGTATTAATCTTTAGAAAGTTTATTTCTATGTTAGTTATTTGGGTTACGCATTTAATATTTAAAAATGTATGTATATATTTTTCATCCAGCTCGATTTTTATTTAAAAAATTAGAATAAATAATTTTATCTGCGAATAGTTAGTGCATATAGTACTTCGGGGACGGTATTCTAAAAGAGGTAAAGGTTAACTATCATCGAGTTCTGGGTTTTTTGGAATAGGGTTAACCCTCAACTCGTTGTTCTATCATCCGAGTAAGAGAACCTGGGATAAATTCCAGGTTCTCCTACGCTCTTTTTAGAATACCGCCCCGGAGGTTTACATAATTTACAAATCCACACTTTTTTAAATAAATTTATACATTTCTAAAACTAAAAAAACCTTTGTTTACTTCAAAATAAAAAATTACATATGAAATTTTAAAAAAATAAATTTAAATTAAATATCTCCAAAAAATCCCAAATGTTTTTCTTTAAATTATAAAAAATCCAAAAATCTTCCTAAACTCTCTCCTTCCAAAAAATCATTTCCAAATAAATTTCTTTTTATACAGCGATAAATTCTTTAAATTTCTTCTTATTTAAATAAGAAGCTCCAATTTTAATTTTCCCCTCTTCTCCATTTTTGTCAATATATTTTTTAAAATCATTTTCTTTTAATGATTTAATTTTATTTTTTAATTCTTCTATATTTTCTTTAATTTCTTCTTCCTTTAAAATTTTAAATCCAATAATCCAACCAGTACATTTCCAATCCTTTTAATTAAAATTATTAAATAAAATTTCTTTTAATTAAAAAACCTCTTCTTTAATTCCCGTTGCTTTTGGACAATTTTCTCTTTTAAATAAAGCTTTTGGGTTTATATGGAAATATTTAATAAATTTTAATGTTTCAAATTTTTTTATCAAAAGAAATGTTAAATGACTTTCAATTACATCACAAAGTGAAGGACCTCCCAAACTGTTTGGAGAATAGGCACAAATAACAAGTAAATAATGTTGATACTAAATAATATAAATTTAGAAAAATATTTTTTTTGAATTTAATCCTTTCAGTTTTACTAAAGTATTAGCTATCGAGCTAGACTAGCTACTGATTGAAGTAGAACTGACTATCACTCCTCAGTTTTTATTTGGCTAATAATTAAAGAATTTTTTTTTAATTTTTAATTAATGCCCCTTTCTCTCTACAAGAAAGGGGCATTAATATATAGAGAGAGGGCATAAGAAATTATTCCCTCAAACTAATAAAATGTTTTGGGGAATTATTCTAAATTTTATAAAAAATATATTTATTTAACCAACCATTTCTACAAAATTTTCTCCCTTTATCCATTCACTCAATTTTTCTTTAATTTTATTTTCATTTTCCAACTTTTCAATTTCATTTAATTGTTTAATTGCTAAAAATTAATTAAATTTAAATATTTAAATTTCTCTAACCAATTTCCATTTTTTCTTTAATTATAATTTGTGTATAATAATTAATTGTATAGGCAACATTTCGTGGTGGATAACCTAAATTAATTATTCCCCAAATAATTTCTATTTTATTTGAAGACAATAAACTAGCAAAACCATTATTTGTTAATTCAACTTCTCTTCTTTTTACGTCTAAATTTATATTCCAATCTTCAACATTTTCTTCTATTTTCATAATAAATGGCATCTCTTTTTGTCTTGAATTTTTAATTTTATAATAAATATTTTTAAAAACATTATATTGAAGGTGAGGGGGGGGGATAGACAAGATTTTTTTTGAATTCAAGTTACTTGACCTGTTTCATTTGATCAACGACCTTAACTAAACTCTTGAAATTGTGAAAAATGTGTATATTCCGGTCCTGCTGGACACAATAATTTCTAATGATTAAAGTCCCATTAATCCTCTCAAATTCCAGCCCTATTCTATAGTGAGGTTCGACTTAATTAAAAATTTCAGAAACAAAACAATACATATTTTCAATTAATTCACTAAACATTTTCTCAATTAAAACTGTAATTAAATTTTCATTTTTATTTTCTACAATTGTTTTATAAATCAAAATTTCAATTATTTTTTCATTTAATAAACCAAATATTTCTCCAAAAATTGAATTATCTAAAAATATTAATCTTTTAATTAAATATTTATTCATTCTTACTTTTTGCCCAAAGACTAACAACTTTAAATATTTTCCAAAATTTTCCTTCAAATTGCTTTAAATTAACAGACATTTGCAAATTTGAACGATATTCTTAATTTAAAAATAAATATTGAAAAGAATAAAAAATATTTTCCTCAGAGAAGTTCGGTAGCAAAATACTTCACGTTATACACAGTATTGCCCTAAACATATATTTTTCCTTTTTTTACAGAAAAATCATGTTATTCGAAAATTATCATCGAGATGTTTAAAGAAAATAAAAGATCTCATAAGGTCAAGCTGAATCGAATGAGCATTCTCGATAATTTGAGTTAAATGCGGCCATTCTATCACATGGAGATAACTGAACGTATCCTTTAACAAATCCTTTTAACATCCGCCGCAGCTTAATAAGTTACTTCTCCTATGAGAAAAGTGACTAGATTCAACTTTCCAGTTACTAAGTAATCTATAGTAAATTAGCGAATACTTTGAGTTTTTTTAAAAAATACCTGAAAGGGCAAACACTTCCCCCTTTTTATTTTCTTCATAATTTTTAAATAAATTATCCTTTCCAATTTTAGCAATAAATTCATTTATTGCTATATCAATAAATTCTATACTTTTTAAATCTATTTCCCTTTCTTTTACTTTAACTATTTTATCAAAAATTTTTTGTGGTACAGAAATTAAATGCAAATTGAAATAAAAATTTTTAAAATTAATTTTCAAAATAGGGCCACGATAATCAATTTTTCGAATAAATTGAATTTCTTTGCTCTAAAATATTAATTAAATATTAATTATTTAAATTTTCTGAAAATTTAGAAACACACCTTTCAGTGAATAACTAACAAGATGTGAATCGATTTTTGGCTGATTTTTTATTTAAAAAATTTTTAGACCAAAATTTGCATTTTCGGCCTCCACAAAATTATAAGTCCACTTTACAAAAAAGATATTTCCAAGATTAGGAAAAATCTACAAAAATATTAGCAAACAGACATAATGATATTATGAAAAAATAAAAAAGAAATAGACCCATATCTTTACCCAGAGCCGAGATCCTGAGACCCCGAAAATCAACGTAAATCGGGGGTAAGGCTCTTTAAAAAAATTTTTCGACCCCTTATGGATTGTTTTGAATTTTGATATTGGGCTCATTCGAAAGCCCTTGAAATTTGCTACAAGATTATTATAATTTTATTTTTCAGAAAAAATTTTACTGAGATTCACAGTCAGTTAAACTTTCGAATCCACATAAAGGGCATTTTATGGGGTATTTTGCTGCATCAGAAAATTAATGGCCTGTATCTTTCTAATGGATTTTTCTATAAAACTTGTTTAATGCTATCTTGTAGCAAATTTCAAGGGCTTTCGAATGAGCCCAATATCAAAATTCAAAACAATCCATAAGGGGTCGAAAAATTTTTTTAAAGAGCCTTACCCCCGTTTTACGTTGATTTTCGGGGTCTCAGGATCTCGGCTCCGGGTAAAGATATGGGTCTATTTCTTTTTTATTTTTTCATAATATCATTATGTCTGTTTGCTAATATTTTTGTAGATTTTTCCTAATCTTGGAAATATCTTTTTTGTAAAGTGGACTTATAATTTTGTGGAGGCCGAAAATGCAATTTGGTCTAAAAATTTTTTAAATAAAAAATCAGCCAAAAATCGATTCACATCTTGTTAGTCATTCACTAAAAAGTGTGTTTCTAAATTTTCAGAAAATTTGGATCACTGGAAGTCAAAAAATCCCGAAAAAACGGGTGGACTTATAATTATGTGGAGCAGTGTATGTACGTTTGATTAAAGTTGCTTATTCCTATTTTCCTACCTATTTTTCTTTTCGTCCATTTTGACCCATTTTAGGGAATTTTTTTTCTCAAAATCGGGGCCATATTGACAGAAAGGTAAATATTGAGGGTTATAAAATAATTTTAACTTAAATATTACATTTACCTTACAAAATAAACAAAACAAAGAATTATCATTTCTACACAACTCTTCACTAAATTTAAATATACATTTTGGAATATTTCCAAAAAATCCCTTTTTATCTGAATCCATTGTTAAAATAATTGTCTCAATTATTTCTTCATTTTTATCAAAAAATTGTTTGGTATTTGTTGAAATTAAATATATTTTCTGTTAAAAATAATTTTAAAAAATTCTAATTAATTAATTATTTTACAAACTTTTTTATTGTTTTCTTTAACCCATTTATCTATAAAATTCTCTTTTAATAACTCCAATATTCCCTCAATATTTTCAACATTTTCATTTGAGGTTTCTTTAATAATTGTATCAAGCTAAATAATTTTTTTAAAATTAAACCATTTGGATTTTTGAAAACGGGAAAATATTGGTCAAGCTATGGTCTTAAAACACCCTAAACGGGAGGGGGGACAAAAATTTCGTTCGTTGACTATTTAACTTGGTTTAGGATAGTAAATTCTTAACAATTCCTTGTACATCATTAGGAATAAAGTAAAAATCTAAAAGTGAATTTGAATTTAAAGTTTAATGTGACTTTGTTACTTCAAAAACATTTGGGTGAGGAGCAACTCAAGGAATTCCTTGTCGTTCCTACATATATTTGTCTATTCCTTGAGTTAGCCCGACACGAAAACATTTAAATACCAAATTCGAAAATTTTTCCTTCCTTTCATTTATTATTGGATCTTCTACTTTATTTACAATTTCTTTTTCATCTTTTTTAATTTCTTCAATTTTAATTTGTTTTTTCTTCTCAATTTTTTTGAATTCTTCCTCTTTTTCATATTTTTCTAATTCTTCTTTAATTTCTTTTAAAAAAATATTTTCTTCTTCTTCAATTATTAATTTATTTTCTTCCTTCCCCTTTATTTTATTTTTTAAATTTTTAATTAATTCCATTATTTTTGTATAATTAATTAATTCTATTAAATTATTTCTTTCCTTTTTATTTGATAAAGCTTAAAAATTAAAAAAATTATTTTCAGAATTTTTTAATAAAATCTTTAGATGTTCCCTCGGGAGAGGTGTATCTTAAATTTTTTGGTAGTTCAGTAATAATATAGCTCTTACAAAAGTGCAATCGAAAACCTATCAAGTTTTTCAGAAGATAGCACAGACTTTTGCTAAAATTTTTACCTTTAATAACAACTTTATAAAATTCTTCTTTTCTCTCCAAATTCCCTACTTCTTTTTCTTCTGTTTCCCAATTAATTTCGTGTTTCAAAACCTTTTTCTTTTCTTCATTTAAAAATTCTTCAAATTCTTCTTCCTCCTCTTTTTTAACTTTAACAATCCCATTTTCTACTACTATATCTTTCCATTCTTTTTCCCAATTTTTCTTTTTAAAATTTTTTTCTTTTAAATTCTTCCAAATCCAAATTTGTCTTTTAATCATTAAATTTCCTTCTTTTTCCAATTTATTTTTATCATTTAATTCAAATAATTCATCATATTTACTATAAAAATATCCCCTTCTAAATAACCACATTTTATTTAAATATTTAATTTCCTCAAATTGTTTTTCTACCCAAAATACCCAAACCAAAAAATTTAAATAAAATTTATTTGCTAATTTATTTTCATTGTTTTCTTTGATATATGCCATAAAATGATATTTAAATCTGCTAAAATCTGTTAAGGAAATAATATGTATATTTTTTATTATTAAAAATTAATTTTATAGTCAAGAATTTTAAAAAGAAAATTTCAGGTAAAAAAGAATATGTACAGCCTATCTATAATTTAGATACCCTTTAGGGTTGAAAAAATCTATTTAAATATTAAGTGTTTATAAAATATATTTCCTTATAGTATATTCTTTAATAAAAAGTTCTTTGTCTAAAATTTAAGTGTATCTTAAATTTGAGTCCTAAAATTATAAGTAGCATCTAGCATTTCTTTACCCCAGTGGCCCCCAAATTAAAAAAACATGGCATAAAATACTTAATCTTAGGGGTTTTTTCGAAATTAAATTTAGAGATTACACTATAGAAAATAAACATTTCTTATAAAAAACCTCCTCCTTTTCCTTCTCCATCGAACGTTTTTAACACAAAGCTAAACATTTTTAGTTGAGGAATTAATTGTTGGAATCTAGTTTTTATTCCAGGATTTTCACAAATTTTTGACAATTTATTTTTCCATTCTTTTTCAACAAATTTTGCATGTTCTCTAGTTAAATAGGCTCTTTGCTCAATTAATGCCAATTTTTGTTCTTTTTCATTTTCACATTCAAATCCCTTCCATTTTAAAATTTCTTTTAAATTTTTTGTATTTTTAAACAATTCTTCTCTTAATTGAATTTGGTATAATTCTAAAAATTCATCCATCAAATAAATTACATTTTCGTAAATTGTAGGAATAGAAAAAAGTTGAAATTGAATAATTAAACAAATATTTTTTAAAGAAATAATTTCTTCTTTTTCCAAAAATATTTTTGTTAACAGCCATTTTAACTTTTTTTCTAATTCTTCCAATAAAAGAAGTTGTTCTGGCTTGAGAATATTCTCATTTTTAATTTCATTAATTAACTTCCACGTCCCTTTTAATTTTTTAATAAGTAAAGAAATTGCAATTCTTATCTCAATTTTTTTTGAATTTTCATCTCCAATTTTATATTGAAGGTATTTTTCATAAAACATAATTTTCATTGATGAATGCATTACACCTTTAATTAAATTATTTTTAAAAATAATTTATTTTGATAATTATTTAGAAAGGTTTGTCATCATCAGAAAATAAAGTGTCACGTTAATTTAGACAATAGTACTAGTCTTGTTACTAATAAATTACTCGAGTTTTACTCTAAAGTGGACAACATAGCGGAGGAGCTTTGAAAATCAACATAGAAAGGATAAAAGTTTTGAATAAATTTTTGATTATTCCAGATTTTTATTTTTCATTAATTTGGAAGTCTTAGCTTTAATTTTGGTATTAATTATTTACAATTTATTACCAATTTTAAATAAATCTGAAAATTCTCTTTCCAATTTATCCAAATACTCCAATCCAACAATTTCAATTAAATTTGTTTTTAAATTAATAATTTCTTTTTTCTCCTCTTTTTTACAAAGAAATATTCTAAACATTTTTGAGTTAATAATTAATTTAATAATTAAATAATATATTTTTTGAATATTAACCTTAAATAAATATTTTATTTTTTTAAATTAATTTTTAAAAACCTCAAAATTTGTTTTAATTAATTCTTCAATCCATTCAGGTATTTTAATTAATTTATTTTCCAAAATTTTATATAATTTATTTATTTTTTCCTTTTTATCTTCAATATTCTCAATTTTATTTTCTGAACTTTCCTCAATTTGATTATTTAAATATAAATATATTATATCCAAATAAATTATTTCAAAGCCCTCCCTGTCATATTTTTCTAATAACGGTTTAATTAATTCAAAATATTCATTAAATTCTTTTTCTTCTTTGTTTGTATCTGGTAAAATTAAAAAATTAAAAATTAAAAAATTTTTAGATTAAATTAAATTTACTTTCTTCATTTTCAATAATATCTTCACAAATATAGTAAATTATCTAAAAAATAAATAAAAATTAATTTAAAAAGTATTTTTATTTTACATTTGTATAATTTACTTTTTCTTCTCCAATTAAATTATTCATTCTTTTCTTTTCATGTGGCCTCAAATCTAAAATTTTATTTTATCAAATTTTGTTGATTAAAAAAATTTAAATATTTACATATTTAAATAAAAATTACATACTTTCCTCCCCAATTTCTAATTTTTGTTTTTATTCACAATTAACTTTCCACTATTAAATAAGTATACAAACTCTAATTTAAACCTGAGACTTCTCATTATAAAATGAAAAAGGCGGATACTGGGTGCCCGCAATTTTGAAATGTTCGAACTCTATTTAAATACCTACAAACCTTCAATATTCTCTTTAAATATTTCATCTTCTTCCATTAATTTTTTAATCATTTTTGAATGTTCTTTTTTAAAAAATTTATTTAAATTTTCTTCATTTATAATTTCTTTTGCCAATTCTTCCAAACTTTTATCTTCTAAATTTCTTTTCATTTCCTCTTTTGTATAATTTTTATTAATAAATTTACTAAATTTATTAATTATATTTAAATATAAATTTCCATATTTTTCCAAATTTTTATTATTTATTTCTTCAATTTCTTCCAAAAAGAAAAGAATTCTTTTTCTAGATCCTAACCATAAATTTTCATTAAAATGATTATCAAAAATTAAAACAGAAACTAAAACATTTGCTGTATATTTTGATTTTTTATAATTATAATTATTTTCATTAATTGATGTAAATATTTCTAAATAACTCTTTTTTAACCAATTAACCAATTTTGATTCATTTATTTCTAAATTAATAAATTATTTAATAAAATCTAAAGTTCTTCAATTAAAAAATAAAAATCCCCAATCTGATCACCTCAAATCATAAATTAACCTACCAACGAGTAAAATATTTTTTAGAGTAGTTTCTAATTCAAGATTATGTCCTAGATGTTCATTATTTCGAACATTATTTAAAGCATCAGTAACCAAATAATTTGCCTTCCATAATGCACCCGGCGTTTCATAAAAAAATTGTTTTAAATCTTTAAAATTTTCATTTTCATTCATTTCTTTCATATCTTGACATAATTTTCTGGAAATTTTCAGACAAATATCGTCATATTTTTTTGTATCTTGATTTTTTAAAATTTCTAAAGATTCTTCTAGCGTTTTATTTTCGTCAGTGTAATGTTCCCATATATAATTAATTTCTTTAAAAATTTTTTTTTCATCGTTAAATTCAGCCCTATAAGCATTCAAAAATTTACTAAAATATATACAAATCATTAGATTAGATTTGCTTTGTAAAAATTCTTTGGAATTTAATTGAGACGAAAGTAATTTTTTATAACGATTAATTCTTTCAGAATCCTCAACAAGATCTGAATTTTTAATTAATTAAAAAATATTTGGAATTGTTGAAAATAAATTTCTATTTTTAGGACGTAATGGTGAGATTACTTCAAAGTCTCATCACGTCTTGCGACAGTAAATAACTTTAAAAAAGGAGAATACGAGACTTTTCTCCTCTTTTTCCATTAATTTTCTGTCGAAGGCACGTCTAGCAAAACAAAAATCGGGGAGAAAATTGGTGATATAACTAATCTCTGTGTATTTAGTTTCTACATTATAACTTTTTCCAGAAACTAACCAGGTCTAAATAACAGAGGATATTTTAATTCTAATTCACTAAACATAAATTCTCCAAATATTTCCCTCATTCTTTTTTTAATTCTTAGAAATTCTTCTTTTGATATTATTTCAAATTTTGGTGTTTGTAAGTTTTCTAATTTTGAAACAATTTTTCCTTTCTTTTTATTTTTTATAATTATTTCTAACCTTAAATATTTTTTTTTAAATTTTAAAATTAAAAAAAAATATAAAGTACTTTTCAGTTAATTCTCTCTCAATATTTAATTTTTTAGCAATTTCTTCCAATTTTTCACCAATTTTTTCTTCTTCCAAATTTTCTTCTTCTTCAATTTCTTCTCTATATTTTTTAAATTTTTCTTCAACAATTTCTAACCTTTTATTTTCTATTACATCAATATCTATTATAAACAAATTTTCCATTTCTTTTGCAGTTAATTCCCCAAAAAATAATTCAAATATTTGTTTATATTCCATTAAATTTAAAGCTATTTTCCAATTTTTTATTTCAAAATTAATTAAAAATTTTCTTTCAAAATTTCCAAATTCTTCTATTTTTTTCTCTATTTTCTCAAAATATTCCTTTTTCCCCTCCAATTCTGCCCATTCATTTTTTTCTCTTTCAACTGGATTTTCAAATTTATTTTCTTTAAATTTAAAGTTTTCAATTAATTTCTTTTTTTCTTTTAAAGATTTTTTTATTTCTCTAATATTTTCTTTAATATTTTCACAAAAAATAATTAAATTTAATTTCTGCTTAATTTTCCAATTTTCGTGAAAAATTAATTGAATATAAAGATTCTCAATTTCTTCATCTCCAATATTGCAAATATCTAAATATATATTTCTTAGAGATATTGTGGATACTTCTTCGATTTCTTTCGGTCTTGGGGTGAAGTATTGGTAAATTAATCATACAAATGCGAAACCAAAACTGTGACTTTCTAGCTCAAACCGGGTTTCACTTTACTCCCCGCCCCAAACTGGAAAGAAAACATTCGGCTACAAAGAATATTTTCCTGTTATCAAGTTTTTGTTGCAACAATCCTAATTCTATTTTTTTTCTCGATTTTCGGTAATCGTGACGGCAGGATTGCTGGTCTATATGATATCCACATATTTTCTTTGTGTCAATTACAATAATTAAAATAACTTACTAAATTTATTTGAATCAATTTTAGACTTTTCGGCTTTTAAACTCTTTGGTGGACAAATACAAGATTTTATGAGGATTAAAATAAAAATAAGAAGAAATAATTTTACTTTCATTTAAATTTTTAATTTAAATAAATTTAAATAATCTAGTAATTAGAAATTATAATTTTTTAAATTAATTTAATTATTATTTAGAAATATAAAAAATCCAAAGGCGATTAAAAAATTGAACTCACAGCCCGAGAATCGAACCTAACCACTAGCTAACTGTGAACTTTTAATTTGAGTTAATAAACTGAAATATTTTTTAAAAGATTTTAAAATTAGTCTTCATAAATTTAAATTAATTGATTTATGTAGCTATAATAAAATAAATAAATAGTAAGGGCATATAGAGGGGGTATTTAAATCCATTAGGGATAAAGGACATATGAAGAAAGAGAATGCACTTTTTAGACTAAATTGGTTAGTGAATTGGGGAGTTATTGCTAAGAAAAGAAAGAGGTGGGACTTTAAAAATAATTAAAAAATAAACATGTGAACGTCGGCAATTGTGAAAATAAAAAAGAAATAAATAATAAACATGTGAATGCCCTTTTTTAAATATTTTTATTAGGAAATCAAAGACAAAATCCGACAAAATTAATAAAGGTACTTTTCCGTTCTGCCACACCCCCCTAAATTAATGTTCAAAATGTCATATATGGGGTAAAAAAAGGTACTGAGTCGAACAGTACCACTCTTTTCCCCCGGAGATGCCTTTGGACCAAAATTTTTTGCTCGAAATGGTCAAAAACCATAGGGGGGAGTAAGCTCAATTTTGGGATAAAAAATTCGAATATGCAAATAATACCTCATTCGAAAGAGCTCGTCGAGCTGAGTCGAATGACACCAAAAACAACGAAATCTGATTTGATTTGACCGAGATACAGGTCTCTGAAAATTGAAGAACCACACAAATTTTTGCATCGTAACTTGGTCCAAACTTGTTAGACCGCGGTGATTCTGGTGTCTTTCGACTCAGCTCCATGAGCTTTTTCGAATGAGGTATTATTTGCATATTCGAATTTTTTATCCCAAAATTGAGCTTACTCCTCCGTATGGTTTTTGACCATTTCGAGCACAATATTTTGGTCCAAAGCCATTTTCGGGGAAAAAGAGTGGTACCGTTGGACTCCGCATCTTTCTTTACCCCATATATGACATTTTGAACATTAATTTAGGGGGGTGTGGCAGAACGGAAAAGTACCTTAATAAATAATAATTTAATTTTATTTAGAAATGTGCGCAACAAAAAGAATATTTATTTAAAAATTTATTTAAAAATATAAAAATATTTTTTTACTTATGTTTCTTTAAAATTATATAAACATCACGGTTTTCTACTTGATTGAATTTTAATTAAAACGGGATTTTAATAGTGATATGGCATTTAAATAAAATATTAAAGTAAGGATATTTGGATATCCTTCCTCGTCGTTGGAAAGTTGTTAGTAAAAAGATTTTGGGGATATCGGGGATACATTTGGATTACAGAAGAATTTGGAGGGAACGATGTTATTGAATTGACTGGAAGGGTATTTATTTATTTCACATTAAAAATGTAGCATATCAGGAGAATTGAGGGTATATCAATTAATTTAAAGGGATTAAAGTAATATAACGGAATTTGGATGGATCAAATGGTATCTGGACGGCTTTTTATCCGAGGCTGCTCGATGATTTATATCAAGGAATATAATGAGAGCTTATAAACTTAGTTGTAGTAAAGCTAGTGCTGGGCCAGGATGGTATTGGGATGTTGGGCGGGTTGCGTGCGATGTTAAGGGTCCCGAGAGGCGATGCCGATGAGTATATTGCGGAGCGGAGGGTAGGCCTTTCTATGCGCCGGTGCTGCTGGTCGATTACGAGATCGACTTGCCCGGGAATAATATGCGCTGAATGATAAGCTCTAGGCTTCTTCTGCAGGATTAATGAATAAGCTCTCAGCTTCTTCGGCCGGTTATTCACTTTTCTATTGATCACTTTCCAACTGACTGGTGAACAGTCGACTGATCCGCTTTTCACTATTTTCCACTTAGTTTTATCCTAAGGCCTTATTTGTCATTCTCCTCCCCTTATTCAATCCTTTCCCACAGGAACTAAAGTTCCTTTCTCCATCCTTGCCCATCCGGATCAAAGTACGTCTTACACCTCCAACCCCGGGGAAGACCGTCCCCTGGTCTTTTCTTAATTTCCCAATTTTAATTTTATTTTTCATTTTATTTTTATTTTCAAACCCACCACAATTTACAGCTTTACCATGTGCCCCAAGCCTGTGCCTCCATTTTCTATCTTCTTCTTTTCTCATCTTCTTCTACAGTCTCTTGCCAAGTGTCCGGAATTTCCACATCTGTTGCAAATAATTTGTCCTCTTCCTGTTCGTAATTCACCGCCACGTATTAGCTTAACTTCTTCAACTTTAACTTCAATTGCCCTTCCTTTTAAATCATTGAGTATTCCATTCGAGCCGCGTGTTGGTTCTTCATTTTCCATAACCTCCAAATAGCGTTCGTCAACAAAGGGAGTGTGTTGTTTTGCCGCAGTGATGAATCTTCTCCACGTTTCGCCTTCTCGTATTGATTCAAAATCGGCAATAATGATTAATCCGCTTTGTGCCCTGGACAACGCTACGGTGGCGCGTCTGCTATCCTTCAAAAAGTCAGAGGCATCTGCGCGAGCTGCTGATCCAGGCGATTTAGTGCTTGTTGTCACAAGAATGATTAAACGGTGCTCGCGGCTTTGAAACGCATCTACAGAGTTCACAGATACCTGTAGATTTTCTTGGTAGAGTCTTTCTCTTATCTTTTCGCATTGGTACGTGTATAGACATATAATGGCAACACCTTGAGAATCTCGGTGCTCCAGTGCTTTTGCAATCATAATAGCTGCCTCAGTCTGTTCAGGTGAAGAAAGTGAGTAGGATGCGCTGTCCTGCTCTATTGTGCCTCTTATATTCAAAAGTATGAGTGGAACGTTATTCACCGGAAGATTTATTCCAAGCTTTGTCAATCCTGTGCGCTTTGATGCGGGAACTGCAGCGATTACTCGTTCGTCGTGTTTTTCATACGAGGAATAGTTGAAGCATTCAGTTATAATGGGATGCGAGCGGTAACATCGTTCCAAAATGGTGACTGATACTCTTTCGCAATTTTCCATTTGATCAGTCACGCTTTCAAGACCGTAACCGCTTTGAATTACTTCTGGTAGTTCTTTCAAATGCGTGCCCAATTGACGGACGTCCCCCGTCAAGAGAACAGACCGGACAAGTGGTAATTTGCAAAGGAGGTGAACCATCATGGAGAAGCTTGTCTGAGTAACCTCGTCGATTATGAGGTGTGTAGTCGATACATGAGCGCGTGGTATTCCTAAACACATGTAGATTGTTCCGAAGATCGCATTTTTAAATTCTCTAGCCAAATAAATTTCTCCCACTTTCCTTTCTTTGGTGTGTCGTGGTTTATCTTTGATGTGTGCCAGGTAATCCGTTACGTCTCTCTTCTCAGAACCTTCTAACTTCTCTACAAATTTTCCTTTTATTTTATTTTCAAGTTGATGTTCATTTAGTAAGAGTATTTGATCTCCGTATCTGATGCGTGCTGTCGAGGCGAAGAATGCCAACATCTCACTGCCAAGATTGATTTGGGCACTTTCATCGATCAACTTGCTCACAGGCAAGTTTGAATTTGCCGTGGCCAAGACTGCAATTTTCGGGTCCTTCTTCAGAGCTGCGGCTGCCAGGCGCGTTTTTCCTGTACCTGGGGGCGCCTGCTGGTAATGTAGGCGCCCCCTTCCTTCATGCAGCCAATTAGAGAGTGTATTTTGCTGTTCTTCATTTAAACTTTTTACACACTCTAATTCCTTCGGAATATCACCTCCAACCACCGAATCGTCCGTCCCTGGACGACCGAATAGCGCCTTGAGTATTTCAGTTCGTGGAGATTTTTCTTCTTTAATTAATTGAGTTGGGGTATGTAGGCCAAAAGTATCGGCTTGATCGCGGTATCCGCCGGGTGTTTCGGCAACTTGAATAATTGTTAACATTCCGTGTGTCATAGCTTCAAAGTCTTCATCGTGTTCATAAAGACCTTCATTAGGGACTAGAATTATATTAACTTCAATTTGTAGTAGACCGTCGTCTCGATCACATTTAAATACTTCTTTTATGTAACCGTTAGCAAATGCCTTCCTTTCAAAACCAGTTTTAGCAGTTACTGGTGTATCTTTTGTCCAAATACTGAGTACTTTAGCTATGTGGGCTTTTTGTTCGTGTGTGTGGTTAATCGTGAATGTTCTCTTCTTTTCATCTTCAATCGGTTTAACTACTCCGAAATAACTGGTTTCCATTCTACCAACCTCTTCATTTTCTGCTGCAGTGATTAAAGCTGCTGCGATTATGTCTTCAACTAACTTCATCTCCTTCAACGTATAATCTTTATCAATGGGAAATACTTTCGGAAGTCCTGTCTTCGTTAGCCAGCGCCATCTTTCAGTGAACGGTTCAGCACAGGCTAAGATTTGAGATCCTTCTTTAGCCATAATTTCTGTTCCGAGTCTATATGATCCTCCGGGTGGGACTATATAATTTGTTCCTATCATCCAACCAGCTGGGATTGGAGCTAATTTTAGATTTACAAATTCTGATAGCCGTGTTTTTGATAAGTCAAGACCGTGTCTGCATTGTTTTGCATATAGCATTCCGGATCTCTCCATTCCATACGCTGTCACACGAGCTAGCGCTGCTTTGCCTTCTTTCTTCTTCAAATAAACAATAATTCCTGTTTTGGTAGTCCAATACGGAAAGTGAGTGACATCAATCATTAATGCTGTGGCTTGGTAACTTAAAATTCCTGTATCCTTTCTATACCAATTATCAATAGTAACTTGTCTTCTTCCTTCAATCCATGCAAATTTATTTACGAATATTGAATCTCCTGGAAATAATGGGCGTTCAAGATCAGTTGTTAGTTCATCGGGAATTTCAATTGCAAACGGCCACATCGATAATTTTTCAGGGTTGGGAATAACTGCGATTGATCGTTTCTCTTGCACTTGAGAAACCACATATCTCTTCTTTCGACTTGCAGTTATGGCTTCGGCTTCAATTTCTTCTTTCTTCTTGGCAGATTTCGATTTTACTTCTTGCCATTCTTGATTTTCAAAAGCTTTATTAGCAAATGATTCTTCTTTATTCGGGTTTTCCCAGTTAGAAGACGATTGGGCCCATTCAGATTCGTTTATTTCGCCTTCCTCCATTTGTTCATCTTCATTTTCCTCATTTATTTCCATATCTTCTTCAAGAATAAGCTTTTCCATACTTTCAGAAATTTCTTGTCTTTCTTCTTTTTCAGCATCTTCCATGATCTTTTGGAAAGCCTCTTCTTCTTCCACACTTGTATGTGTGGTTGATTTTGGTTTTTGTGAACCCGTAGGTTCCATGGTCATAAGACCAGCATTTTTGTTTAGAGTTTTTGAATCCGTGGATTCCATGGTCAAAAGACCAGCAGTTTTATTTAGAGTTTTTGAATCCGTGGATTCCATGGTCAACAGACCAGCATTTTTATTTAAGCTTTTTGAATCCGTGGATTCCATGGTCAAAGGACCAGCTTTATTTGTTGTTGTTGTTTCATTTTTCTCAGATTTGAAATAGAAATGACCGCGGCCACGTTTTCTAACATTTTGATTGTCCATTTATAACTGAAAATTAAAACAAAATTTTAAAAAAATTCTAAAATGGGAGAGAAAAAAAAAAATTTAAATGTGAGTTAAACACGCGGTTGTGTAAAAAAATTAAGTGTGAGATAAAATACGCGAATAAAAATTAATTAATTGATATAGTTTTAAATGATTTTGTGAAGAATGAAAGTTAAAAGATTGATTAAGTGAAATTAGATGAATAGAATAAGAGTTTTGAATGTATGACCCCTATAAGTTTTATTTTTTAAAAGGAAAACTTTTTCTTTTTTGGATTTTCTCGTAAATTATATTTCTTGTAAGTGTTCTTTTCTACTGTTTCAGTATTTGAGTTTTGATTTTCCTGTATATCGGGAGTTTCGTTTTCTTGGGAAATATTTTCATTTTCAATACCTTCGTTTTCTTCAGCTCTTGCCAGAGCTTTTTCTTCATCATTCGATAATTCAGGTACTGTACAAGTGGGTGTTAGTGCTTCAAAACACTTCTTTAGTTGATTTATATGCACTTTTCTGGATGTACCCTGAGGTGAGTTACAACTTACTATTGTGACATGTACTCCTTCAATTTTTACTACTCTGAATACACCTTTCCAAGGCATATGAAATTTCTTAGAAGTTCCTATTTTCCCTGCATAGTTTCTGAGTAATACTCTATCTCCTACTGTGACTGTGGGATTTCTTACTAATTTGTCATATTGAGTCTTTGCTCTTAACTGTGCTTGCTTATTTGCTTCATCTGCAGCCTCCCAGGCGCATCTAAGTGAAGTGATTAGTCTTTGCTTAAATTCGGAAATGTCTGTAAACGCAACAGGACTGTACACTGACGGGTCTAGTATTTGGTCTACGCAAAAGATAGGATCACGACCAAACATGAGAAAGAATGGCGTTTCACCTGTCGACGCGTGTATCGAAGTGTTATAACAGAAGCATGCGCAATCTAAAAACTCGTCAAAATCTGGTTGATCCTTACTTATATACTTTGAGAGTATATTATGGAATGTTCTAAAGGATCTTTCAGTAACTGAGTTTCCTTGAGACCAGTGCGGTGTGGCATAGCTTTTATTAATGTATAACATTGAGCAAAAATCCTTAAAGAATTCGCTTGTGAAAGCTGTGGCATTGTCAGTTACTAGTTCTACGCAGCCACCATATTTTAAATAGAAATTATTGAGAAATGCTCTTGCTAGAGTCATTGCTTTAGTGTCAGGGACTGGTACCGAAATAACGTATTTAGTGAACCAGCAAATTATATTCATTACATGTTTATTGCCATTCTGTGTTAATGGGAACGGTCCTGCAAGATCTAACCCAACTTTAGCAAATAATGTGTTTACTGGTACCATTTGCATTTCTGCCCTATATGGTGGATTGGGTGAGTGTCTAAGTTGACAAGTTATACAATTTCGTGTCCAGGTTAAAATATCAGCATTAGGGTTGCCAAAATGGACCGACTCGGACCGAAAGATCGAGTCATGCCTCGATGTTTGGCCCGAAAAAGTCTCGTACCGGCCCGACTCGATAAAGTTGGGCCCGAAAAAGACTCGTAACGGCCCGACTCGATAAAGTTAGGCCCGAAAGTGACTCGTACCGGCCCGACTCGATAAAAACAGGCCCGAAAAAAATTGTCTCGGAAAAAGTCGGCCCGACTCGAACGAGACTCGATAATATTTTTACCAGATTTGTGGACAAAAATGGATGAAATCTGGCTCCTTGGCCTTCCAAAATTCGAAAAATTTTCGCCTGCGGCGCTGAAAAAGGAAGAGTTTGGTCCTTAGCCTTCCGAATATTTCAAAATTTTTGCCTGCGGCGCTGAAATGAAGGATTTTTAGCTCCATACTTTGCTTCTCATCTTCCATTTATAGCGCCGCAGGCGAAAATGGTCGAAAAAAAACTTTTTCGACCATTCTTTTACTAATTTGTCCCCCTTTCCCCTATTTCGGGGGGGGGGGGGGCTCTAGCAGCCCCACTGGACACGCCCTTGAATTAAGTGTACGAGGAATTTATTAAGTGTACGAGGATCAAGGATACGAGGAATTTTAGCATACAGCGCGATTTTATTAAGGGATTTGGTGATTAACGCACGATATCCCCGATATCCCTTCAAATCTCCTCATTCCTTCTAAATCCCATTACAATATATCACCTTAATCATCTGATATACGATCCTGAACCCCTTAATCATCTGATCTCCTTTAATAAAATCAAATCTAGCAATATCTCACCCCAATCCTCCGATAATTTAAATCACCTTAATCCCTCAAATCCACTGATATCCATCTCAATTCTCTTCAGCCCTTCCTTTACCCTCCTGATCCATCGATATACCTTTTAATTCACAGATATCCCTCCAAATCCACTAATTATTTTTAAATAAATCTTTTAAAAAAAGACTCGAAAATGTCTCGGTGCCCGACTCGATAAAGTCAGGCCCGAAAGTGACTCGTACCGGCCCGACTCGATAAATTTAGGCCCGAAAAAGACTCGTATCGGCCCGACTCGATAAAGTTAGGCCCGAAAAAGACTCGTACCGGCCCGACTCGATAAAAACAAGCCCGAAAAAAAGTGCCTCGACCGTCGGCCCGACTCGAAAACGGCAACCCTAATCAGCATGCATTCTTGGCCAATAATATTTTCTACACTTCTTGAGTGTCTTTTTCAAATTCATGTGTCCACCCCCTAGTTGTGAGGAGTGAAATGAGTCAAAGATTAAAGCCCTTAGTGAAGATGGTACGAATATTCTTGGTTTTAAATTTGGAAGTTTGTGACATAGTATATCCCCTATAATTCTCAAATTTTCAGCATTTAATACAAATTTCTCCTGATTAGTTGGTGATATGTCTTCTGGAATTTCCCCGGCTTTTATAAATTTAATATAGTCTGCAGCTTCCATGTCATTTTCTTGTTCTTGCTTAATGTCTATTGCATAATTTTCATTTTCTTTCCT